GCGCGACCCTGCCCGTGAGCAATCTCCCAACTCATCTCTGGTATAGGGATTGAGCAATCTTCTGTAGTACAGGATCCTTGGACGAGCAGCACTGTTGGATTTTTTCGAAATGACAGTTGAGACAATAGAAATACGCTTTGCTCATTGGTTGACAAATGCTACTCGTCGTTTAAAATGTAATTTCCAACACAGTCCAACGGAAAGAACCAATCAAAAGTACACACCAATCCATCATGGCGGCACTCGGAGAACTACGTTGCGCACGTCCCTTTCACGGTCCACTCTCGATGCCTTTACGAACCTCCTCTCTCGTAACGGATTCTTTCTTCTGCTTCATTTTATCCCATTTTAGCATTTACGGTCCTTCTGTGAGGTTCTCTTCTGTGCAAAGAGTTTTCGGGCGAGAGCAGTCTGTAGCTTTTACGTATATAGAATAGTGCAATAACCCGGTAATTACGACAATGTGGAAGAAAACGAGCTTTATACTTCTATGCGTCGCCGTGGTCCTGGCAGCAGGTAATTACGACGGAAAGATACCCGTTCGCGGCAGGCTGTCCGTCTTGGCTTGATTTTTATGCAATGGCAGTTGATGCGAGCGAGTGGGCGAGTGACGTTGCACTATCTCTGATGTGACAGCGTGTACGATATCCACGGTTTTCCCCTCCATCAAAATCCGAGACGGCGGATTGAGCTGCCTTCAAATCGACGTTAGAAGCCCTTTTTGCACGATTCGAAGACGCGTCTCGATGGTTCGAATCGCTAATCGGCCGCTTTCAGGCACCGTGATGTTCGTTTGTAGCTAAAACCTGTTATGCGGACGTTCAATGTTTTTGTGGGCTGGTCGCCAAAATTTGTCGTTGCAACGTCTGCAACGAGTTCTATTACACGGTATCTAGCATACAGCGTTTTACCCAATGGATTTAGAATATATCGGTTGGATAAAAACTTCCAGAAATTTACATTAGTTTTTGATATAAATCTGTATAGAATACAATCCTTTGTAGTAACTCCGTCACCACATTGCTCTTTTTAGTTCTGACTCATCGTCAGTAGATGTTATCCCATTGATTTACGCTCGGAGAGATATCAAGTTTTGCTTGTAAAACAGACTGTTTACTCCCAGATATTGAAACTACATTAATATGTATTTAAAATTGTTCCTAAATATCTGTGGACTTGAATTGAGAAAAGAAATCAATGGTTTTGAAATAAAATTAGTATTGTAAATGGATCAAGATGTATTTCAATGCACATTGATTACAAGGTTTTATAAAAAGAAAACTACTCCTTGAAATTGCGGTTTTGGTATCGAATAATGGAACTGAAGAAGTATATGAATTTATATTTTATTGGCTTGTGAAGATTTTTTAACGTGTAACTATACAGCCAGCAGTTAGTGATAAACACATTACAGATTGTGTACATGCCACAGGAAATTTCTTCATGAACTATGGACAGAGATTGCGTTAATGCAAAGTCGGAACCAGATTTCATAGAATTATAATGGAAATGAAATATTTCCGAGATGTTAATTCTTTAAGTCTGTGCACACGGTGTGTTTTTCCCCGTGCAGCAATAAAGCCACCCCACGACAGATTTTTGACCAGTCAGAGATTTTCCACCACAGATGTGCACGTTCCAATAAGCATCTTCTTAATGTAAAAAATTGTTGTATTGCAAAACATCTTAGTGCACGCTTGGTCTAAATGAACAAAGTAAAAATAAAAAATATCCTAAGTAAAACTAGAAGGAATGTATTATGGAATGGCATCAAACAAAGCACAGGAATTATAATAGGTCTTTGGGGGAGCAAACCAAACACTTATATTGTTCTAAGTCAGGGGAGCTTATCCTCTTTGAAGTATGAAATGTTTTTTCCTTATGTCACCAATATGATTTAATCGATAAACAAACGTGTCAAAGTTCAGATTTATTGATTACATTTACTGACTCCATCACAGTTCAGCTTAATCCTACTTGAGTATAAACAGATAAAATCTGATGCCTTGAAAATATAAACATAAGCTAAGCCGACCTTACACCCTTGCCTTAATTGAAACTTCATTATAAATCCATTTGTATCTCCACAAGCAAATCATAAATCCAAGAAATGTTGCATCTGTTATAATGAATTAACAATGATGTAATAAATAACATGGTATTATTTAGCATTTTTAGGCATGTTGGAACATTTTTTATTTATATGTATTTACGTGCTCATTACACTCGCTCGCTTCCTATATGTCTATGTCGTGATGTAAAGGTCTGTATGCTTTTGCCAGGTGTATTTATTGAATTTTATGTCTGTGTTTAATCATGACACTTCCAAAGTTCAAAATGTTATTGTAAATGTATCTCTTTTATTTTCTTGAGTGCTGTTATTTTTGTCGTTATTATTTAGTGAGCAGTTGAAATTATTTCTGAATATTTGCTACTGCACAGATAATGGAATTTTAAATACTGGAGCATGCACGGACAAAATAGTTTTGATACTTGTAGATCAGTAAGAATCATAAATTCATGATTTACGAAATAACGGGTTGTAAGCTATAATAGTATATTGAGTTTTCATTCTGAACTCTCTTTAAACAAATATAACCATGCAGTTCAACAACTTTCTTGTCCAAGATAAGAAGTCTTGGTGCAATATATTTCAAGTCCTTCATATGATACCATTCTTTCATGTGATATGTAATTGCAAGATTTGAACCATACAGATAACTCTCCATTGGCTTACATACAAACAAAAAAAAGATCAGCGTTATTTTTTTTTAAATATATTGTATTAATAATAATGATATATAACCAGTTTCTATATATAAAAATAATTAAGTCTAGAGCTTTTACAAAAAAGGGGATGCATATTTTATATTCCACTTTATACATAATTCAGTAGTAGTGTAAGGTTTGATTTCAAGTTTACAAAAAGAAAATGTGTTTCGTTTTTCATGTTCCAGGTGAAGATTCAATAAGTGCAAATAAATCAAAATTTGTAGAAAATAATAAAACTGAAGAAGTTGAACAAAAAGTAGACACCCCACAAGTTATAACAATAACTAAAAAAGATAATGAGGTGAAACCAAAATCACCTGTGGAACCGACAATGCCAACTGAATCTGCACCAACTACAGTATCCGAAAGTACTCCAGAGCCAAGTCCTACGACGCCCCCACCCACCAGTGAATCAACCTTTCCATCAACGTCTGACGTACCCGTCAGTCCAACTTTAAGTTCAACTACTGCAAGTGATGCCACGACCAAGGATTCTAAAACCACTACACCAACGCCCACTACTAGTACGGTAGTGCCTGTAACAACCACTGTAAAGCCACCTACAGGACCTGGAAACTGGTTTGTCAACGGAACCACTGGATACTGTATAGTTGTAAAGATGGCAGTGGAATTAAACATCACCTACCCAATGACAAATAAAACGGTTAGTAATGTTTTGTTAAGTATATAATTATTTGGGATTAGCGTATTTGTGTTTGACTGTACAATTTATCGGTACCATAATTTCTTTACTTAAATGAAAATTATTTATTTTATGTGCCTTGTTAATTAACAGTTCAAAACAATATCTTCGTCATAATGGGAAATCAGTGTGATTTTCTCAAGACATGTGTTATCTAGTGTCAACCCTCTTAACATTGAGCTAATATAATATTTCTATTAACTTAACAGGGAAATGTGGTACTACACCTGCCAAAAGATAACAAGACTGCAGTTGCCACTGGAATATGTGGAGCCATTGAACAGAATATAACTATTTCCTGGCCATCCGATATTGTCAATAATTCATTGACTCTGCATTTCATCCAAAATGCAACTTCGAAGAATTACGATCTTCACTGCATAAATGTTACGCTGTCCAGTTCAAACTTCCCGAATATAAGTAGCAGTAAGTAAAGAACACGTCATGCTATTATTTATCCAGGATTAACTTATCTAGCTGTTGGTTCGGCTAGTTAATTGAAATTTGTTGAATGTTACGAAACAGTATTATGCAGTCAACCTTTGGACTTATAACCTTTCTTTGTTTCTTCTTTCAGATGCATCAGTTAATCTGGTTCACCAGAATTCTCATTTCTCAGTTGGTGTAGGAAACTCGTATAGGTGCCTGAGGACCCAACATTTAAAGTTAACCAAAGTTAACAGCAATGTAACCCTTGGATCCTTTGACGTGTCTGATTTACAGTTCCAAGCTTTCAAAACTGATAAATCTTTGATATTTGGTTTCGGTAAGTACATCATTCGGTAATTCACTTTATTTTTTCTTGTCGATAGAAGGTTTTTGTTTGTAAGGATCATCCGTTAAAAAATTTAATTTATTAAGGGGGAATGGTATATCATTTGTTCTGTGTGCGTTTTTACGTCTACGAGAGCTGGAAGGGGGGAAACTTCGCATCCAAAAATGTTTCTGCAGTATGTACTTTGAATAACATGAATTGATGAAATTATAGCAGTCCATAAATAAACCTGTCATGACGGTCCAACACGGTCTTTATGGTTACTCGTTGAATGCTTACGGCACTATTACACAGAGTCACTAATGAAAATAAAAAAAGGGCCAGGCAGGAAAATTTGTACACTTGTCAACACCACATCTTATCACTGGGAACCGCCGTTGAATAGCCAAACTTGACATTTTTGGGTGCGAAAATGGAAACTCAACAAGGACATTTCCCTCCTTAGGCCTCGCATTAGACCTCGCACTCCCAAATTTTTAATAAGCAGAATAGCTTCAACTGTGTGGACAAACAATCGCTTCACGTGGTACATTTGTTTACCCCTTCCACTGCAAAGCAAAGTCTACATATATATAGTCTGAAGTTCGATTTTTACACGTACCCAATGCATACTAGTTCGTGTGGTCTTCTCATGTGCTGCATTCGAGTTTACTCTCTTCCACAGCAATGTGAAGTCCAGACATACATTGTCAAGTTTCCCTTGCATAAAACATGAGCGAATTTCCAGCACAAGTGCTAGTTGTACGTCGTGACGTCATGCGTTGTAGAAAATGCGCAATGGTCGACTAGCAGAAACGGCCAGCTGCATTAACATACTTATCAGGGTCTTTGTAGAATTTCCCATTAGATGCGGTACGTACACGCATCACGAAAACGCACAAAACTTATAAATGTCGAATTTCTTTGTTGTGTAGTACAAGAGATATCTGTTTTCTAATGAATTTCTTATTAACAAAGTCGTTATTTCTTTATGTGACATATGACGTAAGAAAAACGCTCGACATTGCTGGGATAGGACTGCTTGACGTCAAAATCGTGGTGCCGTGATTTTACGGCACGGTACATCAACGACGATGACGTCACAAGTGTTGCCACTACTTGCCGTTACATGGCAGCACGGTTAATTCGGACTTTCATTGAATCGTACCATTTCCCCTTAAACATAATTTAGCCTAGGACATTGGAAATATTTATAACAAATATTTTCCCAGTTGGTGTGCATGTGAATTGGGTAAAGTTTTAACACTTATTTAAATACTAACAAGAAGTCGCAGTGTGGGCTAGATCTAGAATTTTCATTTCCTTTTAAGAAATGTACCATAATGAATAGAATGAATCCACAGTCGTTTGGCCTAGTACTCTAATACACCATAGGTTTCGAGTTTATTAGTTCCCCTAATTATCAACTGTATCATGCGGCCAATGAGCATTAAATTCTTTCTTGATAATACAACTTAATGCAACAACAAAACTGTAACCAACATCGAGCATAATTGATTTTTGCTGTTTGCCTTTTTCATTTTTATTCTTTTTTTATCCGATTTTTACTACTGTAGCTGTATTTGTAATTAAACACTAAATGGCGTTGTCAGAAGAACGCTTAAACTTTATGTTGAATACTCAAACGTACATTAAGAATCGGGGAAAAATTCGAAATCTAAGGGTAATTAGATGAAACGGTCGTACACATGCTGGTTTTTTCGTTGCAGAATCTTTCCAAAAAGTCCCTTTAGACTCCCCAATTTGTAGTAATTTTTCTTTATGTTTTCTCGTTTCCTTTTGACTTGTTGATCGGACTACGCAAGATTACAACGTATTTATGTTTAGCCGAGGATTGCAGTTTGGAAACTCCGGACATCGTCCCGATAGCAGTTGGCTGTGCATTGGCAGCTCTAGTGGTGATAGTGCTGGTGGCATACCTCGTTGGACGCAGACGCACTCAAGCTCGCGGTTACCTCAGCATGTAATCCGGGCTCTATCCCTCTTCTTTTATATCACATGAAACTAATATTCCTTCGGTACGAATCCTTAAGTTTTCAAACGCGTTACTACATTTGTGACCGCGTGCGTCGAGATATAAAATCCAGGGTTCGTTATTTTGTGTGCATCCGTGCATACGGAGCTCGGCGTACGCGGCAGTTAAATTTATTCGTTCGTAAGATTCCAGACATTGCGTTTCCTATTGAATAGAATTTATTAGATGTATTTAGATGATGGAGGGAACCGCTACACCTAGAGAGTAATCGTAATACTAAGAGACGAGATGGCCGTGTTTTGAAGAGAGAAAATGAAAAAGGAGGGAAAAAAAAAGAAAGAATTGATCTACTATCCATCTAGCGGACTCATCTGAAACAAAGAGAATCTCGCTTTTTAAATCTGGTATTAACAGTTATTGTTATTAGCACTGCACTTCACTTTTTATACATCCACTCCGTGCTGTGAAGTACCCGCCTGAGCATTTCATTCTCCCAGAACAACGTCCTCCTCGGAGAGAGGGCTTCCCGTCAGGCTTCATTCTGCGAAAGAAAGTAGGGAAGCACTGGTTAGCTTAAACAGCAATTAGTATGTGATAATGTAATTGTAGTGATTGCCGTTGATGCTAGTCAGCCTCGAGAGCTGGAAAAAAATGACGTACCGGTAATTGCAGTATAAGCTGACTCCCCCCATAAACGGGCATATTTGTAAACGTGATTTCAGATGAGTAGTTGGATGAGCGAACGCACCCGAGGTGCTTCCGTTTATATCTAATTTGTATTTTTGTTACATTCAATTGCAATTATTTCATTTCGAGACCCGTTTCAGAACACGCGTCTAATTATACCACAAAGTGTATTACTAGAATACGAAGGAGCGCGGATGTTTAAAAAAAGAAAACTGGAAACTTCTTCTCCAACACGTCTCATGATATATAAATACGTATATATATCTCGCCCATTTTTAATTCGAATATTGGATCCCTTTGAGAGTTATTAAATTTATTTTGCTGTGTAAAACGCGTGCCATTCATTATTAGTAATGTTTATGCGTACAAGTGACAGAATTCTCCGGAATTCTAGGCACTTCACCTTCAACCACGTCCTTGCGCAATTTTTTTGTATACATGTGACCTTCTGAGGTTTATAACATTACATTACCAAAACTCAAGAGCTTCGTCATTCAACGACGTAGTAATGTTAGAAATTTCGAAATAATTCTGCATGGTTAAATGGTACTAACGAGGGAGAGAGAAAATGAGGAAAAAGGGGAAATTATTATTTTTTATGCTGCTTTAGGATTATTCGTCGTGAGACTTCAATGAATTAGGTCGAAGTCAGGCCAGGGTATGTGGATATAAAATTCTTGGGAGAAAAGAAAAACAACTGTACATATTATAAAGTACTACTTTTGGATTACATAACTACGTCGTGTTTAAACTGGTGCATTGACACTCGTTAATAAAGATACGTAAATACTGCAAAGTTCACCTCTACTCGTGTGATTTTTCGGATATAAAACCGCGTTCCCAGCGATAATGCGTACAATGAACGTGCATTCGCAATTCATATAATTTACGCGTGCGATAGCCTCATACTGCTGAATTTTCATGTACACATATACACGGCAACAGATTAAAATGACCTTGTTTTTTCATTTTTATTTGCAACATCGGTTCTATGCGAGTATCCGTATCTCCTCGCTTCGAACTCTTAACCTTGATTGTTAATTTTTGCGTAGAACATTAAAAATCAATATCGGTATTTTCTGAATAAACAAATCTAGGGGTTATAAATTGTTTCTTCCAATTCTGTGAGTGATGTAAGCTTATAAATTATTTGCCTCAAAATCATCGACATATCTTGATTGTATTGAATGCAAATATTGTACATTAGTGTAATTATACAAGAAAAATTTAACTATGACACAATCTTAATGTTTACTTGCATTTAATTGTTGTTTCATTAGCAAGTGATAATACGCATTTTGAGCTGTCCTCGGATATATTACAAATGTTACGTTGAATTTTAAGCGTATGCAGGGTTGGGTAGGTATGTAATATACTTAATTTTCTTCGTGTATATTACATAGCTTAAGAATATATGGACGAAGCCCAAAGTCTCATCTTAGACCAGGGGGGCAAGCCGGCGCGTAGGAAAGAGAGAGGTAGGAATAGCCATATTGTTGTCTTGTCTTTCAGTATCCTGATTGGTAAATCACCTGCTTCGTATTTTCTGTTTGCTCCAAGTTGTTTCTTTTTGCCACCCCTGTACATAAAACATATTTTTTAACTTTCTTTATACTACAAGTGGCCGAATAAGTTACTAAAAGTCTAGAATATTAATGGTATGTATGTACATCGATCTCGTAAAATATACTGAACTGGTATTTTTCATATCACTAAGTATGTAACAATCCATTTAAATGCAGACTCAACAAAATATAAACGAAATGATTGCGTTTCTTCCTTGTTAATCCTGACAAAATGATATACAAAAAAAAAGGAGGGCAACGTGTCCAAAAAAAATGGATGACTGTCCGAAAGAACGGAAGACCATCGTAGTTGTCCTCTGTTTAAAGGGTCGCTTCGGCATATAGCCTTTTCAACTCTTGCAGTCTCTTCGGACAGAATACCCTACGTCTTGAACACTTGGCAATCCCCTGATTTGTCGGATTAAAAAAAAATCACTCCGCGAGCAGATCCAAAAGCTAACAAAACGATGACTTACGATCCGAGGATACGCAGTCTGTGCGTATTGCACATTTATCCGAATTCCCAAGCGCGGTCTAATTAATTTCATTCCTGAAAGAAAATTGTCACAATGGCGGGCGTCCGGAAATACCCTGAGCGTATAATTCACTTTCCAGACTGCAATTAATTACTCGCGGCAATCTAGACGTTCCTTAATAAAGAAATTTGATGGCCCGACTAAAATTGATTTTGCAAGAATCAGAGTTGCAATCTAAACAATGACAAAGTAATATCAGGCGGAAGCGATTTTGGTAATCTCCCAACTTATCTTTGTCTTTACTCGCTTCTCTTAAAGTGTCCACTAAATCTCAGCCAATCAGAGGAAGCTAAGATTTTGGCACAACAATATGGCTACCTTTCCATTGTTCCTACGTGTTCCCCTCTTGCTCTGGCACTCACCACTGAAATATATAGTAAACTGGATCTCACTTCACACTTTAGAATACACGGCGAGTTTTGTCCCAGAGAGAGAGAAAGATTTAGCTGTCTCTATATCCTTGTTACACAGAGTTCAGTAAGCATTGGTGCGACGAAGATACGCAGTGGGCGGATTTCCATCATTGTTTCACCCTCAGAAAAAATATACCTGCCCTTGTTTAAGAGATGCGTGCGCATCATTTGTACAGTCCGAAAGGAAAGTTGAGTGGAATGCTGGGAGATGATAGTGCAAACCTTATCGGTAGGACAATAGTTTGACAGAATGTCATATTTCTGTATAGTAAAATCATGCAGGACGTTTCGCATTATTTATCTTTAATTATTGTACTCCGAATTAATTATCTAAGGATGCTTCTCTATGAAGAAAAAGATGTGTATCAGGATTGTACACCTAATAGTGGGGATGACTTCAAGGACAGCTCGAGCAGAGCCCTCTGGTGAGCATTCCAGTTTACTATATATTTCACTGCACTCAACCCTCTGGTTTGAGCTACGTCCAAGTCTAAGGACAGAGTTCAAAGAGACAGTGGATAAGAGACTATTATTTCGCGCACTCCCAGTTAAACAATTGCGCAACGCAATATGGCGACGACCTATCTAATGTTATGAGGGAGAAAGAAAAAGGAAAATCTCGTAATTCTCCCTATCTTTTGTTCTACTTTCTCCGTAAGAATACCAAGAAAATAATTATATTTGCAAGATCCATATTTCCTACGTTCGTGATCAGTTAGCCGTGAATTCTTCTTCATTGAACCAATAATAACTATTTGTAGTTGGTGGAATTTTTTGAGACACGAAAATCTTGGCATGAGAAGCTTAAAAAGTAATAGGAAATCAAACACAGGATATAGTAGCCAATCAGAATGACGGCTTAAGAACAGTAATTGACTGTAATAACCGAGGTCGTGACCCGGAAGACTAACAACCAATAAGAATTGTAAAGAGAAAAATTGACAGCCAATCATCGTTCGCTAACAATAACCGCAATACGGCTCGGTTATCACCTATACTTTCAATTTGTAATCTTTTTAACCTCGTTGTATAAAAGCATATAGGTAAGTTGACATATATTTCGAATTTGCACTGTGATGAAATCATTCTGTAGATGTTGGCATGATAACTCTGTCATTTGCATTCAAGGTTCGTAGCTATTTTGTGTAGATTGTATTTCGTATATAGAACTTCACAAATATCGGTGTACCCTGCTTAAATAGATGTATGTAATTTGAGCACGTAAATTTGAAATGTCTGTCAAATGATAATGTCCTTTTTATAATTTAATGTAATTATTAGTTTGTCAATAGTATGTTCGCAAATTTGCGGAATGTTAATACCATTGATCAATACTTTTTGTGACTCAACATACAGTTTGTAATCTCTAATGCCATAATATATTTATATAATTAGATTTTAATAAATTAATTTAATTTTTAACATTCCAATCGTGATAAGTGATTACTCACTATGTGTAAGGGAGTTTGACATTTTTATTAACTATTCTTTACATTTTATGCTTCGAATGGAAAGTGTATATCACTTAAAGTACATGGTTGGAATTATATTTTTTGTAAGTAGAATTAGAGGATTATTTGAACGAATATTTAAACTTATTGTAAGAATAACCCTTTAACTACAATCAATATATATGTAAACTGTGGGATAGTAACCTTGGATTCGTCAACATATATGTGGTTTTGAATGTCAACCGGTTTTGTAAAATTCATATATAAATCGCAGTATTTATAATTATACTTCTCTAGCATATTCAATTCTACGTACATTTTTAGTTGCTACATTCCTTTGGAACAAGTAGCAGCTAAATGGTCGAGAGTAGTTTTACTGTTGTAAGTTATCTATTCTAGATTTTGTTAATTTTAGTTATTATCTCCAGATATTTTGTCTGTGTGAAGTAATGTAATTGTTTACAACCTGAGTTAAGGAAGAATTTCAGTCAAGTAATGCTGATGAAATTTGGATTGAAGCGATCATCATCTTTACTTATGCAGCATTAACCGTTATTACATAGATTTTGTTCCTTGTACATACTTTTAATTTGCATTAATCATCTCTTATAATTTGTGATGGTTAAAAAATTAAATGAATCGAATTGTGATCCACTTTATTTATGATATATGCATTTGTCTGAATTCATTGTTGTCATTTAAATAGATTTTCTTGATAAAGTAGTTTAGTATCGGTGGCATACATTTGAATTGGAAATAATTAAATTCTATTTCTTTTTTAGGAATCAAGTGATTTAATTTTATAAGATGTTTGAATGGGCATACAATGGGGCGAACGCCTCAATACCACGTAATGTTGGCCCAGAATGTGCATACTTTTTACCTAACAGACGGAAAATACTTGAGACAATATTTTCAACGGTGTTTATAATATTTCTGTGCACCTGGGCATGGAAAAGAATGTCTTTACCTAAACTAGCAGTCCATTTTAGACCTAAGCGACGAGGTGAAAAAATATTATTGGTCTTAATGTCTTTTATACTAGGAATGGAGATAGGTTTTAAGTTTACTAGTCGAACAGTTGTATATATTTTCAATCCTTGTCATGTGACATCCATGTTACAGGTAAGCTGATGAAATACACTCTAGTTATTGAAAGTTTATTAATTATTGATCAAATATATATTCTATTTAAACTTTCAGTTGTACCTGCTGGCTGCTGAGCCAAGTCCACTTGTAACTGCTATTTTCAGGATACAGTTAAATCTAATGAATGGTCCATTTTTAGCTTATGCATTTCCAGAAACTGAATCACGAAGGGTACAATTTATAACTTTGCATAACTTTTCTATTATCTAGAATGTGAGTAATGAAATGTAATTTCATTTTAGATATTTGCTGACAAGGCATTGTATTATATTCAGCATGCCTTAATGGTAGTAATTCCTTATTACTTATTAAGGATAGGAGGTACGTTGATGTAGATAAAATAATAAGGCAATGTCTAATTGTTCACTTCTAAGTGAGGATATATGTCAGATTCTAGAGATCAAACTTTTTATAAATTTCCTGGTAAAATCAATGTCTTGATCCTCCAATTAAGTCATTTCATAAATTTAATTCTAAGAAACAGTTTAATCTAAATGGAATATCTGGATGGCATAGTCTCAGATTAATTTCAAATAACATTCAACTTCACCTACAGTCAAATTTGATTTATTGCTTAGGTCCATACACTGCAGAACCTCTATCGGATATGAGTTGGTGTGCGTTTTCATTTGGACTCAACATGGCTTATCATTTCCTGTTTCTTCAATTTATGGCTTTGGTAAATTTGGTATTTTATGTACATTGAATGAACATTTAGTGACTCTCGTACATGTTTTCATTCAAGTTCTGATATTTTCATCCACAACTCAAGTTACGTACATGCATCAAATTTTTATCTCTTAGATAAGCGTGTCTTGTATTGAAAATATCAGACATTATAAGGAAAATTAATCTCTACATGAAACTTTTTTTTCAGCCGATACAAGTCAATTTGAGTCATATTCTATGTCCAGCAATATTGGATCCATTTGGAACTGAAAATTACCGACTCTGGACATTAGTTCATCAGGGAATTCTTTGTCCCTTGTTATGCAAGTTTATATGCGCAACATCTTCCTTCTTCTTAACGAAATTTCCTCCTGCAAAAACTGAGCCAACATTAACATCTGCGATACAAGAATCTAGTTGCAACTGGGATGACAATCATAGCAAAGAATCCAGTAAAACTTCAGATCTAGTGTCTAGTAGCAGCCAAAATTCTCACAAACATGTTGAGTAAATGTAGTAAGTCTGCCGTAAATTGTAATAAGACCGCCTGCGCTAAAAAGCAACCTGTCCAATTCTGATGTATCTTGTACGTATACGCTTTCACGTTACCTAAAAGTACTAATATGTACTAAATGTTAATATAAAAATGAGACTAGAATTCGTTTGAGATCTTGCTCTTGATGATTTCGAATGGAAACTCAACTATACAAAATTCAAGTTTTAACTCTGTCATAAAATAAAATAAATTTTTAAGGGTACTTTTGTTGCATGAGTAAACGCAAAAGGACTTGTTTCTTTGAAAATATATACATGAAGCAGAACTTGTAATTCCTGAAATGCAAATATGGGAATTCAGATATTTCTCTCGAAAGAATGTTTAGAGCATTTTTAAACTTGTTGCATAAGTCAATAAGATTAGTATGTATTCATTTTATTTTTATTTCTATTACTTGCTGAGTTTCTATAGAAATAAAGATATGTGCTTTCTAAGGCCTCGTGTTATGTATAAAGTCGTCCACATTGGTCAGTGACATTTTCTTCTCATCTTTCAACTTAATTGTAATTGAATCATTTATTTGATAACATAAAAAAATGTTAAAGTAATAAAGAAGCCAAAAAATATAATATTTGCGTAATAATATTAGTTAAACTTAAAGGTACCTTTTCATAAAAATGGTATATTATACTAATTGTCAAAACTGTAATTCTAGCTATCCATCTAAGCGTAGTATAAATATTTAATTGAAGTATTCTGACCAAAATAATTATGCCTTTTCATAAGCGCTTTTTGAATGAATTATTTTCTTTACATAAAACTAATAATTAAAGAAATCTTCTTATACTATAAAATAGCAAGACCTTAAAATCATAAGATTCGCGGAAAGTGGAAAGAAAAGTCAATCTATGTACCTTTCACAGTTTGTCATTTGTGCAGATAAATCTAAAAATATTAAACTAGACCATAAAGTGTTACTGTTAAACTATTTCTCTCGAACGGAGAAGTGTAGAAAGTATCATTGGAATTAAATTCACGATCTTTGAAAGAGAAAATGGTATCTTAAGACTAGTGATAGTTTTCACGGTGATGTTTTTGTAAAATAATTAATTTACATTTGATTAAGAGGGAGCAAGATAATCATTAAAGATTGAAGAAATATTTCTTTTTTGTAATGTCTTCATCTTTTACTTGACAAGTACCGATACAGTGCTGTAATAGGTATTAGGATCAAATGATCACAATTATTAAAATAATATGGGCTGTCATTAGTGACGAATAAAATGCTTTATTAACCAAATAAAAAACATAAATATTTTGATATCCTGCTAAAAAACAGAATAGCAGCACTATATCTGATTATTAATCTCTGTTAGATTAAAATATTATACAATTTCTATATAGAACATCATTAATAATCAAGGTTGATGACATATTCTATTGTAATTATAATGCATATAAACACAAACCTCTTTTGTTTTCATGAAAAAAAATCTGAACGTATTAAATAAAATGATTTATTTACAAACAACAATACACTTATCAAGAAGATAATACAAAGGTTACAGACCTTCGCTTGATAATTTTACCTATACTTTTGTACAGAACTATGTTGTACTTAAAATAAAAAGGAATGAAACATCAGGCAGCATAATATCCAAAGCAAGATGTAAGTTCAAGCGGCTTTGCTTACCGATATTATTTAATATGATACAATAAATGCATAGTTGTTAATATGTAAACTAATGGAATCATTGACTAGGTAAGAACGCTATTATTACTAGAGGATGATTGTATCATAATTATTTCTTGGATTAGAATAATATTAATTTAATGCGGAAAAACGGTTAAAAACATGATTAGCAAGTTAAAAATTCCAATTTAGTTATTATTCTAGAGACTATGTAGTTCTATAATGGTATATTACGCCTATAAAACAGTCAATTCACGCGTGACTATAGGGGGATTATATTTTACTCTGTACAAGTCCTCCTATGCTCTAAAAAATATTTTACTTTTACTCTAACGTTTCTTTTTGATAGAACTGTCACTCGCTTAAGGCACCTTTACAATTTCGACAAATGACTTCTAACAATAGCAAAGTATGCGTCCCAAGTTGCAAAAACGTGAAACATCATCATCATCATCATTAGTATTACTACAATAAAGAGTTCATTGTCTTCACACTTTATCAACCATTAATGCGTAGAAGGCGAAAACGCTGTACGTAGGATACTTAACTATCGTAACTTGTCTCGCTGGAATACCGAAGTTCAAAGCACCGATATGCAGGCGTAAGGCGGGCGAGAAATTTAATCAGTTAAGTCTATGAGGAAAAAGTAACACCTTTTGCAAGCCAAACAAAATCGGCGACAAAATGTTTATAAGAAATAACATTTATTTCTTAGTGTTCGAATAATGATTCTGTATGTACATACAGAATTCTGTACAAAAGTTTAGAAGAAATCAACGAATTCTATGGTAGATGTGATAGTAGTAATAAATATATACAGTAAAATGTCTGACTTGTAATTATCGCAGTTATTGAAATATAAATTTCTTATTATTGAGCTCTGTATCGTTAGCACACTTCTGCAAATTTCATTCACATGTAATAAACAATATCTTTATTAGGAGCCTTGTTTTTCCTTAATCTACTTAATTCGGAAGAAATAAAGAAATATTGCGCGAAATTTATAAATCAAGTGCAGAATTGAAAATGTTGTAGTGTCAAATTCATCATTCTAATCTCTTCAATATTCCAATAAAAGTATAAAATTTAAAGGAGTATGCAATATCATAGTTACTAGAACGTATTCTCGTATGATTATAAATATACCTTGAAGCAAACTTATAGTTCGTACAAAACAATATCGATAGTATATCATTTTGAATTTCATGCAATTGTATAAAAATGCTAAGACCTGCATTAATATTACAAAAATATCAATATTCCTACGCTGAAATGTTCTTTAATGAATATCATGATACCTTCATGAATTTTTATATTAACAAGCATAATTTTTGAGAATAGAATAATTTTCCAACCACAAAAACTAAGCGAAGGTTTCATAGACTTTATGACACATAATATGGTTAATGAATCTTAGCAAATCTTTTCTTTTTTTGAAGCAATATATTTTAAATGTAGTACTTAATAGAGATTTAATAATTGCTATAAAAATTATAAGTGCTTACACTGTATCCAGTTAATCATAAAAATAAAATAGCATCTAATTTGTACCAACGACAAGTATCTACTAAGAAAACTGTTTTTTAGATTTGCAAAATAAGTCAGTTTACAGTCTTTTCTGTATAATAGTGGAAAATAATTCGTTTGTATTATGTTTGTTTCATTATGTATAAATCATTGAAATACAACGATACAATTAATTCGAAGACATTTCTGATAATGAAACCAATAATTAATTTTACTTACAATAAATTGACTAAGAATGTGTGCCTTCGTTTTTCAGCAAATATTTGCTACTAAGCAACATATATATATATATATTTGAATTAATGCCATCTGATAAAACAAAGACATTAGAATCTAATCAAGGTACAGACTATTTACAGTTTCACCAATTACTTAAAAAATTGGTGAAGTATTTATGACCACGATTTTCTTCCTGAGAAAAGAGAGTCGAATTTCATGACTGCAAAGTTCTACTTAAACGTAGATTTTAATACAATTATTCTGGCACCGACAGTACGCCGAACCATCGAGGAATGTTTCTTTGCAGTTATAGACAACAGATAGCAAACTGTTAGCCATCCAAAGGTGGTCCTAGGTATACCATAGAAACTTCGGTATTCCCATACACGGCACTCACAGAAGGGTATAACCTTTTGTTCGGCAGGCCTGTGGATATATATTTTGGTTATTTCAATGAGTACATGTTAATAACAAACTGTAATAAGAATAGATTTTATATATCATTTTTTTTTAAAAGAGTCCCTCACCTAATATAATATTACATAATACATGTTTAAAACACCAGGTTTACGAGACTATATTACAAAACAAAATTTTTTGGAAGTATTACAATTATGGAAGTATTTTTATCACAAGTAAAAATATATATAAAAACTATATTTACCTCTGAATGCAACACCCAAAAATTCATAATTTTTCTCAAAGGATAAAGTGTTATCGTCACAATCCAATATTACTCTGATTCTCTCACCAATCTGAAATTAAAATAAATAAGTCTGTTGGATTTCCAAAGAGGAAATGCTTTAATGAATTAGATTAAGATTAAAAGAAATTATAAAAAAAAAATATTACGAAAATAATCTCATAAATACTCTTTAGCAGCTAATAGGCCTCGTTAAACTAATAAATCTCGTTATCATGTAAAATCGTTATTTCTCTTAAATGTAATATTTCTATGATAACAGATTTATATATACACATACTTGATACTTAGGTGCATTATTAAGTAGGGGATAGTTTCCTTGCACATCTCCATTATGCAGCAAAAGATTTTCAACTAGATTCCAGCCCCATGAGTGCTCATCAGCCCCTAACAGAGCCATATATCCATGGTACAATAAAGCAGCTTCTTTAGTGGCAATGCCTATGACAGCAACTGTACCTAATGGGCCTTCCCAAATAACTTCCCAGGCATGCCTACCATGTCGAAAACCTATTTTGCCTCTGGATGCATCTGTACTTTGTGCTACTGGATGTCTACAAAATTTAATCCCATGGTAATAATTAACAAAGAAACATAGGAAAAAAGAAGCACCTCTGCCTCGCATGGTATTGCATAAAACATAAATATTAAACCGTCAAATATCAAGATTTCCAGCAGCAACTGCATTACAGCAATTGGAGCATACATCTATCAGAAATTCTATATTACGTTAAATATAATCATACCGTAACTGTGCTACATTATACCGATAGATTCTCCGACTACCAAATTTAATTATAGTATTTTTTCCATATTAAATTACGATTCCATATTAAATTGAGAATTTAAATAAAATAATTATAGTCTAACAGCTTCTTGAAATAATGACAGACAGAAGAATTTCAGCTGAAAGAAATGAGTGATATTGAAAGTACCTGTGCAGTGTAAAGCCATTGGGCTTAATGTAGATGTTACGGGAACAATCGTTAGGGTTCCAAGCATGATAAAACGCCCGCAGCTTAGCTTTATATGTGGGCAACGACGATAGCAAGTCGGAACTAAGTGCTTCCTGGGCAAGTTTCCTGATACAATGCATCCGCCACACATCGTTATTCTCGTCATTTAAAAATCTATACCAGTTTTTACAAACTAAAGAACAATTTCTCAGCGTGTGAAGGTCTAAGTAAGAGAATATCACTTCCAAAACATGATCGGGTAGTCTAGATGCTATATCGTCCATTTTGCCGGTTCTCTGGTCGAGGGAAACGTCAGAACGGCAAGTGGACGAAACGGAACTAAGATCACACACACCTGACTGTTGCTTTTGCTCTTCTTTCAACAGTGCATTTCTAATTGAACGCAGGTCATTATCCCAACTAGTTATATCTACACGTCTTAACAGCAATGCAAATTGCACCTGTTAAAGATTATACCATTTAATTTATAGCTTACAACACGTTTTAAAAATACGTGAGTTAATTCGCCACCGAGTCGCTAATCAATTGACGAATACGCGTGGTTCCTAATTCAACTCGTTGAAGATATCTAAAAATTACACACAACTAGGGGCGCAATGGATTTGGATAGGTTTGGATCTGCCGTTTTCGCAACAATATTGAACTTTTGAGAAATTCCGAAAGATGGCGAAGTCAACTCGGAAAAAAACATATATTAAGTTTCCACCACTGAGATATGTTGTAAACTGAATCACTGAGATATTTAGCCACTGAAATATACAGTAAACTGGAACGCTCACCACGCTTTAGAATACATGGCATGTTTTGTCCCAGAGAGAGATAGATTTAGCTGTCTCTGCATCCTTGTCACACAGTTCAGTGAACATTGGTGCAATAAAGATACGCGATGGGCGACTCTCCATCATTGTTTCACCCTCAAAGAAAATATATCTACCCTTGTTTAAGAGATGCGTGCGCATCATTTGTACAGTCCGAAAGGAAAGTTGAATCGAATGCTGGGAAATGATAGTGTAAACCTTATCGGTAGGGCAATAGTTTGACAGAATGTCATATTTCTCTATAGTAAAAGCATGCAGCACGTTTCGCATTATTTACCTTTAATTATTGTACTCCGTGATTAATTATCTAAGGATGCTCTCTATGAAGACAAAAATGTTTAATAGGACTGTACACCTAGTAGTGGGGATAATTTCAAACAGCTCGAGCCGAACCCGCTAGTGAGCGTCCAGTTTACTATATATTTCAGTGTATTTAGCAAACTAGAACATTCGTCACCAGGGTTGGGTAGGTATAATACGTCATTTAATATAATTCATATCATTCTAAATAGAAAATAATAAATCCATTTGGAAATTTGATATTAAATAGGGTTAAGTTAAAAGAAGGTTGAGCACAAGCGTCAAATTACTTAGTCCTTCAAAATTTTTACATGTTTACACGTGCGCTAAAAGACGTTTATAACCTAGCGGATACATATATCGTGCATCTGCAGCATCCGCCATATTGGAAACGTAAGATTTTAACGAATTTTGAACGCAAGCGCCAAGTAATTTATTTCATACAAATATTTACATGCTCACGTGTGTGCTAAAATACGTTTATAATCTAGCGGATGCCATATATCGCACATCTGCGGCATCCTTCGCCTTGGAAACATAACCAAGGCTTTGATTACCGAATGTTGAACTTTTTAGCAGTATTCTTTGCTATATCGCAAGCTGTTGTGGGCAAAAAATGCAAATCTGATGTGACATTCACCGAAGATAAAAGAAATTACAATTTATATTTTGTACCTTTCCTTACAAATTCTTTAATGCTATATACAATTATTTTTAGGGGATGTAGAAGAATTCAAATGATAAAGAACATACATATCATCGTGATGCCAATTTCACGCTTCTGCTGCTGATTATAATAATTTTAATTGTGATGTAAAATGTAACGTAACTATTTCTTTTTTGTCCTTTCTAATTTATTCTTTGATGTCTTTGAGTCTTTCTTGTTTTTCTTCGATTTCTCTTTAGATTTGATGGTTTCTTCCTTTTTACTTTTGTGCTTTTTTTGTTCTTTCTTCTTGGCATTTTCCTTAGAGGATCGCTTCTTCTTCTTTTTCTTTTCCTCTTCTGAAGATGATGAATCTAATCAACAGGTACATTAATTATTCACATACATCATACTTAAGAGAAAACCTACACACCATCATTAAAAATGTTCACATCGATTTAAGAGTCAAAACACAGTATTTACCTGAACTTTCCGAAGACTCCGAACTGTTGGAAGAGCTGGAACTTGTAGAGGAACTTACAGTACTGGATGATTCTTCTTCACTTTCCTTTATTACAGAAGGAACCAATACTGGTTTAGGGCGTGATTTTAAATGTTCCCGCAAGTCATCTCTGCAAATAGCATTGAACAACATATTTAAACCTGTTTAGTTATTTTACAGAAAATTATTTGCCTATGTACTCACGTCAAACCACCTAGACCAATAGACGTGAAGAAGTTAATTGCAAAACGAGTATTTTTGGGGTCATCTCTTGGAAACAGGCCGTCAAAAGCTCGTTGCAAAGTTCTGTGTGAGTAATTGAGCATTGTTTCAGACAATAATTTATTTTACAAATGATAGATCTAAATTTATATGTAACTATAATAAATGCTATACTTACATGTCCTTTACGCGTTGATTCAGTTTGGATAGACCAAGATATTCGGACAGTTCTTGAAACAGAATTTTAATGAATATTCGACTGGAACTTGTAGTATCTTCTTCATTTAATCTTATGCAGGATAAAACTTCCCAAGATATTGAGTCCGTAAATAAAAGATGCGCAAAGAACTTTGAAACATTCCGCAACTTATTTGTGTCAAGTCGATGTATTGTATCATAAGAGTCTTTGAAAATTTGCTCAAACGGTGTGACGTACATCTTATTTATAGCACAAAATCTCTGAAAAATATTAAGGTAAGAAACGTATTAATGTCACTTATTCTTTCATACATGAAACTGATTTAATTACTGAAAAAATACAATCATATTCTAAATGTTACTTACTCCAGCCAAGAGTCCAAAGAACTTCTCGTACGTTCTCATTTCTGCACAACAGTCCAAGAACATGTGGCAAAGTTCAATCTCTTGACCAGGTTTCAATTGCATTTTCATTAACTTATGTGCACACTCCTCAAAGTCAAGAGACGAGTGAATAGTTAAATAAATTGTTCTTCTTAAGGCTGTTAAATTTGTCTCAGTATTGTCAACAATCACATCTTTCTTAGCTTCTCCTAGAATGTCATAAATGGCGATAGTTCACATAAATCTACTTTCTAACGAATTAATAGACAAATGAGATACCTGTTTCATTACTACTGTCTTCATCGGAACTTTCCTCTTCTTCGTCTTCATCATTGCTATTTTCTGATCCACTACTATCAGTATCCAATATTTCCTTACTTAATGCTTTGTATTTCTCTTCATTGACTACATACTCTGAGTCAAACTTGAAAACGTCTAAAGAAAAAAAGAGAGATTGGCACATTATATAAAATGTAAATAATTACAGAGAGGCTATACTAGTTTGACAATCATTCTCTTACTCAATATATCCTGAGAATCAGTTGCCTCATCTAAAGTGATTAAATGGGTAAATTGATTTTCTTCCTCAACAAGATCTAGTTCCTCACTTACAGCTTCATGATCTTTGAAACCATCCTTTCGAATTTGGAACATAACTTCTATCATATATTGTACCTGAAAAATTACAAACATGTATTTGATAATACATACAGAAAAACTGAAATGCAAATGAATATGCACAACCAAAGCTTACCCTTTTATCCAATTGACCTTCGTGCAAAATGTTTCTTAACATTTCAAAAATAGCTTCAATTCCTTTTCTGGAAACCTCCGTTAATTTCATGCCACATTCTTTCAGAAATGCAATTGCTACTTCAACGGAATCATCGGTCGGAGTTTCCACTAAAAGTGTTAAGATTTCCAGGGCAAGGATTTCATGGGCCACACGTTGATTCACCAAATGGGCTACAAAAGTTCCCGATGATATGCATAATGGTTTGTCATTTCGTCGAAACCCACGTTTAAATTGTATTATGAGCCTTTTAAGCAGAAGCTCTCCAATATTAGGGAACTATAAAAGGTTTCATTGTTATTAACATAAAATTAAAATAAAATATTCTATTAAATACATGTATACGACAATACATACCTTTGAATTAATAACTGCTGTGAGTGCAGCATAAACTGACGTAAAAGTAGGAGATGCAGCTTGGGCTTGAATAATCGAACGAGCTAACAATCCTCTACCCCGAACAATGTTCTCTCTCAGAAGTTCTCTGGTAATCAGTCCAATATTGCTTGTATTAACTTTATTGATATAACCATGAATAGACTTTTTAAGAGCTTCCCATGCAATGCGCTGATAAGCAGCACCAGATTTATCAGTGATTTCTGCCTGCATCATACGTAATTTAGCAGGTGGAATATATGCTCCGCCAGTTTTAGATGTGAGAAGATCAACTGTCCGTTTTTCTTTTGCAGAAATGTTTTCACTTGGTTCTGATTCTGGATCTTTGGCACGTTCTCCATGGGATCGTAATCTATCCAGATTATCGTCATGCTCTTTTCGGCTTCTGTTATGTCTTACATCATCACCATATTCAATATGTTTATCCCTCTGGAAATCACCATAGCTTTCTTTATATCTATCATCCATATACTTCCTATCACTGCCTCTTCTATTTCTACTTTTCCGATCGATGCTTTTATAAGAACTGTAACCTCCTTCTCTGTGTCTATTATAGATTTTGTCTCTGTTTCCTTTACTTTTGTCCCTTCTGTTTTCATCCTTCTGTGAGATACAATCATTTTCTCTGTACCTTTTATTGCTCTCATCTCTGCCTCGTCTACTTCTGCTTCTTCTACTATCATTGGCATCATGTTGATGGCTTTTCATATCTGGCTCAAGAGACTCTTTCGTTTCTCTACTTGTTCTATTCTTTTCTCCTTTTTCCTCTTTGTCGCTATACCTTGAATACTTCTTTTTCTTATTGTGAGAGCTATCCGTTTCTCTCGTGCGATTAGAATTGTCTTCATTATTTTTACTGTCAATATTCTCGCTCCAAGATGGCAAGTCAAAGTCATCGTATGTTTGTGGTGCTGGTGGATTAGGGTCTTTGTCATTATTCCGATGAGAATTTTGATCTTGATTCTTTGTCGAACTTCGTTTACTTTCCTTCTTCTTAGATTTAGAAACCGTTTTCTCCTCCCGATCAGAATCACTACTTTCGGAGGATGATGAAGATGTATTGTGTTTTCTTTTCTTTCGTTCCTTTTTAGCGGCTTCTGGATTCTTTGTATATTCTTTCAAACCCATGCTTACTTTGTATCTAACAAAAGTATTTCAATGTAACCAAGTATAACTCGCACAAAGTACATACGGTGGAAGAAATTATGTACTGCAAAAAGGAACTTTTAGCACATTTGTCTAAACCATAATACACGTATGCAGAATGTTATTCAGTTTCGAAGGGAAAACACGCGAACTTTATTAAAAAAGTCGTGCAGAATTGAGAAATTCAACTACCAACTTGATCTATTAACCTCGCAGGAGCACCGATGCAGGTAAGTGAGAGTTTATTTAATACTTTGCTACATGAGTAACTATGTCTCCATCGTACTTCTAAATCCCGGATTCAGTGAAGCGCATGTTTCCACCGTATGACTACGTTTCTATCGTACTCGAAATCCGGGATTTATCGGGATCGGACCCCGTAAATCCGAATTGAAGTATCAATCGAGACGCTCAGAGAGTTTATTACGTAAAGCAAATTGAGCGAAAATATGAAAAATGAGTAGCTCACGGTATTACGGAGCGTTTTTTGGGTGAAAATGCGAGACCATTCATATGAATTGCTCGGCAGGTTTCTCCCTCCCTCCTTAGTCTGTGTGGACTGATTTGGACTCCGTCCATGATATGTTCTACCTATGTATGTACATATTTGATGTTTTATTCTTTTAATTCTTAAGTCCGTGCTTTTATCACGTTGAATCTCATACAGCAGTATAGTCTGCTTTGCAATTACGTTGGATTATAAGGAGGTGTATGACAAATTTAATAATGGCGCAAGGTGGGCGATTGGGTCTATTGCGAACAACTAATCTATTGTTGAAAGATAATTGCAATCATCCCGTTATATTATCTGGAAAGAGATTAAGGTAATTACATATTAAGCGATGTTTTGAAGACACGTGCTGCATTGGAGACCTGACCTTCTTTGACCTTGAATTGCGGCTAATTGCAATAGTAATTAATTAAGCATTAATCTTTGTCTATTCTTACTATTGCAAACTAAATCGAGATTCGTTTTAGATTTCTTAGTTTATAGTTAATTATTTGCAGTATTTTAATTTTTGTATAATTTGTAAATAAACCCTACAATGAGTGGGTGTTTCAAGACTAGCTTTGTGAAGTATCATTGTTTCTGATGAGCATGGGCAATTATTAATTTATTATGCTTGTAGTTCATGGTGGTCCCATGTGGAAATGGGGCCCCCAGATGCAATTCTGGGGGTCACGGAAGCCTACCGAAGAGATGTAAACCCAAAAAAGATAAATTTAGGTGTTGGAGCTTACCGTGATGATAGTGGTAAGCCATTTGTGCTTCCCTCCGTTATTAAGGTGTGCCTTATGATTTATCTAAGTATTAATAAATTATTTATATTGGGACAAATCAATTTATATTGTTTTTTATTTGTATACAGGCTGAGCAGAGAATCGGAGCAAAAGGATTAGATAAAGAATACTCGCCAATATCTGGCAACAGTGAATTTTGCAAGCATAGTATTCTTTTAGCACTTGGCGAGGATAATGTAGCTGTAAAAAATGGTCTTGTAAGTTTATTGTCATTATAATATATTTTTAGCATTATGCAAAAGAATACTGTTTTCAGACCGTCACTACGCAAGGAATTTCAGGAACTGGTTCCCTTCGTATTGGTACCGCTTTTCTGCAGAGTTTCTTTCCTGGTAATAAGGAATTGTATTTACCTACACCTTCGTGGGGAAATCATGTTCCAATCTGTAAGCACTCCGGGCTTTCCGTGAATTCTTATCGTTATTACGATCCTAAAACTTGTGGATTGGATTTTAAAGGGATGTGTGATGACATACTTGTAAGTATGAGATTTCAAATTTATATTGAATAACATGATTTAATCATTTCTGTGTGTTGTATGTGAATAATGTGATTATATCATTTTACTAACCCTAGAAAATCCCTGAAAAATCCATAATATTATTGCACGCATGTGCCCATAATCCTACCGGTGTAGATCCTAAGCCAGAGCAGTGGGCTGAGTTGTCGGCACTGATAAAGAAAAAAAACCTATTCCCCTTCTTTGATATGGCCTATCAAGGGTTTGCTACAGGTGAATATATGTAGAATTTTGACAATTAATGCTACAAAGAAAACCCTGACTAAATCAACCTATTGTGCTACTTCCAGGTGATGTTACAAGAGATGCATTTGCAGTTAGATTATTTGTTAAAGAAGGTCATCATATTGCTTTAGCACAATCTTATGCAAAAAATATGGGACTGTATGGTATGTGTAATTAATATGAAATATTAGGCTTGTTAGTATTAAAAGATGTCTTTTAGCCATTCAAACTAGACAAAAAAAGACTTCTTTTAATGTTAAAAATGAAATATGAATGGAGTCATTAGTCATTATAGTCTGATCATAAAAAAAATGTTACTGGATATTTGCAGGTGAACGTGTGGGAGCCTTTTCTTTAGTAACATCGAGTAAAGATGAAGCAGAACGTACAATGTCTCAGATAAAGATTTTAATTAGGCCAATGTATTCAAATCCTCCAATTCATGGAGCACGCATCGTTAATGAAATATTGGGTGACAAAGAATTGAACCAAGAGTGGCTCAAAGATGTGAAAACAATGGCTGATCGTATTATTTCAGTTCGTACTAAATTACAAGATAGCCTTAAAAAAAATGGAAGTTTACGTAACTGGTCCCACATTACAGAGCAAATAGGAATGTTTTGTTATACAGGCCTGACACCACCTCAGGTAATTGATCAATTTTAATTTTTTAAGTGTTTGAAGTTGTGGTTATTGTAGATTGTGTAATTTTTCTTTCTTCTACTTTTAACAAAATTTTACGAGTTCAATATATTCTGGTACAATGTATTTCTGTTTTGCAGGTTGCTGCTTTAACAAAGGACTTCAGTATATATTTGACAAAAGATGGTAGGATATCAATGGCTGGCGTTTCGTCCAAGAATGTAGAGTACTTGGCTTATGCGATACATGAAGTTACAAAGTAATTTGAGAAAACTTAAAAAGTTTAAAAGGTTATGACGAAACCACTGTCTTGTGCTGTTTTCGCCGAGGTAATCGCTGCGTGCTTTAGATTATTTATATTTTATCTAGAATGTACATTTATTTTTGCATATTACTTCTATAAGCACTGCAGGCAGTGATTTGTACAAATCTATTTCCATTTTCTGTCAAGTTTACCCTATACACCATAATGAACACTGTAGTTATATCTATTACATACAAATGTTAATAATGAACTATTTCAACTAGAAAAAATGTGCATTCAGTTGAAAAAAAAATAAACCAGTCAAACATGTTAGTGCCACTCTCTTTCAGACGGACATTTTCTTCATTGTTGGCAACAGTAGATACTCAGTCCATACTATATGTTTATAATTGTAAATAATATTAAACTTTCCTTTTGGACGGTATAAACGGTGCGCACGCATTGGTTAACCTGAGTGGAACAGTGACGGAGACTCACCCATTGTTTCATCTTTCTTGCACAAATGATTCCTGAACTTTGTGCTATAAGCAGATGCATCCAAATCTATTTTTCTCTTAAACAAGCTTGCCGTGTACGTTTAAGCGTGGTGAGCGTTCCAGTTTATTATATATTTCAGCAACAAGTAACGACACAGGCTATAATGACAGATTCGTGTTCTGCCAGTATGAATTTTTTACGTATTTACATTTTTTCTGACAATTTAAAAAGTCTAGCTCTGGAGAGAAAATTATATTTTTGGATGCAAAGTTTCCTCACTTTTAACTCTACTAGGTGTGGAAACGACATTGAAAATGATGTACCATTCCCTCTTAAAAACCGAAGATACACAAATATATCATTTATTGATTTTTAATATCTGAAGCTGTCATGAAATAAATTTTAACTCGTTACAATACGCATTTGATAAAAGAGTCTTAAGACCTAGTCAAAATGAATCAACATACTGTACAATTGCAACTTATGTAAAGGTTATTTGCGTTCTAGCAGGATTAGCCTGCCAAACATCTAGTATTTCATACGCTGTGATGCATTCTTCAACCTGGTCAGGTTTAAATCCTTTACTAGTGCATCGTTCCAGGATGTCTGATACTTTCACGGTATTGCTATCACCAGCTAATTCTCTGATAAGATGGAATATTCGATCATTGTGATGCTGAGGTCTATTAGTCATTTTAATATCACAAAGATTAATGGAGGCTTTCGACATTTCGACAAGTCTGTTTGCTTCAATTACATCTGCTTTCTCAACCACATTAGATAGTCGTAGACGAGCCAAAGCAGTAGCTAAGCGAAGTACAGCAAGTAGATTGCGAGCTGACGTAAATGTCATATCGCGACTATTACGGGCTTCTCTTCGCATTGATACATAAGAGTCTGAATAAAAATACGCCAGTTATTATTTTACAAATTTTAGATCGTTGATCTTTTTCAGATACAAAGAAATTAACTGTACCCATGTATAATTTAATAGAAATTGGGTGAGTGAACTTACCTACAATTCCGTCTGTTAATTCTTCGATAATAATGGGTTGTTTTTTTTTACAAAGATTAATATATTTCCTCATGAGATTCATGTCCAGGGGTTTCGTTTTCGAAGGGGGTTGTACACAATGTTGATGAACATAAGTTATGTGCTTAGCCAACCTGTCAAACATTTTATCTTGTTATGTCAAATACATCAAATAAGCTATTGGTATACGTACTTGAGATCATTGTGCCGATCGGCTCGGTCTTGTATCAACCAAAGTAAGTCAAAACGTGAAAGTAAAGCTGCAGGAAGTAGTACGTTTTGTTCCACAGATCGCTTTGGATTATATCTGCCATATGCAGGATTAGCAGCTGCCAGTATTGACACTCTTGCATTTAAACATGTCATGATACCAGCCTTGGCAATGGAAATAGTTTGTTGCTCCATAACTTCATGGATTGCAACTCTGTCAGCATCTGCCATCTTGTCAAACTCATCGATACAACAAATCCCTTGATCAGCTAAAACTAAAGCACCACCTTCCAACGTCATTTCACCTGTTAATGGATCCTTCATAATTGCAGCAGTTAAACCAACGCCAGATGATCCACGTCCAGTTGTATACTGAGATCTGTTAGCCAGACGTGTTATAAAACAAAGTAACTGTGATTTGGCAACACCTGGATCTCCCATTAGACAAATGTTAATGCTTCCTGTAGTCACAGATTAACACTCAATTTCAAGTTAATCAGTAATAATACGTCATTACAATAATATTTCATGTATCATTCTATTTACCTCTTATTTTAATATCGTCGTGCTTTTTATCAGTTCCACCTACAAGTAATAGTAATAAAGCTTTTTTAACATCTTCCAGACCATAAATTTCAGGTGCAATTGAGCAAGCTAACTTGGTGTATAAGTCGTCATCTGTTAACTGAGCTATTTCTTCATCAGTGATTTCATTGGAACTTTCATCAGCGGTTTCCATGTTACTTAAACAAACAATTCTCTGAAATAACAAAAATTTGATTAATATGATATAAAACATATTAAAGAAAAAAGTATATAATTTGGAAGCCCTTACATGTGCTTCTATGTAAGTCTCGCTTAGTAATCCTGGTGTGCCTCTAGGTCCAAAGCCTGTCTTGACAAGTGGTAAAAATATGCCAGTGATAGAAACATGATCACCAGGTAAACACTGCCTTGTAGTCTCTCCTCTACAGAAAATTGTCAAAGATCTAGGGATATGGCCAACTGGAACTTGATCACTCTGTAATAATTTACATATACCATAAATCGTATAACTGTTCATTCAAACTTATTTAAATGTAAACAAAGATGAAAGGCAACAATTTTTAAACTAAGATCAATAACTTACATGTTCTTGAAGTTTAACTTCTTGAAATTTGACAAACTTTGAACCCTTTGATTGCATATGAAGTCTTCCACCAGATTTGTTTAAACGACAGTCATCACTAGGGCAAGTTTGTTGCGGAAGAAAACTAAGAGCTTGTACTGGCTGATAAGTTTCAGCTCCACATTGATCGCATGTATAAGTTGCTACAACCATCATTGGTTTGACTTCGGTACAGCGAGTGATTATTCCCCTTACTGTAACAAGTTTTCCAATTCGATCTGCTTTTATATCTCTTACAGAAAATCCTTTTGAATCACTAAAATCTTTAAAATAAACCTCACTGGAAAAAGAAAACATTACACTTATATGAGTTAATAGTTACAGTCACAATACCACGCATTATTTGCAACTACAAGTGTTCTTACAAGCGTCGCATTAGTTCTGGTGCATATTTATTTCTTGGATCTCTTTGGTCTACAGTAGGCCTATTACGTGATTCCATCAATAAACGATGTTCAATATAAATGTCTAATGCATCTTTAGCTGCTACTTGTCTTTCCTTGAGAGTAGGTAACATTTCCTGAATTAACTGTAAGAGAAATAACGATATAACACACACACACACACATGTACATATATAATTTAATATTTTAGGCACAAACCTCCAGTAACAAGTTTGTATAGCGACGAGTATTATTAGCAATGGAAGTAGCTAGATTATCATCAAACTCTTGTACATCATCCAAGTCAATTTCAAGAGCTACTTGTTCTCGGTGTGCAATTTTCTTTAGTTGAGAATGATATTTTAAACATTTGTCCGCAGTTTTGTCATTCATCTTTACAAATTCCATTAAAAATAGCTTTAATTGGTCTAATGTAAAAATGGTATTCAATTAGTCGGTTTCTAAATAATAAATCAATTACATGTGTTTACGAATTAGACGCGTACCTCTATCCTTTGCATAATCTCTCCCTTTAGGTGCCATTTTTCTAATATCTTCGGCACGATTATAGAAGGCCGTAAAAGGAAAATATTATTGTATATTTGATATCAAATGAATAAAAGAATCAATTCTGCATTTACTGATCCACACTTGAAAACATCCCAATTCGAAGAAACGACCAACTCCAACGAGAAGAACTCCGTTTTCCCGCGTTGTAATTAAGAAAAAAGCCGATAGAGCGGAAAGTCCCAGTGTTACCAGACGCGGGTGATAAATTCTCCCTAGGTCTAAGATGGGACTTTGGGTTTTTGACTATAAAAGTATGGACTGCTAGTTGCCAGGATATCAGCGCCATCGTGGACCAAAAACTAATGATTTCGTATACCCCGAAGCAGGGCGTTTATTACGTATTTTTGACGAGTGCGCTCACTTCTCGCACTTCCATCTCACGTGGGTTTATTCGCTGAATTACGTATTCGCTATATGAAAGAACGAGATCACTAGAACTTCCGGTCTAGTAATATTGCAAATAAAGGTACATACTAGGTCTTTAGGCTAAGACCGAAATCCAAAAAGTTACAAGTTACAACCTTGCATGCAGGTAACGCAACAAACCTGTAGATATTCACAATGGGAGATAACTTAAAAATTAAAATGGCTGAGAAGGTGATCACCGAAGAAGAATTAGTTCAGAAACACAAAAGAGAAAGGAAAGAGCTTCAAGGTGCTATAGCATATGACCTTTATATGTTAAAATATTTAATTTGTTAAGTTTCATATTTCATGTGATACGCGTGAACGTTATTTGTTTTTTCCGTATCGTTTCTGCAGCAATCATACTTTAGTTATTTCAGTTGAATGGCTGTACTGCAATACGAGTTACTCTTTAAACTGTTAAGTTTAACAATTTTAAAATGGTAAAATGGATTAGAGTATTAAATTTCACACAATTTTTCCTCCGAGGTTTACTTATTTTCAAGAGTACATTTATTTTTCTCATGCGTCATTACTTCAATACATCTGTGTGTTTCCAAAATAATGTTGAACTTCTTAATTGTTGATTTTATCTAATTACCGATCTTTTTTGTATTGCTCAGCACAAATTCAGATTCTAAAAAAATCAATTTGCAAGGGTGATAAGAAGAAAAAGAAAGAGACCATTGAAGAAATAAGTCGTCGAGAACTTGATTTAGAAACACGGCAGAATGAGGAAATGGCGAACCTAAAATTATCTCATTTCACGATCAATAAAGCAGAGGATGATTCTGATTTACAAAATGTTGTTGAAGACAGTACAGATGAAAAATCAGTAGTTGCGTCACAAAGGGTTTCAAAAGCACAAAAGAGAAGAGATAAGAAGGCGGATGCTGAGAAGGCACGCAATCGTTTGATAATCGAACAAGAAGCTTTAAATGAATTTGGAAAAAGAAATGTTGAAATGCAAACTATTAGGAAGATCCTTTGCGAACGAGAGTTAATGATTTATGAGATTCCGAGTGATGGCCATTGGTAATTTTCAATTTATATGTTAAAATCACTTATTTCATGATACTCTAGTTGAGGAGAAATTCTTGTTTTAATGTTTATAATTATAAATTGTTGTAGTCTATACAATGCTGTAGCACATCAGTTGAAATCCATAGGAGAAGCACCATTCGGATTTGGAGAACTCAGGGCCAAAACTGCGGTGTACTTACGTGAAAATATGAATGACTTTTTACCCTTCTTGTCAAATCCTGATACCGATGATTTGCTTTCTCCAGAGCAATATAACAAATATTGTGATAATGTGGCAGATACAAGTGCATGGGGTGGTGCCGTAGAGGTAAGATAAATTGATTTACATTATTTTTATACACACATGCCATTTTAGATGTTTTAATTTAAAAATAATTTGCAATGGTTTAATAGTTGCAGGTATTATCTCGTGTCCTAAAATGCCCTATTGAAGTCATTCAAGCATTTGGTGCATCGTATATTATTGGGGATGAATTCAAAAATAGTAAAAAAGTTATTTTGACTTACCATCGACATATGTATGAGCTTGGTGCTCACTACAATTCGGTAATCAAGTATGTCAAGGACAAAGAAAGTTGATAAGTCCTAAACTTAGTCATATTTTTATTAAAAGCATTGCCAAAAACGATAACACTTGTTTTCCTATACACAGTATGGGGATTTAATTCGCGATATCAGTACGAACCTTTTAAAAGCTGCCAATATTTACTAAAAATAGTTTTAAATTAAAAAGTTCAAAACAACACAATGAATTCATATACCTTAGATGAAATGAAATATTTAAAACCAGGTATTTCATTAATTGTGCAATGTTGTCAATTGAATATTAGGTTGAAATGTTGTAAATAAAGATAAATTGAAGCTCGGATCTCATGCTTTCAATATTGGAAAGTTTTTGGGTAACAATCGAGAAGACTTCTATTGACTACATTATTTTTTACTTGCGAAACTTTGGTTTAGCTATCCGAGTTTCAATTTTTTATTGATAAGCCGAAAAAAAAGTCACTGTCTCTTTGTGATTCGACAATATCTACAAATTATATCAGTCTACTGCCGAAATGGATTTTGCGTGTAACATACACGTATGTACATAAACGTGTATACTACCCTATTGCTCTGTCTTTTGACTATGTACATTTCAATACGCGCAAGAACATACATTACTGTCAAACTGTTCAGTAAGTAAGTTGCGATTTGCTCCGCTTATGTGTATCCTAGATTTTACTTAACATACAAAACTGTGAATGCTTATACCGTAATAGGTACATGTATGTAGTCAGTGTGTCGATACAAGAGACATACATATGAAGATATGAAATATCACAATAAAAGAATTTGTTAATTTCATTTGTTTCCATTTACATTGGTTCAGATTACATTGTACGATCTCTATATTCTGTAAATTTATCCAATTATGGGTATCAAAGATCTTATAATACTGTAACATAAAAAAAGTATTTTATTTAGTTACTATTGACTTCTACTTCATCAGTGGATTCTTTATTCTTTAATGGGTCATCGGGTTTCATGGCTGGGAAAAGTAATACCTCCTGTAAAAATATATAAAGTAAATGTAAAAGATAAAAACATCGGATTAGAGGATAGAACTTTGAAGCATTACCTTAATGTTATTTGTATCGGTAAGGAACATGGTAAGTCGATCAACTCCTAGACCCCATCCCGCAGTTGGAGGTAGCCCATACTCCAAAGCAGTGCAGAAAGTTTCATCTACAACTTGTGCTTCATCATCTCCTGCAGCTTTATCTTTGGCTTGTTGTTCAAATCTGCAATTTAACATTTCAAGGTTAAATTTAATGTTGTCTAGTGACAACGAAAACGAAATCGATAATATATAAATACCTTTCTCTTTGGACAAGGGGATCATTCAATTCAGTATAAGCATTGCAAATTTCCTTCTTCATAACAAAGAGTTCAAATCGTTCTGTGAGACCTTTTTCAGAACGATGCCATTTTGCCAGTGGTGACATAATTTGTGGATGATCCAAAATAAAAGTAGGGTTTATACACGAATCTTCTATGAATTCTCCGACAAGCTAGAATTCGATTATGTCAATTACTATACCAGGTACTGGGAAAATGCTTAACTTATATAAAGGTACATTTGTGTATCTTCTTATTACATTCTTACTTTGTCTAATAGTCTAGCTGTAGTTCGAGGAGGTGGACAGTCTACTTCTTTTTTAATGCATAGTTCACTAAGAAATTGATTGGCTTCTGGTGTATTTAATTTATCCGGTTCAGGGAACTTAACTTCAAGGACATCTTCTAAGGTTTTCATCATTGATACTCGTTTAAAAGGTGGAGTAAAATCGATAGCTACCGATTCGTTCTCTGGTCCGTTAGGATGGTACTGAATTTTGTAAGTACCATGCAGAGACTTCACCATACCAGAGATCATGTTCTCTGTAATACACATAAGGTCATTATAATCAGCATATGCCATATAGAACTCACACGTTGTAAATTCTGGATTGTGTGTCATATCGATGCCCTCGTTTCTGAATTGTCTACCAATTTCATAGACTCTATCCAATCCACCTACCACCAACATCTGCAGTGATATAAACAATAATTAATCATAATTTCAAAATAAGCTTATCAAATATATAAAAGCATTTACAATAATTTACTTTATGATATAATTCTGGAGCAATGCGCATGTAAAGGTCCATATTCAGTTCATTATGATGGGTAATGAATGGTTTAGCTGTTGCACCTCCAGGGATCATGTTCATCATAGGAGTTTCTACTTCCAAGAAACCCAAATCATCTAAAAACTTACGGATGTAAGCAATTATCTTTGCCCTTGCATGAAAGGTTCTTCTTGTTTTGTCATTTAGAATAAGGTCTAGATAGCGTTGGCGGAACCTTGTTTCCTAATAGATGGTTTATAATTATACATAATCAGAAAGACATTAACTAAAATGGATAATTGTATCTATGTCATGTACCTTATCCTTCAATCCAAAGTGAAGATGCGGTAACATATGTAAGCAAGGACTTAATAATGTGATACGATGAGGTATTATAGAAAATTCTCCTTTCTTAGTTTTTCCCGGATTGCCAACAACCCCTACGATATCACCTCTTCTGATTTTGGCTGTGTCGGCAAAAAATTTTTCTTGATTTTCATAATTCTTAGCATTGACCATTGCTTGAACTTTTACACCTTCTCCTCTAAGATCATAAAAAATAAGTTTAGCACCAGATTCTCGTATAGCATGAATTCGACCTGCGATGCTATGCGTTTCATTCTCAAGTGTTTGTCCCTCCTTTACAATAGAACTGAATTGTTCAATGAAATTTTCCAATGACATGGATACATGAAATTTATGAGGATACGGGTGTTCCTCTTCTTCTTTGAGTCGGGCAATCGCCTGAGTTCGTAATTTAAAGTATTCCTGCATGATAAAAATATGTAATGAAAACAAAGGAGAATTTATAAAGTAACGGCAAATGAAAGTATTTGTTACATTAGAACTAATTTCCTCTTCTTTTAGCAAACCCTTGTCTTGGTCATTGGATTTCACATTAATAGATTGTGTTGGTTTCTCTACTTTTTCTTGGTTTTCAACTTTCTCCTTACTTTTTTGTTCAGCCTTGTGACGCCTTTTAAGTTCACTGTAATCAGTAATTCAAAATGTACTCCAATTAGTGTTCATACACGTAATAAAATACATAGTATATAATACATTGTATACGAGCATATGCACCGCTACTACACGTGGAGGCTTAACCGATAAGTACGCACTTTTTTGAGAGGTTGAATAGCGAAAAATGACGGAAATTCAAGTCGGGTGATCGGACTTTCGCTATTATCGTACGAGTACGGGACGGAACGAAGATTCTCAAAATTGTGCGCATCATCGAGTCAGCCGGGGAGACCTGAACAAAATCTTGACTTAGATAAATTCGAGAAACTCGACGTGCCGTACTCGCCAAATTTGGCGTGTAAGCAGCGTGGATGCAGTCTGAGCGCAACGTGGACCGCAATAAGAGTAACCGCACTCGTACTGGATATTTACGGGAAATAATTTTGTGGAGTAGAAGGTTAGAAACGTCAGAGTAACAAACAATTACTGGTATTATCAATGAGAAAGGCTAAAATAAAGTATTACTTACTTTTTCGAAAGTTTTTCACCTGCCAAATCAGCCATGTCGTTAACCCTTTCCCGGAAAGAACTACACACCATGCAGTTGCACGTCTCCACCGTCGATATGAATTAAATACCGAATTAGATAAATCCAACTTTGGGTGCGTGGGTGGTCTATTACGTATGGTAGATGGAGTGAAAATGTGAAAAATGAGCAGCTCACGGTATGTTCGTACGTGTACGCGGAAGTTCCGTCATTCCGCTGTTTCTCTACAGCCAATCAGAACCTCTTATACACGCTTCGTCTCTCTGTCGCTTATCGCTCTAGCGCTAATGAAATATTGCTCTTCCACGTTCCGTGTTCATGTGGAACCGCCATATGACAGTGAAAGCGAACTGTACATGTGCGTGCGCCGCAAGGAAGTCTTTTCTGGAAGGACCGTTTGTCGGGACGGTCCCTTGGCGGTGGATTTTCATTATTAAGGGAAAATGGTGAGTGCATGTATTATCAAAGAAATATCCGTCGATTCAAACGGAGAAATATTTTATGAAGTGAAATTATCTCTTTGTGTTTTGACGAAATGAATGATCGTTATGGCGCTGACAGATTCGTAGAATGAGGATCGATGATGGCGGTTTCACGCGCACGGCATAATGTTTAGACGTTCATTTTGAGCACCATATGGCCCGATCAAATTGTGAAAAATATGCAAAATTTATTACTGGCCCCTAATGTCAAATTAATCACCTTACAATACGCAAATTAAGTTTGTGAAATTACTACAAAATTTGAGGTTAGGCATTTTGATATATAGATTCAATTGCAGAATAGCTTAATTTTTTTACTTTATACGATACAAGTACATTGTTTGTCGTTTGTTTCTTAATCTTATATTTTGTGAATTGCGTGCACCTTGATTACTCTAAATAAATGAATTATGATACAGTATTACAGTACTTGTAAGTGTATGCTATTTTTTAAGCCTATGAAACATTTGATGAAATGTATATTTTATATAGGATTATCGTTTAATTAATGCTGCAATATATTTAATGAGCACAGAGAGCCAATTATTTAAAAGTATTATTTTGTTATGTAGAGGTTTTTTTCACTTTTGCAACTATTCAAAATCTCGTATTGTAAGACAAAACTATTTAGCAATGAATAATCAGTTACAAATAAATCAAAAATCGTGTGACCCTTTAACTTTAAAAATCACTTACTTTCACTTCTATAAGAATATGATGATATTCTCAGCTCGCTTTGACACTAAAGTGAAGAAACTTACATGTTCCCTATTGACGCTAGTTATCTGAGTTATAAATCATTACTGATCCTTTAATTTATCCCCCTAGAATATTTGTTATAATGTTTTGTTTTGTTCTTTAGGGTTTCGTGAAGGTTGTCAAGAATAAGCAGTATTTTAAGCGATATCAGGTCAAGTTTAAAAGGCGTCGCGAGGGCAAAACTGATTACTATGCTCGCAAAAGACTCACCATTCAAGATAAAAATAAATATAACACTCCTAAATACAGGTTGATCGTTCGACTTTCCAACAAAGACATCACTTGTCAAGTTAGTATAATTGACGTTACCTTTTAAATTAGTGTTAGCTGTTAATTTCAATCTCACATAAAAAATAATTGCAGTAGCGAAAAGAAATTGGACGATATGTTGTACTCAATTATTGCTTTTATTTAGGTAGCTTATTCGCGAATTGAAGGAGATAAAATAGTATGTGCAGCATATAGCCATGAACTTCCAAAGTATGGTGTCAAGGTTGGACTTACCAACTATGCATCTGCTTATTGTACAGGTCTTCTACTTGCTAGAAGGGTAAGTATCAAATATATAAATTTTTCACGTTATGTAAAAAAGAAAATTATCAAATGATGAATCACTCAGCTCTCTTTGATACATACATGAAGAAAATTAATTTGTTCCCTATTGTATTCAATTCTGATTTTAATAACTAGACAATAATTCATTAGTCTAAGTTCTGTATAAGAATTAATCAAAATATTTTTTTTGCAGCTTCTTAAAAAATTGGGATTAGACACTTTATATGCGGGTGCAACAGTAGTAACTGGAGATGAATACAATGTTGAGGAATTAGATGATGGGCCAGGGGCATTCAGGTGTTATTTAGACACAGGTCTAATGCGTACAACAACTGGTGCACGTGTGTTTGGTGCAATGAAAGGTGCCGTTGACGGCGGGCTTAATATTCCACACAGGTGCAATATTAAATTTAATTTTCAAAGTCTTCTCATTCCCTTTTATTAGGTGATGAATTTATGACACATGCGCGTCATCTGAGCTACCGCAAAGTTAACTTCTATTGCTGTGTATTACATCAGTAGAAGAATGCTAAGCATTGGCATCACAAGATTATAAAGTGTCTCTGATAATACATTACCTTTTCTTTTCGTTTACATGTTGCTTTTTTATGATGTAACACCGTTTTATTTTTGTTAACAAGCACGAAGAGGTTCCCTGGTTATGACAATGAATCCAAATCGTTTAATGCTGATGTTCATCGAGAACATATATTTGCTCAGCATGTTGCTAATTATATGCGAACCTTGGAGGAAGAAGATGACGAGGCCTTTAAGCGGCAATTTTCGCAGTACATTAAAAATGGAATAACTGCAGCAAATGTAAGTTGTACTGTGATTTATTGGTTAATATTATGCTTTACAATGTATAATATGTGTACGTTTTAAAACTGTCCGATTTAAATTGCTATTAGGACTAAATTGCCTTGTAGTGTCGCAGTTGGACTATATTAATGCACAGGTCAATGAATGTATTGTGTAATGTTGACAACACTTTGTTTTTGACCTGTGTTACATTATTTTTCTTTTTCACTTCTATATTTTCTTTCTTTATGATGTTTTAATCCTACATGACTGATGTATATTTTTATAATGCAATAACAGATTGAAGGAATCTATAAGAAAGCCCATGAAGCTATTCGAGCTGATCCCGAACATACAAAGGTTGTTAGAACACAGAAACCTGTCAAGAAACGCTGGAATCGGGCGAAACTTTCTCTCTCTGAACGAAAGAATCGTGTTGCACAAAAGAAAGCTTCTTTCCTTAAGAAGCTAGAAGAAACGGAAGCATAGTAGATTAAAAACTTTTGTACCACAATGCACACTACGTTGCACGTGCAAAGCTGGCCTAATAAGATAATGTATCTGTTAAATTACTATGGCTTTTTTGTACGTGTACATGAAACAACAGTGGCATGAAACACAATAAAATCTACTGTATGCTATGTTGATTATTGCTCTATTTATTTGTTATAAAGATCTTTAATATATGAGAACACGTGTAATTACAATTTCTTTGCACTGGTCTGTACTCGATAACAAAATGAAATCTAATAGTGTGTAAAATAAGAAAATTCTAACCAATTATTTCTTAACAAAGTTGTCATTTTATAGGAAGGAATATATGTAATATTTCGAACGTTAATACAAAAACTGGACAGAACATACATTTGATCAATACAAATAATACATTATGAATGTTGCATATATATCAAATATTTTATTTAATATAAAATATATTTTATATCTTTGAATTAATTAATATAAATACAAACCCAGTCAATTTGTTCGGTAAGCGTTCATTTAATTACACTGGTTTTGATTTCTTTTTGAAAGTATTTTAAATGTAAGATGAAGGCCCTCCAAAAAATGTCATTGCGGAGTAAAAAGGAGCATATTCATATGTTTCCTGCAGTTTCATAAAAAAATACTTTATCTTTAAAGGGATAGTGTTTCTTTCTTACATCAACTTCCGATAAATCTGATATATTGTGATAACCTTGTATGTGTATGTGTATCAAAATATACTATTTTTGTACATAGATACAGGTTTATACATGATACATTGTATACAGACATGAATTAGCAAGAAGTATATAAAGATTTAGAAAAATTAATTAAAAAATATACACTATATAACTTCAGTGTAGATTAATAGATTGACAATCGGTTCAGTTCTACGCATGGAAGACATACTTCTGGAAAACAAAAAAATCCTAGACATGGTGTCATCTTAAATGCTTAAATCGATGAAACTGCATCAGAATGAATTCAGAATTATTAGAAGAAATACGAGTTGTTGAAGAACTTTCCTCTATTTTTGGTAATTCTACATATAGCTTAACACATTCAACGCCACGACAGTCATCAGTGGCAGTGACCGTCATGATATAAATGCTTTAATATAATACAATTTACGTGGCCTGAACGGAAAGTCTCAGAATACATATGGCACTGAATGTGTTAAATTAAATCATAGAAATGCTTTGAAATATAATTGCTAATTTTCACTTTTGGTTAGAATTGTATACAATAAGACGTTAACTGTAAAAATTACTTCTATATCTCAAGTAATGTTAATCCGAAGTAGTTTTATTTTTTATATCTGTCTTTAACAATTTCAGTGAGTGTTTCAAAACCATCAACGGCTATTAAAAGATTACTAGCGAAGAGGAAGAGGTTGCATGAAAAATCGTGCAATGAAATGAACGGCGCATTACTAACAATTTCTAAACAGTATGAGGATGAACTTCGAAGTTGTACCGAAGAACTCCAGATTGAAATTAATGGGCTTCGTAATGAAATTGAACGTATACAAGACAAACTACATAAAGTAGATGTAATTGTCAAAACTTCAATGAGTTACATTTATATAATGCATGATTCTTTTATTATCGTTGACATTTATGGAATGTGGCAATTAGCTCTTAGATTTGGATGAAATGGACTACGAATCAACTTGGGAAGGAATAGGGATTTTGATCGATCGTGAGAAACTTCTAATCAATCAATTCCATGACCATTTGAGGGAAATCGAAACAAAACGGAGGGATTGCGCAAAACCGATTATACAAAAGTACTATGAAATCTTGCGGAAAGCTTCACATCTTTTACCGGATCAAATCGATGAGTATGTGGAACAGGAAATGCAGGTATACCTTTTACCACAATGTATTGGGTTGATGAATAAGTAATGGGGTTTGTTTACATGTTACGTTACGTGTAAAAAAACGCCATTATAAATTAACTTATGCATCAGCCTAATATTTAGGAGTGCCCATGCTCACTAAATGAATTGTTTTTTACACATTTCTTTATGTTTCTTTATATTCCTTTATACATTTTCCGAGTCTAAATTTCCAATTAATAGTTGCCTGTGTCAAATATTTTAGTTAATTTCAAAGGGTCTTTAAATCGAGTGATTAAACATTTAATTAAATAATTTATCCTTGAACAAAATTCATTAAAACGAGGTAATATTGAGCCAACTTGTGGATTGGGATGGAATTAAAAATTTTAATTCCAGTGAGTACCTGATTTTTTCTTTAGACCTTATTCCGCTGGCAATGAAAGATAAAAAGCGAAATTCAATCCCTCTCGATCTCTTGGGCATATAAAATGGAATTTATTGAAATTAAAAGTTCCTAACTTATATTTCAGAAAAAGGATTTAAGGCAATGTAAAACATTTTTTTAACCCTTGTATCAATGACCGGGTACCCTTTCGTTCCTTTGTATATGTAAAGAGTATGGCAATAACCCGCAGCATGCAACATGATTCGTTTCAAGCTTTCTTGATGTACTTCAATAACTGGATTAATGATTAAATATCGTTCTTTGTCTTTATTAGAAATATGATGAAGCTGCATCAGAAAATTACAGGATGTACGCAGATTTATACTTACAATTGTGCCTGCTCACTGACACATATTGGCTGCAATTAAAAAATTGGGTAGAAGACTTACAAGCGAAACGTCAGAAAGCGATTCATTTTGAAACTATAAAGGCTCTAGAGTAAAAGCGTGTTTGTTGGAAATGAAAATGCCATCATTTCATATATGCTCAATCACTTCGGTACGAGCGTCGACTATAGTCGACAGCCACAGATGAACGCATACAGCCGAGCGTCGACTATAGCGACGGCCACAGATGAACGCACACAGCCGAGCGTCGACTTTAGTCGACGGCCAAAGATGAACGCACACAGCCGAGCGTCGACTTTAGTCGACAGCCGTGATATGAACTCGCCGGCCGATAAGCGCCGTACCGAAGTGGTTAAACATGGTTAAATGTCTGCTACCTCCATTTAATTGCAAAATACTATTCTTCAATGTTTGTAGGTTAGACTACGAAATTTTACAAAATCCAGAAATGATATTTATGAGCAGTGATGAAGGTAAATTAGCAATGTCAGAATTGAACGAAAAGAAGAATCTAATGCAAAGAACATTAAAACAATGGGATGTGAATATTCCATTTTGTGAAGAGGATATTAACTACTGGAGTACAGAGTTAAATAATGTGGCTGCAACGTTAGGTACTAAACAATTACAATTATAAAAGACATTCTTCGTTATGTCTTCTGTATAAATTTTATTAGGTGACTCCGTTAGAAACCTGATCAATTCGTATCGGAACAAACTCTCAAGTATATATAATGATTTCTGCAGTCATGCTGAAAACATTAAAAATGTTGAGACGAATATTGGTCCTCAACAACAAAGTATCACGAGTGTGGATACGATGATTCAATCTGTGAAGGAAGTGTTCGATGGAATCATTTTTAAATTACAGGCATGATTCTTTATTATTAGATATATCTTACAACTTCCATTACAGACGATATAAAGATTATCCTAACATTCCGTTTAATATAGAAGATGTAATTTAATCTGCTCCAGTTGCCACAAAATTTCTAACGGAAATATAAAATTCACTTGCCACTTTCAGACAATAGTATTATTTAATTTTATAAAAAAAAGATTACCGAATATGTTGCTTCAAGAAGTATCTAAGTTCCACAGTTTATGTGCAAAGTAATGATTCGTATGATAAGTGTTTTTTAAAATACAGAAATTACAAAATGACGCACACACAATGCTTTGACCCAATGACAATACTTTTGTTTCTAGGAATTGCAAGAAAGAAATTTGCATAAAATAGATGAAGTAGTACTGGCAACGATTAACTTCTTGTACGAATGCGTTTCATTTTGGGCATGGCAAGAAAGTCAGTTATCTAAAATAAAGGAGTCCATCTTAATTTCTGTGAACAACATCGGTATTAAAGGGGAGGAAAACTGTAAAAATGAGGAAAGTAAGTTGAAGAGTCAGATAGCAAGTCTGAGACAAGAACATGACGAGAGGAGAATGGAAAAGCATGTAAATGCTTCATTGGATATTCTGGTAACTTTACAACGGAAGTACGTTTGTTTCGAAACATGGATTTTGTAAACAGACCAAATGTCTATAATATTTGATTTGAAGTACTTACAGTATTGCTTTTTAAAAATTACACTGTGTGCATTAAATCATCATGCATGCAATCATGCATAAAATTACACATTCATTGCATTCGCAATTAATGACCATTTAAATTATCCCACAGATACAAGAATACATTTCAAGATCAATATAACGCAATAAAGAAGTACACTAAATTGGTAGAAAACCTAGTTCCAATACTTGAAACTAAACTTGAACAATTATTGAAGAAAAATCCTGACAAGGATACAGGTTGTTATTCTGATAACTTTGATAAGAATTCTTGGCAAGAAATCCCATTACAGATAAACAATTGCACGAATCAAACGCCTTCGTTGATAAATTGGAGATTTAAGTGAGTTGTCAACCTCTACACTCGGTGATTTATAAAGTAATTTAAGTATTACAACGTATTTTGATGTTTAAACAGATCGGTATGTGAGATGTATCGCACTGAAACTAATTGTATATAAACAAAGAAACTGATTTTCATATAATGTCGAGACACCTCTGTAGCATTCTGCCTTCTTAATTACAAACTATTGCATTTTTATCTGCATAACATTTTAAATACTTAAATTTTATAATGTGTAGAATAAGTGATATTGTCAGCGTTGTTAGTATAATAAACGTATTGTAAATATCTTATATGCTTCGCCATCACTGATGTTGGAAACTGGTACAATAACCATAATTGGAAGACAATTTTTTACAGCTGTGAATAAAGCAAGGAATATGCTTTATCTACGATATTTTTTAATTCATGATAGGATAAATCTATCGTTTGCAGGGTCGCAAATATGATACAATCACATCATAGTAATTTCATTACTGATATCTTAAAAATAACATGTAACTGGGAGAATACAAATGTTTATGACTGTGGAAAAATATTGGAGGAAAAGTTGAAAGAAAATTCACGCCAACATGATGAAATACGCAAAGAAGTTTACGATCTTCGGCTTCATGAAATACGCAATCATAATACATGTTTGAAGCAACACAAATTGGTTAGTGTGGCGTTGACGAATTAAAACATAAAAATTGATCTATTCGGATAAAGTATTATAAACTTTCAGGGTATACATATAGAGCTTCAAGCTCTGACTGTTAATTTAGAAAAGTTTTTGCTCCAAGAGAAATCAAATTCAACTGATTATATGAAAGATTTGGTAGATTTAGAAAACTTGATTAATGAAATACAAACATTCGCTAAAATCAAACATCTGCAAAACAAGGTATTTAAATTAATTTATTCAAAAATTCCACTTAAACGTGAAAAGAATAAATATTAATAACGTAACAGCAGTAAAAAAAGCATGAGGTTTTCCTTGGCCGTGATAGAATATTTATTGCACATTCAGAATCCTCAATTTTAAAAAATGCCAAATATTTGTCGCTTTTTCTAATTATGGATACTAAAAAGATCACAAAATAATTCTCACTTTTAACGTTTATTTTTAATTTAATGAACTTTTCACTGATATTATTTTTCTAAGACGTTGGTTAAAGGGATTCCTTCCATTATTAGTGGTATATTTTCATTTGCTTAGATCAAACGAAGATTTAACGAATGCGAAAAGATGTTACAAGAGAGCATCAGTACTTATCACGATTCATTTAACAGCAAAATTTCATATTGACATGATAAAAACAATACATTCCTTCAAAAATTACACTGTGTGCATTAAATCATCATGCATAATTTATTAGAGGGATTCCTTCCATTACTAGTGGTATATTTTCATTTGCTTAGATCAATCGAAGATTTAACGAATGCGAAAAGATGTTACAAGACAGCATCAGTACTTATCAGGATTCATTTAACAGCAAAATTTCATATTTACATGATAAAAACAATACGTTCCTTCAAACAATTAAGTGAGTGTATACTGAAATGTTAAAATGTGGAGCCTTTTGTTTTAATGCATGTATGTAATTCTGTAGATTATTTGAAGATGGTGGTAATTTTAACAATGAAGAATATAAGTTTTTTCAAAAGGAATTAATATCATGCAAGAAATTGATAGACCGTGCAGCAATAATAAGCACTTCGAAGTTGGAAAAGACAATTAAGGGAATAATTTCAGAGCTCGAACAGAAAAAAAATAAAATATTGTACCAGTAAGTGTAGCATAAATTTCTGTTGTATATTGTTTGCGATAATGCGTTCAAGACGTACTCTATATTCTAATATTTTCTAGCACGGATGGTATACTGCATGTTGTGAAATTTCATGAGGAAATTTCCCTTACATTGGACAGATGCAAAATATCTATTGAACAACTGATAAATAAACTATATGACGAAACTAAAGAGTTTGCTGTCAATGTCATAAATCTCACCGAAACCGATATAAGTTATTCACAACAAAATATACCTGTAAGTCCATTAGTTAACGATTGGCTTTCAGTCTTGAGTATGAGTGGTGATAGAATGGAAGATTTAAAAATACCAGTTCCTGCTGTAAGAAGTAAATTCAACAAGGAAATATATCAATACATTATATTAAGTTTTATATTATTAATTAAATTAATAATTAATTGCAATTGTTTCAGTACCAATAAATGGATGCTATAATTTCAAAGACGTGAGGTCTAACGGAGAATTTCAAAGTAAAAGCAAGAGGCAGAATATCTCAAAGAGTTTAACTAATTACATGAATGTACTATTTGGCTCAAATGATCTAACACTAGATGGAAACCACTTTGCTTCAATCGTTATGAATATCATTTGGAGCACCTTCATCCGCATTCAAGAAAAAGCAATGGTACAATGGCTATATAATAAATCGAGGAAAATTCCGTGATATATGCTTAAGATTTTTTACTTCACGTAAAATATTGTCAGAAATGTCATATCGTCTAAACACACTTGCGTTACTACCGAACACATTGCTACCCTTATACACTGGGAGACATCAATGCCGTCCCATCCTGCACAGGCGATGCCGTATCTGCAGGGGAGGCATTCATGTCCGCCATTGTACACTGAGAGACATCGATGCCCTCTCATCCTGCACAGGCGATGCCGTATCTGCAGGGGAGGCATTCATGTCCGCCATTGTATACAGTATAGTACCCATTAGGTAATATTTTATTTTAACTCATGGGACGATGTAATAAAATGTTACAGAGTTTTTTCTCGTCTGTGAAAGAACCGAAGCAAATATCGGACAGTATGTACCATGATTTAATGCAGAAGACAGTACTTCGGTTACACTGTTATCTTCTTCAAACAGAGGATGTTTGGATAAAGAAATTGGCAGGTAATGATTTGTTTTCATATGGGATAATTACAAATCTGCATAATAACCTTTTGTATAAGGCGTTCTTTCTCAGGCAACCCAACTCGAACATTTTAAGTTTTCAATAAAGACTACAGTAGAGTTGACCCTAAAACCAAAAAGTACACTCAATAAAAAAAAAACGGACTGCAAAAAAATAATTCCCTTTTAAAGTCTAATTAGAAGATAATCAAATGGGTTGAAACGAAAACAAAAATGTAATTTTAACTCGTACCGGAACGACTAGCGCTGTAAAATTGCCAGTTAACAATGGGATTGAATGTCGGACTTATTTTTTAATTCTCGATACACGCGTAATGTGGCAAACTCAAAGATCTACTGCAAAGGTAGTTAATGTCTAATTTTGTAATAGTTATTGTTGTTCAAAGTAAAAAAGGTGCATAAGTCCAAACTTTGATCTTTGTGCATGCGCTCCCTAATGTTGTCATGGACTTATGACTTGGTGTGTACAATTCTATCGAATAGGATTACAAATTGGGTCCGATCTGAAAATTTAAAATTCTCGAGAAGGTCGTTTGACAAAATAATGGAGAGATTTTACAGCTGCTCTGTCATTGTGAATTCGCAAATTATTTAAGTGACATTATACTATAATTAACGATTGATAACAGAAACTTTGTCCTTCCAACAGAGAATTTACGAATTTACGAAGTACTGAAACAATATACAGCGAACTGGATTCTGAAGTGTGTTGAATATTTTAACAAGATGCATATTGTTCCTATCATGTCGAAGAAGAAACATATGATTACTACGGTAGAAAATATGATCAAAGAAGGTTTTACTAGACGTGATAAAGTATTAGAAAGTCTCAAAGTGTCACATGGATATCCAGGTCATAGGAATTCTTCGGAGACATTAGTTGGAAACTTACGAAAAAATGAACAGATTTTATGTGACAATATTAAACTTACATTTGAACAATATAAAGTAAGCGTTAAAGAATTGCACCAGATAAGAAAAATGTTATTTAATAAGTTCTATTACATTTTGTCTCAGTTATTGGATATATTGTTTCATAATATAATTTTCATTTCATGTAAAATTAAGTAATTGTACAGTTGTTATGAGCTATTTAACTACTAATATGCAAAAATCTGATAAATATTTTCTTATTCTATTAAACATATTCTTCTATATAGGATAACCTACGAAAGCTTTGTGATTCGTATAAACCAACAATGTTACTATCGATTGAACCACTGAGGGCTGTTGTTCATAAATTAAAAGATTTGGACGAATCTTTGGATTTATATAGTATCTTAAATCAAAGACTGCTTAATGTTAGTAGTAAACTCTCCATGGAGAATGCAGACGAAAATTTGTCAAGTAAAATGTATAAAGAATTTCACGCGGTTAAAGAAACATCTACTAAACACACCAACAATACGTTTACATTGAGTCAATTTATTACCTTAAATCATAAAGTTTTAAATTTTATAAGTAACTCTAAATTTACTTCATTAGATGGAAACGTTAATAAGATATTTATCGAACGGTATCAATTAAATATGCCGCAACGCATTTCACTTTCAAAAATTTCGAAAGCTTTAGACCGAAAATCATCTATAGCCGTGCGAAGCTTCAGCAGTTCATACAAGACGCCAGTTATGCAATACAATGTTATGAAATTCAGGAAGCATATTATTAACAATGATATTGAAATGGATGTCATTATAGATGAATATGCAAAAGTAGGTACAAATTATCTTATTTAATAATTCATTTATCAACAGAAAATATTATATCCCAATAGACAGTCCAAAAGTTATATGACAATGTTGTTGAAAATACGGAGAAAGAAATAAGCAAGTTTATGATAGATTGGGATGAATTTAAAAAACACTGGAACCAAAATATGGAAATGCTTTTGAAAGTTTATGACATTAAATACGTTTGCTATGGTGACACAACACAACAATATATTCCGTGGTAATTATGCAATTTATATAAACCTTGAAGTTTCATATTTTTACTGTTATTTCAGTACACCAATAAAAAGTAAAGAAACATCTAAATGAGACTTTATGAAACAATGTTTTGAAGTAATACAGAATATTGAGTAACTTTGCAAAGTATCGTGATAATTTATATTTAAATATTTACTTTCTATCTATTTATACAATCTACATAATTTAGTCATAGTAGATTTAATAACAGAGTGAGAAACATTCATTAATGTTCATTTTTTACCGTGTGTGATAGTTGTCACAAAACTTATATTTACGCAAAATGATAAGAATGAATATATTAGAAACATAAATATGGATTAGAACATATTTATCTGCTGAGACCCCGAAGAATTTGATTTACGGTGAGAAAAATTACATGTGAGTTATTTTTCATAAGATTTTCCTCCATATGTTCTTTTTCTGATTGGAGTAATCGCATTCCATCAGTTCTCAATTTCTTATTTTTATTTATCGAGCTGTACTTGACAGGTATTGGATTGCTACTACGCCAAGCCTTTCTCATTTTTTAATTTTCATAAATGATGCGTTACGTTTTGAGGAAACACTTCTTGAGAAGAACCTAGAATAACTAGTTAGTTTCATCATAAAATCGTTAACGAAAAAGTGATAACCTATTTCGCGAGCCAGGCAATCGACCTTGTTCATCAAGGAACCCTGCTTGAATTTCAGCGAGTGATGGTATACTTCTCACTTCTCCTCGGGCACCCACACTTGGTGGTGATTTGAGTAAGCGACGTACTACTTTGGTGATATCGTCTTTTGTTATCTTGTCTGTATGAAATAAAAATAATCATTCTCATTTATCCTTCTAAAACTACAGTTCATCTAAGTTAATAATTTATAATGAAAATGCTATTTGATGCCAAGTGCATACATCATAACATTATTATACATAACACTATACCTTATTCAACGTGCGTACATGTATGCACTTGTCATTTTTCTGTGTATAATACACATCGTATTATAATACAAGAGAATACAAACATTAATTTATTCTTACACAGGTTTAGAGAAATGTATATACTTTTAAAAAATTATTACAACACTGTTAGAAAATATGTTTCTACATCTGTGTAATGAAAGCCACTTACAGTAAATCATGTTTATAACAAAGTTGAACTGCAATATGTAATTTTGAGATGTAACAATGAAGGTCAACTCACCGATTGCTTGAATAAAATATTCCGGTCGTTTTCTGCTTCCAGTTGCTAAAACCTGCCTTCCAATGTCTTCAAACACTACAGGTCTTTGTTCCAAATTCATAAGAAGCATCGATTGTAGTTGTTTTTTTGCTCTCTAAAATGCAATGAATTTTCATAGAATACTTTGAAAAAGGTACAGTAAAAAAGTAGAAATTAAAAACTTACTGCTAATTCACTATCCGTAATATTACCACCCATTGCAACCATTTCACGAACGATAACTTCAACCATTTCTCTAACATGTGTAGGGGTAGAAGAAGCATGGATGCAGAATAATCCTGTATCAGTGTAGGCATGATTATATGCTGTTGCACTGTACAACCAGTGGTACCTAAAACCAATGCAAAAAGTACAATAATTAATGTAGTTATATATTTCAGTCATGTATCTTACTTCCCAATAATTTGATTTATAAATTACCTATTAAGAACATTAGTATATAATCGAGTGTACATTCCTTTTCCAGGACCTCCAGCACTAAAACTGCCTCCACCACCCATCATCATATTTAATACACACATTGCAACAAAATCTGGATCCTGATGAGAACAACCCTCTAAACCTATAACGACGTGAGACAATTCTGGTAATCCGCTAGGTCCAGCATACACAGGAACATTGCATTCCTCCTGTTGTAATTTATTATACAAATTGTAAGTTATAAAAGTAGACGCACTTATATGACGTTACTTTTATATAGAGTGTAATTGAGAACAATACTTTACTAAAAGAAAACCGCCTGTGTACTGTGCTATCGAGTGATCCACCAAACCAAGATTTTTATCCTTCAGAAGAAGAGTATCATCTTCTTCCCAAATCGGTTTCTCATCTACAAAATATCTGCATGGAAAAAATGTAGTAACACCTTATTTCGATAAACGTTTTAAAGAAGCGAAAATAGTATAGAAATGCATCATTACTTTTGTGCTGCTTCTACCAAATCTTTGTGGTGAACACCAACTCCTGCAACTACCATCCTGGCAGGTGTATAGTAATTTTTTAGGTATGTGAATAAAATTTGTCTGTTGATATTTTCTATATTCTCACTCGGACAGATTTTCGGCAAACCTAATGTATTATCTCTGTAGGCAGCCTGATAAAAATGATCTATAAACTTAAAGTTTACTTTCAAAAATATTTTAATAGTATCTTACCGCATGTATCATATCCATTAGTAATGGTTCTTGTTCTGGCCTTGTTAGTAGTGATTCTAGTTCAAATTGTACAGTTTGTTTGGCCGCATTCAACTACAATATTGATTTACTTATAAAACTTTTGTAATAATTATTGAAAGGTTCTGATTAATATAAATACCTCATCATCTGTAATTTGAGGCCTCAAAACAATGTCTCCTAATACTCTGGTCACCATATCCAACCCCTGACGTTCTGCTGAAGCTGCATAGACAAATGTATCTCGTGATGCCTGGCAGTCACAAATTCCTCCATGCTTTTCTAATGTTAGCATTATTGCATCTTTACTTTCAAAAGATTTAGTCGACTGTAAACAGATTTATTACAGATGCACAGAAAAACTCAATTTTCCTAATGTATACAGCTAATGACTTACGTTAAAAGACAGTTTCTCAAGGAAGTGAGATATGCCACTTGGATATGCTACTTCATATCGTGGACCTGAGTCGATTAAAACTAAAAATATGCCAATAATGTTGTTTCATGTTATTCAAATAAATCACACTATAGGTGTACTTATATTTATATAATTTTTTAACTAGTGTGCTTACCACCCACAGTACAAAATTTGCCAAAACGATTTTCAGATGCAACTTTCAGACCATTTGGCAAAACTGTGATTTGTGTCACTTGGTGTTCTTCTTTGGCGGTAGCATAGATAGGTTTTGGAAGATTAGGGATAGGTTCCGTTAACGGTGGAAATGGAGAAATAGTCTCTGTTGATTGGACATCCGAAGGTGATTTCATCTGCGATGAAAACTTACATCTTTGCCATCGATTCAGGCAATTTCCTTGGGACGAACTGGATAGCAATTGCAAATAATCAGAGAAAATGTTATCAACTGGTAAACTGTGAAGGTCTTTTATATATGAATACACTATTTTATTATCAATAAGCCCATGTAGAATTGTTATGAAACAATCAAATTCTGAACATTTATAAATAAATTAATAGATCAATAATCTCATATCATACATTATAACAGAAGTCATATACACTTTTTATTATTTATAACTTATATGACGAAATATCAGTAGCAATGATATATATATATATAGATATAGGAAAAGAAAATATCTACTGACAATGCCCAATCATGACATTAAACGATATTTGATGAAAGTATTAATATAAAGGTAAATAGTAAATCTGGCAATTAATCAATCTAATTAACTGAAATTCTTTAGTATTATAATCCCGCACGCCTATTAGTCGGCATGAAATGCAATGAGGTTAGAATTCCAAATTCCAATTATTTCATTTTCCAGCATACTACCTGTTTTTAATCGCCGCAATCAATGGAGCCTGGGATATTCTACCCAACATTTTTTTGTTATTTAATATACTTGATTCATATAAATTTAGTCATTTGAAATTGTATATTTGGAAAAAGGCGTATGAAACATACAACGCACGACAAAATACTGAAGATCATTTACTCAGGCCGTGTTCGAATTCGTTTTAGTACGTAGTATACACCAGGCTATACTACGTATATACTAAATACATGGGATTCAACAGCTCTTAAATACGTACAGCGCATGCGCTATAGAATGTTGGCTAATGCGCGCCGATTTTAAATGAATTTTGATTGAAGTTGAAATCCTCTTTGTCTTTGTCGGCGTCATAGAATTAGTTATTTCATGTAACGTTGGAATATGCTGTACAAAATTAATAGTCAAGCCGCTTGCCTAATTTATGTAATTATTTTTGTGAATATGCGTTGTTCACCCTCGGCAGATATCGTTTTTTCAGTTACAATATTCGTCGAGGACAATCAAATGCTACTGGCTTTCTACGATTTCCTACGGTAAATTAAGTGGCTTACGTAATATACGTAATATACGTTGTATTATAAATTGTAACAACCGTACGTACTGTTAAACAAATTGTACACTTATTTTTGATTTAAACAAAATTGAAGGCATAAAGAACTTTATTATACATTTACACCCCACTTATGTGGACCGATGAAATTTCATTGTTTTATTTACCATCTTATTAAAGCATATTCATAACTTCGGAAACAGAATACAATGCAAGGTAAATTTGTGATTAATTAAAATTTACCTTGATATAACAATAATCCCTGGAACAAAATCCTCATTTATTTTATTTTATATACAATTAATTAAGGAATAGTAATTGTGTCAATTTTTTGATTCTGACGTGACATCCATGCCCCAATCATTTAAATCTTCGTTCCATCCATTATTCTGATCCTCTTCTATGGTACTATTTATATTTACGTCAAACATACTTTTACTAGATACAGCTTCTTCTATACATAAAACTTGCGGTTTTTGTATGACTGGTTCCATGTCAGTAAAAAAATCAATCTCATCTGTAATCTGATGAGGTTGTTTTGAATGCTTTATGTCTAATTCTGATATATCAGACATCAACACCTTCTTATTATATTTAGATTTATCATTTACATCTTTACTATTTGAAGAATCCACATTCGACACATGCGATTCAGAAACTGGCGTTTCTATTGATTCGGTAACTTTTTCTAAAACAGATTTCACAAGATCATGGTCATTATTTGTGGACTCTTGTGCCTCCCAATCCGACCATGTAGTTTCATCCTCAGTAAATGCAAAGTTCGATTCAAGCCTATCTTCACCACCATCTGGTGATAGTCTTTCTGGCAAATCGAATATTACGTTATTTGCACTTATAGGAACCTTTAATGTACTTATTAGTTTTCCTCCATCTTTAGTATCACTCTTTGTTTCCACATGTTTGTTAACTTTATTTGGACGACCATCAGTAAATAGCTTTCCTCTGTTCCCACCAATGACTGTAGCTGCACCCAATATAGATACCAAATCGGCTAATGCTCTTAATGTTGTACTCACAAGAGTATCATTGTTGTCTTTAATTCCAACGAGTAATTCTGGCAACAGCTGACTTTTCAGTTCATCCGTTTGGAACACATGCATAAAAGAATTGAAGTGTGAAAGCAATAATAGTCTTATAGACACGTCTCGAACACAAAACATTTGTAAAATCTTTGGCACTAGATAACTCTTGAATGTTGAAACAGTAAATAGACCACATTCTGTGTCACTGTTCTCCTCTGTAAAAAAAGAAATTTTTAGTTTTTAGCCATTAACGGTATACTGTTATTTTTAGATTTATTTATTGCTTTCTGTTGTAACAGTTTAAGCTATTAATTGTTAGATTCATTATTTTACCTTTGGGCCTTAAAACAACCGGCAATAATCTAGCCTGAGCGGTAAAATCCAACAAAACCATTCTTGATAACAATAGTTTACCTAACTGCTCGGCTACTATCTTTTCAGGAAACATTCTTAATTGCTTGACCAAGTTCCTGTAGTAAAAAGAAAGCTCTCATATTTATTAAATCAAGGTTTCTTAATAATTTAATCATTATTACAACAGATGTCATGCATTTTATTACAACTCTAATTTTCATTAAATATACAAGAAATTGTAAAAAATTTATTCCATTTCTAATATTTGAGGAATCTTTTTCTATTCTGTAAAACGTGACGTACAGGAAAAATTCTTGTTTATCGTCTTCACTTTTCAGTGGTAATTCCATCAAAAATGCATGGATTTTAATAAAATCATGAGTAAAAAATGGATGAGAAAGTAAGCTTGGTAGTTTAGGTCTCAGCAATGGTTCGACATTTTGCAAATGCCGCTTACATAAGTCACTAAACTCTGCCAATGCTGGAACATCATCTAAAACATGAACAGAATGGTAAATATTTATCAATAAATTCCAATGTATTATGTAAAATTTACCTGAATTCTTTGAGGCCAAAACTTCTTCTGCCAATACACCAAATGCAAATTGATCAATTGCATAAGGATCTAAAGGAATGTCAGATTTCATTTCTTTCTCTTCAGGTGGTATGGCCTTTTCATATCTATAATTCTTTGTTTTTTTAATATGTGCCGTAATAACTTCAGAGCATTTGCATAAATGCTCTAATCCACCTAATTTCCAGAAACCTTCAGATGTTACATATATGGAACTGCTACATACATTATTGTGCGAGGCTCGTACATTTTTATGAAGGAAAATTAAGGCACGAAGAATACTATGCAAACCAATGCAAATCTGAAGAGTTGTTAATGAACTGATAACTTGCACTAGTGGTCTGACCTCTTCGGTAGCAAGAAAGAATTTGCTTCCCCTGTGCCAGGAGGATACATATTTCAGTATACAAGGATGACGATATAACATCAAATTCTAAAACAAAATATTGTATACATTAAACTACTACTGTTGAAGAATCAATGCATATTCAATAATAATATACATTTTTAAAGTGTAGTCTTAAGAATACCATGATTAATGAAATCACTGTGAACACATTACTTATAACATGAGATTCAAAACAAATGATGAGTATGTTATTACAAATCGGTTATCGTATACCAGTGACTACCATGGCACCTAGCTAGTGTTCATAAACATAAAAGAAATTTATATTTGACAACATATTTAATTTCATTAAGTTCATAATTTTATATATTTTATGTATTATTGTTATTATTTATGATGTCGTTTATTTTCAATGGAATAAATATGTTCAACGTGCAATATAATTATCAAGAAATACATTGGTACATTATTATTTAGTATTAGTATCAAGGATAATCTGGTAGTAAAGCATTAAAAGTTTGACAATCGGCATCTTGATATACATATCCAATAGATTTACGTCCTTACTCATATCTCACTTTTAGCGTTAAAACACATATTTTAGCAGCGATACCTACTCATACTCTTTCAAGCTTCTTTTTTAACGCTTTTATGATAAAAGTGAGTGACAATTCTCTAAAAGTGGGTAGGGGACTTTAAAGCCGCTTTTAGCTGTCAAAACCATACATCAAATTTTGACAGCTTTTAGTTGTCAAAATCGTTCATGAAAAATGGAATGCATTAATATTTTTCATAAAGTAAAAGCTCGCAAAGTGAATACAAGGCATCAAATAAATATCAGGGACTGTTAAAGTCGAATTTATGTCATTTTTGGTCAACCAAGAAATTAGGCGTTGGTTCTGGCTTCATTCTGTCAAACTTGCTTTTCATTTTTGTGGCAATGTTCAGCAGACTGAATTTTTGGCATACAAAAAACATACGCACTGGGCACATGAGCGTAACGCAGTCGTCACATTTTTCCAATGCTGTTATATTACATTTCATAAAAGTGGCCTTTTAAATAAAAGTGATCATAAAAGAAGGTACGAGTATGGCGTCTTTTAGCAGCGATCCAATCATCTTTAACTAAAAGACGTTTAAAAGCACTGCTATAAATGAGATATGAATAACGGCCTTATTCTACAACTCATAAAAGTACCAGCATTTATTGTGTAACAATGACCAATAACATCATTAACTATACAGAAGTTATCCATGTAGAAGTATATTGACAAATTAACATTATCAACATATATTGTTATAAATCACAGAATAAGTCAACAGACAAAACCAAAAATGTAACAAATAAAGGTAGTCAGGTATACTAAATAAAATATTAAGTTACTGTTTAAAGGTATACAAAGAAGTTAAAATCTGTAAGATAACCTTTGCATTTCTCTCTAAAGGTGAAGGTCTTCCAAAGTTTGCCCAGGAATGTAACGACGGCTCGCTGATAAATACCGACAGATTTTGAGGATTCGATCCTTGAATGACGGCATTGTGATGTAACCAAAAATCGGTAATTTCTATGGCCTTCTCATCGACTTCGAGCCCACTAAGGGCACTTTTTTCATTCCCCATCAACTACTTTTTGTCAAGCAATGCAGTCCACGCATACGTGTGTATTTATATACAGTGAAGTTTTCATTAAATCAACGAACAAAGTCCACAACTCAAAGAAACTCGCAAGAACCAAATTTCTTTTGAAGAAAACATCCAGGAACGTCCTTTGATAGTTTGGTAGCGAGTTTGTTTTTCTTAGCTGACATCACAATTCGAAAGTACCAAAGCTACGTTTCTACACATGTAATGGACACCCAGTTGGGCTCGTAATTAGCACTTTTAAATTACACAAAAAATAGTTTATTATCACATTCGATAGTATTCCGCTAAAAAGATATTAAGTACATTTATACTTCCTAATTTACATCGATTTTACTACTATCATTGCATAGCTACTGGTGTCGAGCATGTGTAAACGTCGTTATAGTCCGGTTCCACCATGGACGTAAGAGTAAGAATATATAGACGGAGCTCAAGCCAGGGGGTCTATTACGTAAAGCGAATTGAGCGAAAATGTGAAAAATGAGTAGCTCAGAGTATTACGGAACGTTTTGGTGGTGAAAATGCGAGACCATTCATATGAATTGGCTCAGTGCAAATTTTTAAGCGAAATGGTGAAGCATAGACTCGAGTCCTTTTCTTTACTTTTACCGCCTTTCCTGCCTATAACACACTACCTCTCACAATTTTCGATTGACAAGGTATCTACCTTTATTTAACAACATTACTGGACCCGAATGCTAGTGATCTCGTTCTTTCATATAGTGAATACGTAATTCGGTGAATAAATCCACGTGAGATGAAAGTGCGAGAAGTGAGCGCTTTCGTCAAAAATACGTAATAAAGGCCCTGAGCTTCGCATTCGTCGCTTGTCCTTGTAGCGCGAATTAAATATCGGCCTAAATTAGGTATGAATATACGAACGTAACTGTAGGGAAGGGTAGATAATTTAAAATGTCGACGCTAGGTGGCGATCAGTTCGAACAGTCACCGGGATCGGCCCGATCAGGCGACTGTGCTGAGTTTTACCATTTACCACATGTTGATTAATTAAGTAGAAGTAGATTAATCGCGGGTGAAATCAGTGTTGTCGAGGGTGCCGCCTCGAAGTTGCCGATTCCGGCTAGACGGAATTCCATATGGACGCCTCACAGTAACCCAAGGACCAAGTTACGTCACGCAACCTAAAGTTATCGCGTTGGTGCATCCTATGTTCGCATTGCGTCCTCTTTGATTTCGTGCTTTCAATCGTGAGGCACCGACTATCCAACCTGTCATCGCCATTGGATTCAAGTGTGGGAATTTAAGCCCACCTGGCGAGACCCACCGTTTGTATTGCATCTATAACCTAAAATTCCTACCAGGCGTCAGAGAAAAATTCCTGGTGCAGTCGAACAGTTCATTTGATTGTCATTCTTTTATGACTTTGTCCGTAAGGAATCCCAGAAAGTTTATCCCTGACACGTCTAGTCTTGGAGTCTTGCACATTTTAGCACACGTCCCTTTCTTAACGTCAGGGATTGACCCTTCGTAGTTTGTTTAGCCTTAAGGTGTCACCAGGAAATTAGTCAAAATTCCGGTCCCCACAAGGAAACGAGAAGGCCCCCAACAAACCGGCGGCAGTATTCCACCAATTATCGGTGAAGAGCCATTGTTGGCTGGTAAAATGAACAGCAAGAGGAAGAATCGTTCCAATCCTACTAGGTATAAATTAGCGAGTTATTTTTGTATAAATGTTCAAGCATTAAATATTGTCCTTTGAGTAAAACAGTTCTTTTCTGCATAATTAACCAATTTTTTTTATTTTGTAATGCATGTGGATTCATATTGTAATATGTTTAATATACAATGAGAATTAAATGTGTATCATTTTGTTATAATGGATGCAAATGGTAAATTAAATATTCCTTTAGCAGACAATATCAAAGACATTTAATCTTACAAATCATTTTAGAATATAAATGTGAAATTAATGTCACATTCTTTCCTACTTGTACATGGGCACATTGTCACTCATAAAATATGTCAGCTAAAGTTCTATCAGGAGAATAACTCAGTGTTTTATATCAATCTTTTACATGTAGACCTGATAAGTAGCATGAATTCAAATGTTTATTTTAATCATTTTATTAACGTAATTGATCTATAATTAAATTTAAAGCATTTCATCTGAAAATTATAATGAAGTAATACAAAATGTACAATTTTAAGCATCACATTTTTAGCAGGTATTTCTGTTAAAATTTCATCAAAGAAATAAGTATTATTTGTAACCACTTATGGTATATTCACTTCAATTAATGTTCTGCTGAAGTTATACTCGTATAAATAGTTACTTATTGTTAACATTTTAAGAAGTGAATAGAAGAACAATAGAAAATTTGGTATAAACATCTAGTTTAAAACTTTTGCAAGATTTCTTATTGTTACTTTAAATACACTTGATACTTATCTGTAACAATGTTCAATGTATGTTTTAAGATCCCCGCGGGCACGGGGACCACAAGTAGTTGCTGAAGGTGTATATAATAATGCCCACTTCATGCACGCCATCACAAGCCATGTAGGCAGCATAGTCCAGGTGATTTCCACATATTTTTAAAGTTATACCTTTAAACAATTCATCTACGTATGTGCATATAGATTTCGACTGGAAGGATGTGTATTGTGTTGTTATAATAATGATTATTTTTCAACCAGATTCAGACACAGAATGGATCGATATATGAAGGCGTGTTTAGAACTTTCTCAAGCCTTTTTGATGTTGTTTTGGAAATGGCTTATCGTGTTGACAGTACTGGAAAAATTTGTGTCGACAGTGTCGTAGAAAAACTCATCTTTAAGCCTCAAGATATTATTACTATGTCCGCTAAAGATGTTGATTTGGATTATGCAATTAAAGATACTTTCCAAACTGACACAGCAATTAGTAAATTCAATGGTATAGTTGGAGAAAAAGATTTAGAGCCCTGGGACGCGCCTTCAACCATGAATGGGGATGATTTAGAATTAGATGGGACTGCTGTAAGAGACAAATTATTTATTTAATCCTTTATTACAATGTATTTATTCAATATTTTTGTAATCCAAAGATGAAGGCAAAGTACTAATCTTCATTAATATTGCAGAATGGTTGGGATGTAAATGAAATGTTTCGGAGAAATGAGAATGTTTTCGGCATTCAATCAACATATGAACCTTCATTATCAGGGTATACCTTACCACTTCAGCGTAAAGATACAAAGGATTATAAGGATCAAGAACAGAGAGCAACAGAGATAGCCAATGAAATTGAGTCTCAACCTAACCATAAGGCTCGATTAGATCTTGAAAATGGTGACGAAGAGGAGAGGTTTGCTTCAGTGGTATGGTTTATTGTATTAGTTCATCTCTCATTTATTTGGAAAGACAAAATCGTGTAAACCAAACTAATATGATGTGAAAAGGCTATGAAAGAATATTCGATTTTTAGGTAAGACCAAATGAAGGAAAATACATTCCACCGTGTAAAAGAAAAAACAGTGGTGCCGGGAAACTTCTAAGGTCAACACCCCCGCCACTTTCCCCAGGACCTATGTCTAGTAAAGCTGTTTTCAATCAACCACCACCTGTTGCTGTAAATGTCAATGCTGCTCAATCCAACATGCCTGTAGGAATTCAATCTAGCCACCCCTCGGCTCAACATCCAGTACCACTTAATGTAGGAATGTCTCCAAGTGGCGTGGTGGTTACATACAACACACCGCCATTTGTTCTACCACCATCATCACAACCACCACCATCTGTAGCTTCAATGGCTAGTAAGTTATTTTGTGTAGGTTTTTGTTACGAATATAACAATTTTAAAATAGGTATGGATTTTTCTTATACATGTGTTTTTTCTCTTCAGCGATGCCTCAACCCATACCACAGTCTCAAGTTGCTTCACCAATAGCTCAAGTGCCGTTTCCCCCGCAACAACAGCAACAACAACAGTCATCATCTTCGCAAAATAAAATGTCCGCCGAGAAACGAGAACGACCGGGTAGACAACAGGTTTATCAAACAGATAAAGCACCTCCGGCTCCATTCCCTCAAGCAAATATCGCATCCTCTCATCAACAACAGCAGCAGGCTGCTCACCAACAGCACACTCCATTGCAACAGCACAATTCCGTGGACAGTCAACGTTGCGAACTAGTTACACCGAAGGCGGAGCACAGAAAGGTAAAAAGTTATTCTGCCCTTTTGATCCTAATTTGCATGCAGATACATTATTTCTAATTTTTACATGAAAGTTATCCAACGCCAGTAGTTATAAGTTAGTTGAATTTTATAAGTAAATATTAGAGTTTACTTGGACAATCTACGAATAATTACTAAGGTAACTGTTCGTTTAAAGGTACCGACACCACGTGGACGGGACGAACAACATTCGGAATTAAGGCAGTTTGCGACAGAGTTTAAATTAGTTGACTCACCAGCCCAGGAGCCACCGACATTAACCAGGAAACAGCAACACCAATCTGAATCCGTTCAACAACTTCAAATTCCTCAGCAACATCACCAACAATCTCATCAGCACCCCTCTCCACCACAACCACAGCAGCAACAGCAGCAGCAGCAACAACAACAACAGCAGCAGCAGCACCAGCAGCAGCAGCAGCAACAACAACAGCAGCAGCATCCAACTTCTCAACAACAGCAGCATCCAACCTCTCAACAACAGCAGCACCCAACCTCTCAACAACAGCAGCACCCAACTTCTCAACAACAGCAGCATCCAACTTCTCAACAACAGCAACCACAACATGCAGCTCCGCATCAACAACAACAACAACAACACCCGCCTTTACAAGAGGAGCCAGTAGCTACCAATAAACCGCCATCGGGTCCACCTCTTTCTGTACGCTCCAGTAGTCCTATGCAACAACCGCCTCAACAACAACCGCAGCAGCCTCCACAACAGCAATCTCAGCAACAAAACCAGCAGCAACAACAGAACACTCCGCCCATGCAGCAGACGCAGCAGGAACCAGTCATCGAGAAAATCACGACTGCTTTCAAAAAGTCCACGTTAAATCCAAACGCTAAAGAGTTCAATCCCAATGCTAAACCCTTCACGCCGGTAAGTCAACCATTTCTGAAAATGTTTTATTTGTGTGCAACTTTTAACTTGGCAATGTATATTTCATTAATGATTTATACTTTTTATAACTCCTTTGCTATCAAGATATTTCTTGCTAATTCTTATTAACACACAGCTTCTTATTAACACTCTTATTAACACTCAGCTAAATGAAGCAGCAGTTCGATCGTTGAACGGTTCAGAATATTAATGATGTAAAAGGTGTATGATGATCATCGCTTCTTTTATTGGATTTACAGTAGAAGAAAGAATTAGGATATTATAAAACCGCTGATTAGTCGTACGTCCTAATAGAACGTAGAAGCTCAATCAAGTATTGCTTCAAAAGGAAATGGTTACGGATAAAAAGGCTAAGGAATTTATAAAGTAAGCGAAAACAGATATTCTAAAAGATGACCCGATGAATAGAGGATTAATCGAATATTCGACTTAAGGGCGATCCCATCAGCGAATTAGAGAGGTATATGCTCCGTAGCTCTGATTTAAGAGACGATTGTACACTTTTCTAAATCTCACCAAAGGATGGTTACAGTTTTAGCCTTTATATAAATCTTTGCGCGTACAGGGATAGGTATGAAAGAAGTTTCTCAATATTATTAGACTTGATATATTGCGTGTATTCGGTACACCGTTATCCTTCGAGAATGATGATGAACATTCATGCAGTTGACAATCATACGTGATATGTACAATGAAAACCGTATTCGCATTTTGTGCGAAGCACACATATTTCCGAAGTATCATTGTTTCTTCTTCATCATTTATTAATGTTGTATTGGTGATACTCAATTCGCGTCTGAAAAATGTTGCGTTCTTTTTCTTTTTTCAGCACCTCTATCGATCGCAGCCATTATGCACGAGTGTAAGCTTCTCTTTTTCTCTTATAATTATAAGATCGCTCGTCAAAGAATGCGAGGTTTAAGCTCCCGTTGGCTTTGACTGATATTTATGTGGGTCTGGGATAGCTTCAGCGTTGGTGGGGTCGGCCATAAGCAGCAAAATAAATAACCGTACATAAGAACGCGCTTGGCGTTTGCAGAAGTCGAACCTAATAGACGAATTGTCGCACTTTCAGAGATCACCGAGTACGCCAACCCCTAGCAGACCGCATACGCCGCAAACACCTCAGTACACCGGGGCAACCATGCCGACGACGGTGGTGATGCCAGCAGCGTACGTTATGACCAGTCAGCCGCCAACTGCCTTTACGCAACCTCAAGGCCAACCAGTAACGAGATTCCGGAAAGGTCTGTGTGTACACCTCGAACGCGCGTTCATGGTTCATTCGCGTTACATCGCACACGCGTATGATATCATTCCAAATCGTCAATGATCGGGTATCGTAAAAGAGCCATCTTACGGTTTTTAAGCAAGTTTCGTCCCTCGGACGAGTCTTTCAGCCACCAATGTAGACGGTCTCAATTACTGTGACTACTGTTAAATTTTTCTTTGACACTTTTCTTCTCTTATTCGTCAACCAAAGTGAATTTTGTTGCCGAGTACTGCCTAATCTTATTTTTTATCTAGGTCTCTAACAAGGAAGGTACCTGAGGTGTCCCCCTCCGATTTTGTTCATTTTTAAATATGTTATAAGGAATTAAAATCTAAGGGACCCGTCTTTTTGTTTATTGGCGGATAAACACTTTTAGGGGGTGAAATCAGGCTTCAAGGTTGGCCGTGCAAGGGGGTGAGTTGGCTGTTTCATTTAGAAGCACTCGACCGATTTTCATGAAACAACCGTCAAAATGTAGGGAATGAAGAATTATGAAACATGCATTTGGAATTAATCGAGAAAATTCATTTTTAAGGGGTGAGCCACCCCATTTGAATACTTCTTTTACCCCTTACGCGAGTAGTAATTGTTCAATCCAAATGAAACTTTTTTTTATATTGTTCTGGTCTATAAATTAACCAAGTTTCATTTGAATAGAGCAATTACTCCTCGCGTAAGGGGTAAAAGAAGTATTCAAAGGGGTGGCTCACCCCTTAAAAATGAATTTTTTCGAAAAATTCCAAATGCATGTTTCATAATTCTTTATTTTCTACATTTTGATGGTTGTTTTATGAAAATCGGTCGAGTGCTTCTATATGAAATAGCCAACTCACCTCCTTGCACGGCCAATTTTGAAGCCTGATTTCACCATCTAAAAGTGTTTATCCGCCGATAAAAAAAAAACATGGGTCCCTTAGATTTTAGTCCTCTATAACATATTTAAAAATGAACAAAATCGGAGGGGGACACTTCAGGTACCTTCCTTGTAAGACAGAATCCTTCAAATCCTTTCTGGTTTGACTAGGTTTAACGATTGCGTGAACAATTATGCCGAGCACAATCAAGATTTCATGATTCCAAGTTCAATTCGTAGTTTATCGCGTCCAAGCCAGAGTTTGGTTACTTATACCGTATACATCGGGCAGCTGAAACACGACAAAGTCACGTAGAACTTGGCCCATATTTCCTTCCGCTCGTTGTAAGATTATTCCATAATTGGTGTCGATTTGATTCTCGCCTTTCAGTTCCGATGATGCAGCATCGCGCGCCGGACATCGCCTCGCAGATGCAGGTGGCGGCTGCGACGGGTCAACCCCTTCTGGCCCCTGCGCCGCTACACCCGCCGTTCCAGGTGCCTTACCCGGGTCAGCCCGCCTACCAGCAGATGGTACGCATGGTTCAGGCGCCACCGCCTCCGCCGCACATGGCTGCGTCCTATCACCACCAGCACGACTCGCCGGGGCCCCAGGCTCCGGGCATCCAGTACATGGGTCCCCACGGGCACCCGCACCCTCACGTCGGCCAGCAGCCGCCCAGTCAGACGCCCTCGCCGGCAAATCAGAACCCTCCGCACACTCCAGGCGCCTACAACCCTCCAGGCACGCCCCAGCCGAGTTACCCCCAGGCCCCGCCTCAGGGCCACGCGCCCAGCTATCCGATCATGTGTCCCATCCTACCGCCTCACATACCCATCCCGCCCCAGCATATGCAGTATCTGCAGACCCAACCACCTCCGAATGCCCAACAAACCATACCCGTAATACTGCCGCACAACCAGTAGTTCGCCGCCATCCGAAACGGGGGAACGTAAGGACCGTCTCTAGGGGATCACAGGACCACCCTACCGGGGAAGGCAGAGCTCGAATTCATGGCGAGGTCCTCGAGATCTTTTCCATCTACGAGGCTTTTGCCTCGAGACTAGCTCTGACCCGGCCTCGCCGTTCTTTGCGCTCGTCCGTGACTTTACTCGCAGATAGTTCATGGGTCGCCCGTAAGTCGCGTGCCTGTAGGAGTCGCCCGAAGGAGGTACATCCTCGTCACGTTCCCTTGTCCTTTCACTTGTTTCGAGTTCGCTACTGTGATACTTGGAATTCCTATAACAAGGCCGACTTCCATTCTGAATATCTCATTTCCCTATCGCGGGGCGACCCTTGCGGGACGGCTTCGAGCGACCCCAGGACGGAGAAGCGAGCTCTCGTCCTTCTCTGGCCCTGCGTGAAGAATCCCCGCTCGATCGCGAGCACCGCGGAGACTCTTTGCCGCACTCCTGGAGAGAGATAGAGGCGACTTCCTTCGTTTCCCCTCGGTTGAATTGGCGGGACGCGCTTTCGGGGAGAGACAACCCCGCGCCACTCGTGGGCGCGAGGACGGGCAGGTGAGTCGCGGTAACGCGACTCGGGACGTCGTGCCGGTTATTCCGTACCGTGTAGAAAGTCGCGATCTGTCGGGACGGAATATCAATAACGCTCCCTCCTTCCCCCTTCCCCTCCCAATGGACTGGGCGCGTCGAAATTGATTACCTAAGAGCGAAATAGAATCGCGCAATGAATACGAACGCCCAGACTCCGAGATGATCGTCGAGTCGTACGCGTTGCGTTGAAACGTCCTAGGTAATTGCAGAGAGTGAGAGAAAAATCGAACGAGAGAGAAAGCTAGCGAACGTTGACAGAATGTCCGCGAGGAGAAAAAGAGCGAGAGATTTGAGAGAATGTATGAACGATTTTAGGAGAATGAGGGTGAGAGAGAGAAAGCGGTGAAAGAATGTACGAATGAGTTGAGGGGCAAAAGAAAGAGATATATATATATATATGTATATGTATATGTATATGTTAAGCGTGCGACTGGTACTACGTTAATTGCGGTCTTGGATGCAGTCCTGGCGATTTTGCCGACTCGGATAACGAGGCATCTTCAGTAGTTAATGGCCGCTGAAGGTGTAACCGGGGCAGGGATGTTGGATATTTTCCTCCCAGGGGACGCGGTTTCGTTATCAAATTACATTTATATAACACGGGAAGACGCCTCGGTATCCGAGTCATCCTCAACGCTGAAACTTGATGCGGTGATCGGTCCTGTGTCCAAAACCGTGACATTGATTTCGTGTAAGTGCGACTACGATACCAATACACAAAGGAGTACAGATTTCGAAGGAGAATTAATTGATACATCGAGCTTGATCGACGTCGTTCGTCTTCCGCTGTCTAAATGGCGTCGGGGTCATGCTTTGTAACTTGAGGAAGACGGAGGGAGAGACGTCGTCGAGGTCGGTGCCAGGTTGATAAGATCTTGGAGCTATCGGTATCGCGAATACGGCGAACCGTTATCGCGACCGTATCCCGAGTCTCCCGTTCATGGGGTGTAATGTAAACCTCGAATCTCGGGGTCGGGTGACTCGGTGGCGTTATATACAAAGTCTGTTTCGCATTACCTTCGCGTACCGTAACCCGCAGAGCATAAGTCGAGCGTGAATACGGCGTGGAATTGCATTCTTTTGTACCGCTCTAAATGTTACTCGCTTTATCAATACCGCTTTCGCTGGCTTGCGTTGAGATTGCAGACAATGTTAACTGGGTCTAACGTAGGGCGCTTTGGAGCGAGAAAAAGCGGATGTCTACGAGAAGAGTGCTTCGGGAGTAAAGCCACGAGAGCCTCACAGCTTGCGATTATTTCTAGAAAAATTGGGACGAAACCGTGAAACTTGGAAGACCGTTCGTGCAGATAGTGGAACTTTCCGTTACGGCGTGGACAGTGGGAATGATTTTTTTTTTTTCTATTGAAACTTAGCTGGAATTTTTTTCTTTTTTTAAGACGATACCTCGACGCGTATCAAATGGCGTTACAAGGAAAGATGATTAGCTGTCCGTCTTTAAACGTATTTTTATCAGTTTTGAGAAATAGTTTGCATCCGCAACAGTTACTACAGGAAACATTGTTAGATGCGCGACTACCGTGGTCGTATGTAAATCTTTGTACTCCGAGTTAACTTGTATTAGTCGACTTAGGTGTTAATTTTTGACTTTACGTAGAGCGATGAGACTACTTTTTGTCCCATTGTACGTCCAACTTGGAAGTTACACTAGCGCCACAACGGGGACGAGAGGAAGCTTTAAGAGCATTGCAATCGAGATCTTTCTTTGTCCATCGTTCCTTTGATATACGAGTAAGATTCTCTTTGATCCCGGTTGATAGCTTCGACGTCCCGTGGTTAATTTCAGATATTTGTTGAATTAAAACGCCATTAAATAACAGTCAAACCACGGGTAACTAATTGGGAGTATTCGAGGATGGTGCGACGAGGAAACGGCGGGTAATCACATAGAGTTCCGATTAACTTAGGATCCATTACATCGTCCATGTTTCTCACACCATGGGAAGGCAATTCCTCGTTCGGTTTCGTCCTCGTTTTCCGACAAGTAATCACTTAGGGTCACAGCGTCTATTACCAGGCACTCTGCACGCATAAATGAATCAAAGCCATGAATTGTATACACCTTCAGGTTATTGACCCCGTTTCTGTATACGGAAACGAAGAAGCATCCGGGAATTTCGTAGATCATGTATTAACCCTTGACGCTCCGACTTTTAATTCGGAATATCGATCGGCAACTCCAACTTATTCTCATCGTACTTCGACTTGCAAGTCGGTAGGATCGGTGGTACTTGAGAGGCACACTTGGAGTAGAACGCCGCACATCGGTGGTGCTTCAGAGGCACACTTGGAGCGTTAAGGGTTAACTTTCTTAGGACTGATAGGAGAGGGAGGTTCTCTCCGAAGAAGCTCGAGCGTGCGACACGTGCATGAAAATTGTATACTCGGTGGAAAGAAAAAGCCCAAATGTTACGCGAATAATTGAGGATAAGCGACGAGGGGCGAACGGATACTCGTGCGATCTGTAACGAGGACTCGCGATTGTATAGGTAGAGGTTGAGATGAACGTGTCAAGGGAATTAAAGTAATACCCGCGGTTTTAGTGGAGGATTCGTCACTTCATTGTTGACACTGAGCTCTGTTACGTGATGCCTTGGGACTGATTCTTTGAGCCAGTGTTACTAACTCCGGGCATCCCGGGATCTTGTGCGATAGTTCGGGTAGAAAGACCATGGAACATCTTCGTCGAGCCGAAATATCTGGCACGCATTATTTGATATATTAGAGAGACTTTCGGCGTGATACGTGCGTACCGTCCTCGATGGAATCTAACGCCCTAGAAGCTCTCCATGATCTATAGCTCGCGAGGCGGTGATATATCTTTAATAACTTCGGGAATGAACAATGAGCGCACAACTCGTCATTTAGTAAAACGTCGACGGGGTCGTTTGTCTTCGTTGAACTAAGTTTCGTCGTCGAGCTCGACGTGACGAGTAAAATGAGGCTGCCAAAACGGAGAGAAATCAATAGGACCGCACTCTGAACGTAAATGCAATCGCTGGGAAGGTTTTACTTGTATTTGTTTAACGAAGTACGATTTGTGTTTGATTTTCAATCGCTTTGGGAAGCAGACGGAAACCGAAGTAGGACAGGAAGACAGGAGACAGGAAGTGGGTTCATTCGTTTTCTCTCCTCGTTTTCATTGGACTCTTCTTTTTTACCGTGTTAGAAAAAATTAGTTGATATCGTTGCAGGGCAACTTGTCGAAGTGTAGGTCGTTCGGTAGAACGGAAGTGACCGTTTCTTTTTTTTTTAGGGCAAAGCGCTCCAAGTCTCCTAGAAGTCGAAAGTGGACCATGATGGTATATCTCGCTCGTATCAATGAAGTGAAAAAAAAAGAATATTTATGATGCTCATATAAAAATTAGGTACTTTCATTCTACATTCAAGTTCGCTTTCGGAAGAGATTTATGTGTAAAAACGCGAATTGCACATCAAAGCCGAGATATTTATTATACCATTCGTGAGGAGGATTGGCAATTAAAATTTCATTCGATAGAAAATTTACTTTAAATCACGCTTTCCACTCCGTCGTTAATTATTTATTCTCGAGTACTCACGCTTAACAGGATCGTCAATTAAATACCATTCTTAATGAATTTATTTGAGGTTGAAAGTGTTAGATATGATTTTTCATATTTGGGTCGATTAAAGAGCCGAGATTGGTAACATGTTCAATTCTTTTGTAGAAAGAGCCGAGTGCCGGCCAATCGTAAGCATGTTTATCGTCTTTATTAACCAAAAAATATCGCCAAATTTTCGAGAAAATCAAATTTTGTTAACGAAAGAAATGTCAAGCTTGGATATCACGTATGCAAAATATTCCATTGAGACGAGTTTATGTATAACATTACGGAAGCATGAATCGCTCGTGTCAGAGAGATTAAGGTGATGTGAAAATGGCGTCAAAGAGGTCTCGTTTATGAGACTTTTCTCCGAACCGGGTGTACTTAATTATTTCAAACTTGACAATGTGAGCATGGAGGCTATAAGGAAGGTCCTGCCACCCATGAAATTCCAATTTTTTTAAATTTGTTTATAGATATTTTTAAAATTTTGTATAAAAAATGAGATTTTATGAGTGTCAGGACCTTCCTTATAGCCTCCATGTTCACGTTATAACGTTTGAAACGATTAGGTACACCCAGTTCGTAAAAAAGTTTCATGAATGATTGAGTTTTCGGATGCCACTTTCACATCCCCTTAAGGTGAAATGTTCATTTTATATCCATAAAACGTGAAAATGTTTATAAGACTTTTCTCCAAACTTGGTGCATCAAATAATTTGAAACTTTAGCACGTGATTATGGAGGCTCTAAGGAAGAACGCGATACTCGTGAGATTTCATTTGTCACAAAAAGAATGTCATCTTGGTTCTAGTCTAGGCTAAACAAACCCTTTTTTTTTTCTTTTTTAAATTAAATTTCACAAGCATCAGGTTCTTCATTAGGGCCTTCCCTTTTTATAAATATTTTGACGTTTCATGTATATAGAATGACCCTTTCATATCAAATAATGAAATTCTGAAACTGGTTGCCGCAAACTTGTATCGTGTATCGTTATGGACGTGATTCACGTCAGCGGCAATCAGGAATAGAATTTAAAATGACGTGAATTCACGTCAGCGGCAATCAGGAATAGAATTTAAAATGACGTGAATTCACGTCAGCGGCAACGAGGAATAGAATTTGAAAAGACGTGAATTCACGTCAGCGGCGCGCGAATGTGTTAAGAGAGAAAGGATTCCAAGATGTTAATCGCGTCCGATGCCGACGTTATGTCAAGAGACCAATCAGCGACGTGTTAAATGAGCTTTATCGGTCCATAACGCTGGTGTCGAATGAAACATTAAAATTTTCATGACGCGCCCTCGCAAATTGTGAAACAATCGTCGAGCATTTCGGAAACGACGGAGCGTTAAAAGACGATCGAGCATGACTGTCATGGCGAGAATTGCCCTCTTGATAATTCTCTCGATAAGTTACAGTAGGTTTACACGAAGACGCCTACCCAAGCGATCGTCAAAGGCCACTCGACGTGCGCCTAGATAAATCGTTGACTAAGGAGCCGAGCTAGAGGTAGAAAATAGTCGAGGAGTGAAATAGGAATGAAAAATTGAGCCCTACGGGAAGAACGCCGACCTGGCTCATTTCTTCGTTTCTATTTATCCTTTTTTTTTCCCCCTCTCGTCCATTCTCTTCACAGAGAGAGGGGGATTAAACAAAAATAAGCGAGAGACATTCGAAGGCGGTTCACGAGTAGCAGGTTCACAATAAATGACTAACTAGAGATTCATTTAACGCGATCGAACGGTTATTATTTTGTCGGCCCGCACTTCCGCGTCTACAATGCCATGTAAATCGTATCGCGTGTTGTTATTTGACATTCGTACCAGCGACACGGTTCAGTTTAATATGATTAGTGGCCAACGGGTGCGTTTGGTGACTCCAAGGGTCTATTATATCGCAAGCGTTCCTGCTCTTCATCTTCGTAGGACACTCGAATTCGCTGTAACGATCCGTTACTTTGAACGAAATTAATCGTTAATTATGCAGAGATTTGGTGGGATGTTTGTCGACGTGCGAAAAAGACAAGATCAATGTGACAATGCATTGCGTGAGCACATTTTACTAGCGACTTTGGGTAACGGATCGTCCATTTTCCCGGATAGGCGTCCCAAACGTGCTGTGCCCTAATCGTACACTGGGAGACATCAATGCCCTCCCGTCCTGCATAGGCGATGTCGTATCTGCAGGGGAGGCATTCATGTCCGCCAATGTATGTATGGTGTTTGGTGAGTGCACGAGGCACCGGGTATCGGAAATTTATATCCTCGAGGAGAAAACTACTGCCATTGGCCTGAGCAATTTCATAGAAATAAAGAGTGGCGAGCGAAAGGGGAGACCAGGGTCTAAACTACGATTTTAGATATCTGGTTTAGTGTGTACGGACGAACGGATAGGACGGAGAAACGATTCCTGCTTAGGAGAAATGGTTCACTGCGCGGCATCAATAGATACAAATTTTATAAGAGAAGAGATAAAAACAAATCATCAAAATAAACTGAATAACTTAAAAGTCCAGATTGCGTATAATGATGTTGTTGCTCTCTTCGCGGTGAGGTTGAAGTGTTTCTGTGTAATTGATGTTGCATTGTTTTAGGCACTCTTGTAAGATATACAAATGTCACTGGACGATTCTAACGTTTTATGCTGAATAGGAGGAAAGATAATTATTTATTTTTCTTTTTTATATACTCTACAAAATTTAAATTCGAACACGAATTAAATGCTCTCTTGTACATTTTTAAAGAAATGTGGATATTTGTCGAATAACTTCCCGTTTAACCCAATCTATCTTGATGTCTTGGGCAAAAGAGTTCAAGGAAATATTAAAGTGTATAATGTTTTATCTTTTTTTTCTTTTAAGAATGGAACTGAATGAATTACACGTAATTCTAATTAGACAGAGATGTGCAACAGGGGATGCAACATACAAATGAGATAAGTATTGATATGACTAGTTTTCTTGAAGTATACAAAGAGTCCCAAAATACTCGTCGGGCCTTTTGGGGGGTGAAAGAGGGTACTACCGTTTCTAATAAGAAAATCCTCTTCTAAATTTCTTCCCTCGTGAAAGAACTAGAGACCTATTATACATTGTAATATACGCGTAGAAAAGCATGTATTTTACATGAGGTATTATACCTATCTAACCCTGGTGGCGAGCGTTTTAGTTTACTACATATTTCAGTTCGAACATCACAAACAAAGTACTAATTTAAACGTGATAAATTGAAAATTTTCAATTTTGTTCTTCTCTAAAAACGATTAATGTTCCGTGTAGTTCGTAGTTACAAGGAAAAGCCTGAGAAGGCGAAGAAAGGGAAGCAAGATGAGTCTGTCGTTTTGTTCCAAATATAACTTGAGAAATTGGTTCTTTTTAAATTTAGTAACGTTATTTTTCATTCTGAAAAAGTACTGATAAAAGAACGATGACGTGTGTTAGAATATCTACGAGCAATTATCTATTACTATTAATTGTAAAGAAAACGATTAAAAACCTAACCTTGACTACAATAGTTACAGCGTTGGGTTTGAATTTCGTTGTTTCTTGTTTTCATTTTACTTTCAATGTAAAGGGTAAAAAAACTTATTCAAATCTCGCGCCACTTTTCGACGTGGTAATATGGCTGTCCCCCTCGTCTTGTGGCTTCACTGTCGGTGTTAAGTTACTATCTTATGTCAGTCCCCTCTATTCCTATGTCCATGGATGTTACCAAAGAATTCAGGGCGTTTATTACGTATTTTTGACGAGAGCGCTCACTTCTCGCAGTTCCATCTCATGTGGGTTTATTCGTTATATGAAAGAACGAGATCACTAGCACTTCTGGTCTAGTAATATTGCAAATCGAACATTGTTGAGAGGTGTGGGTTATAGGCAGGAAAGGCGGGAAGATGGAAAGTCGTTAAAAGTAAAGAAGAGGACTCGAGTCTATTCATATTTTTTAAACATGAACTACATTTCCTATAATTAGAAGTTCAACAATATAATTTTCTTATCATGTCATGTAAGCATGAATTATTTAACAGTTTTCAATGTTTAATAATGTAATATAACCTCGCAATAACAGATATTAACCTGTACATTCTAGTAAATTCTCATTCTTCTCACGCAAATGGGTCTGACGCATCACGTAATTTCTTTCTTCTTCGAATAAGGTTATTATTACATCTCCGAATACGATTGTTGCCAAAAATCAAAACACATAGGAGCTTCTGATGGTTCCCAGGAGATCTCTATTGCATGCTTCACTATTTCGTTTAAAAATTTGAGTCGAGCCAGTTCACGTGAATAGTCTCGCATTTTCACCACCAAAAACGTTCCGTAATACCATCAGCTACTCATTCTTCACATTTTCGCTCAACTCTCTTTACGTAATAGACCCCCTGGGCTTCTATGGAGACTTTTGATTTCTTTGATATTACACTGTATTACACATCTCGGGTTTAGAGTATGATTGAGTACGATGGAGCTTAGCAGCTTAGTAGATGTGGGGGATCGAAATTTCCCATGTGTCTAAAAAATTGACAGTTGCATGTTAAGCCTGGTTAATTTTATTGGACTATACAATTATAATATTTTCTGTATTTTATTGTTGCTCGTTAAGAGCCCAGTACTTATTGAAGATGAACAATATGTTGGTAACAGGTGGCAATGGTAATTTTCAGATATTTACAAGGCCTAGACAGACAGTTTTTAAATGTCACTGTTTAAATTTTCAGTCAAGAAAATCTGTCCTTATATGGAGAAATGTTATCGAAAGAATCCCATTCACTTTAGTGAAATGTCTCATCCACATTGTAAGCATGTGTCCTAAAGTTAATTATAATTCAATTATTTTTATTTAACTTATTTAATATGAATGTAATTTTATATCGAGTACGAAGTATTTATCTCAATGTAACAATTATGCGTTCTCGTACAATTTCTATAGAATTTAATATATTTGTATATTGTTTAGTGGAAAAATTGGTAAAGGATCAATTGGATGGTACGATCACGATTCCTGATAATCTGGATTTTGAGTGCGTCGACAGGTCACAGTTGCAGGATCAATTAAGTGTCTTACAGATGGTCCTTAGACGACAGAGAGACAAAGCAGGAAATGGTTTTATAGCTATTTTGTCTCAAAGTCAGAAATGTAGTATTAAACCTCCACAGTCGTATGAAGAAAAACCGAAGAAACAGATATTAGAGAACCCACAGAGAAAACCAGAACAAATTAAGCAGGAGAAACCAAAGGAACAAATTTCTTCAAGTTTATTAGAAAAAGTGGAAAGAAATAAACAAGCAGCATTGGCTAGGAGAGAAGCACGATTGAGAGAATTGGATGCAAAAGCTGAAATATTGTCTTCTTTGCCTTCTACTAGTAGTAACTGTGGTGATTCATTGAGTACAGGCATGTACAAATTAAAGGAAGAGTTAGAAAAGATTAAGAAATTAGAAGACGATGAAACTAAATCAAATTCTCACGGTTCCAAAAGAGTTAGTGAAAATTCATTAAATTACTCATCACCATTGAAACGATCGAAATTAAGTGATAAAGAACATGTTAATGCTACGTCTAATATCTCAAGTGAAAGAACTCGGGATAACAAAGCTGATAATAAAAACCCACATTCTCAGGGGTCATCCATTATTGAAGACTACACAATTTGTGATTCCAGTAATTCTAGAGATAGTGTTAGGAAAAAAGCTATTGCACAAATGAAAAGACAGGGATATGAAGTTTCTGTCGTCGAACCTGGAGAATTTGGACTGAAATATGCACTTTCTGCACCATACCACATGTTTTTAACAAGAGTCGTGAGATCAAAACCCACTTATGAACAGAAATTCTCTGTAACTTTTCCAGAAATTCTTGACAAAAGTTTAGGTGAAATAGTTAGCAGCTTACAAATTAATTTTATGGTAGATGTTGGATGGCTTTGTTTGCAATATTTGTTGGCAGGCCAGAAAGTTGACATGTTAATTGTATGTGGGGAAAGAGTAGATCAAGAAACTCTCCCATCGAAAATTAAATTAATAACAGTGAAGCCACCAACGGCGTTTGGTTGCCATCATTCTAAAATTATGATTTTGAAGTATAAAGACAATGGGATTAGAGTCGTAGTTTCAACTGCCAATCTTTATTCAGATGATTGGGAGAATCGAACTCAAGGGTGAGTTAGATGTTTTTTTAGGATCATTTTATGATAAATTCTTTTTAAAAAGAAATGCAAAAGATGGCATTTCTCGGACCATATCTTATATTTCAAATTATTTCAATTAGAGTTTGGATATCGCCTCATCTTCCTGAAATGAAGCAGTCATCCGATACTGCTAGTGGTGAATCTCCAACAGGTTTTAAGAAAGATCTGGAAGAGTATCTGCTTAAATATAAGGAGCCAGCTCTAACAGATTGGATATGTGCCATTCGAAGAGCAAATTTTTCATCTGTGAATGTTTTCTTCATTGCTTCGGTACCAGGAAGTCATAAAGACAAGGAACGTAATAGCTGGGGGCACAAGAAATTATCTTCGATACTCTCTCAGCATGCTACATTGCCTCCAGATGGTCCAAATTGGCCAATCATTGCACAAAGTTCGAGTATCGGTAGCCTAGGACCAAAGTTTTCAAGTTGGCTGCAACAAGAAATTGTCCCAGCAATGTCTCAAGAGAAGAATTTACAACTTAAAAGTCCTCCTAAATTTCATTTTGTTTATCCAACGATAAATAACTATAAGCAAAGCTTTGATATGAGAAATGGTTCTTGTTGTCTACCTTATAGTATAAAGACACATCAAAAACAACTTTGGTTAAAATCGTATCTCTAGTAAGTATGTCTTTGAATTAAGAATGAGTAACTAAAGTTAAAGCAAATTAAATTTATAATCACTGCCAGTTTTCATAACTTTCAATTTTCATTACTATTTTTACGTTTTTTTAAAGCACGTCGTTACCTTACAAGAATTTTGTTTAATTGAGGCAGAAAGATGCTGAATTTTTACAGCCCATTAAAGTTATAGTTTTATTAAATATCTTTCTTAAGAAAGAAATAGTATTATTTTTCATTTCTGTTTAATGAACGATGTAAAATATGATGTCATAGTCAGTGGAAAGGAAACAAAACATCGAGAGATAAAGCAATGCCCCATATAAAATCTTATACAAGAGTTTCACCAGATTTTAAGAAGATTCCATGGTTTGTCCTAACCAGTGCTAATTTAAGCAAAGCTGCATGGGGAACACAAAGGGCTAGTCATTTTATTATGAATTACGAAGCTGGTGTTATTTTCCTTCCAAAATTTGTGGTATGTAGCCTGGAATAATAAAGATAATTATCTACATTCCATTTTAATGTTTCACTTCTTTTAGACTGGTGAAACTACGTTTCCAATAGCAGAAGAATCGTCAGATGGAGCACCGGTCTTCCACTTCCCATACGATTTGCCACTGGTTCGTTATGAAGATGCGGATGAACCTTTTGTCACTGAATTCTTCTCTATGGCCTAGAACAAGTTTTGAAGGTACATATATACCATTTTAACCCTTTGTTACCACACAAGGGTCCCCCGATATCAGTGGAAGTTTTAGTACATAGATATCTGTTCTCTAATGCATTTCTTAGTGACAAGGTCTTTATTTCTTTACGTGAAGTATGAGAATTAATTTTGTTGAGACCCGGAGCTTCACGATTAACGCTTGACGTTATTGGAACAGGGCTGCTTGACATCAAAATCGTGGTACCTTAATCTTTACACCACGGCAGAGCAACGGCACTTATTACGTCACAGATGTTGTCACTGCTTGCCGTTAGGTCGCAGCACGGTCGACCCGGGCTTTTTTGAATCGTGCCATTCCACCGAAAGAAGAAAGTATTTTACATACAGGAAGGATTATATTTTGTTCCACTTAATAGGTTTCATGGCTTATTTACTAGTTCTGTTTAACTTGAGACACAGCAAGATCTATGTTGTGTAAGTTGCAATGAAATTGATTTTGTAAAAGAAGAAATATGTATTCTTATCTTTACTACGAAAATGACCGTTGTAAATGTTTATAACATTTTTCGTGTACTCAAACCAGCACTGTCTTTGTATAATACACGATAATTATTTATGAAAAGTAACCTCTGCCTTAATGTAGTAAGTGTAAGAGTATATCCGTTCTTTCTAGAACGTCCATCATACAATCTAGTATCTGTATTGATTTTGGTACATACTAAATGGTTAATACAATATGAAATGTAATTAAGGACTAAATACTTAATTAAAATTGAAAGTAATAACAAATGAATAACCGTTTGTCGACAAGTATATTCAAGATTGAAACTACGATTTAGGAATTAAATTGAAACTGGTAATTATCTAGAGACTGTTTGCTTTGAGTTCTACATTATAGATAGGCTTTAAAATTTGGTGTCTTGCAAAATAAAGTACAGTTTTTACTTTTTAAATTTTGAGAAATCGGAAGGTGAAATCCTCGGGGCTGAAAATCTGTTACACCTTGTCTTCCAGGCCTTTACCTCACCATGGGTTACTCCAGAATTTCCATTCAGCGCGTGTGTTTTTTTTCTTTCTTTTCGTGCTCGGACAGAAGACAATACTTGCAAAGTGCTCGTGATTTCCATAAAACATCAGCAGGAAAGTGTTTCCTGATGAAACAGCGCAAGTCGGTCCGTCTTCGAGGTGGCGCATCGCGCATGCTTTGCTTTCAAACCGCTCCTAACTATTTTTCTCCTTCCTGTATCAATTACTTGCGAAGCGAACTCCTTTCGCAATCATGCCTCATAAAAACTCGAAACGATTCTTCGATGTACGCTATAAAGTTCGTTTCCCATAAAGTATTGAAAAATGAATTAATACGTAAAGTAATATCTAAGAGGGATAACTGGTCTCTTATCCAATACTCTTTTATATCTAGCCTTGGCTATAACTTCTATATTAATCAAGTTTTGTTAATTCTTTGGAACTCCTTTCGCAATCATACCTCATAAAAACTCGAAACGATTCTTCGATGTACGCAATAAAGTTCGTTTCCCATAAAGTACTGAAAAATGAATTAATATATAAAGTAATATCTATGAGAGATAACTGGTCTCTTATCCAATACTCTTTTATATCTAGTCTTGGCTATAACTTCTATATTAATCAAGTTTTGTTAATACTTTCGAACTCCTTTCGCAATTATACCTCATAAAAACACGAAACGATTCTTCGATGCACGCTATAAAGTTCATTTCCCATAAAGTATTGAAAAATGAATTAATATGTAAAGTAATGTCTAAGAGGGATAACTGGTCTCTTATCCAATACTCTTTTATATCTAGTCTTGGCTATAACTTCTATATTAATCAAGTTTTGTTAATTCGAAAACAATGAACGAGTACCAATCAGATAGATTTTCAGGAAAAGTAATAAAATGGTGATGAGCTGATGGCATTGTTTCTCGTGTACTTTTACTCTATGACTAATTAGACGAGATCGAGTAATTTACTTAACCGTATGACTGACTGGATAATTGTAAGTGGGAACAGAACGTAGCTTGCGATATTTCATATTTTTGTGATAAATTTCTAGTTCCGAAATGATGTCAGAATGTAAGAAGATTAAAAAAAGGGCAATAAAGGAAGCAGAAATACAATAACGTAAAATTATGAACTCAATAAATTAAGGATTCCGTTAAACTGCCAGTAGCAAATAAACTCGGGTGTCAGAATGTTAGAACATTTTTTTATGCGTAACCGTGAAATTTTAAAACGAGAATCTCTCTAATCAGTCGGCAATGTGATAAACAAATGACACAATAGCTTTTCAAGATATGCATTGATCACACTATTCATTACTTACTTTTTGAAAATGCATTTTTCTTGAATGTGCATTTTCAGAATTCCCACTTATCGAAGTGGCTGCCTTATTGCGTAAAAAAAAAATATATATATTTCATAAANACAAATATTTATTTATGACTTCGGAAAAAATGTAGTGACATGCTTTATGAAGAAGAATGGAAAAATTTAACAGAGGTGCCACCGCTGATGCAGTGAGACATTCATGTTGATAAATGAACTATTTCCACCCTCCGTTGATAAATTAACCAATTCTACAAGAAATTGAATTTGACTATTTACGAAAGGTTGAAAAGCTCTTCGAGGACTCTTTATGCCAGGAACTTATTTCTTATGCGGGACACGTGTACCATTAATACGTGCGCAGCGTGTATGTATACGGATATTGAAGTCATACGGACGGCTGTGACGCTGACAAATATTAGAAAATAATCAGACGGGATGATGACCATGACATTGACTGCCGCGAAACGTCGGATCGTATTGACTTTGTCATTTTGACGAAATCCTCCGATACTTGTTGATTAGGTTCTCAAGCAGAGTGGTTTACAAGAGCGCTTCACTTAAGTGGCAGGCATATCTGAAAAAAAGAGTCAAGAAGATTGAAAAGAACTCGCGAGTACCGTCGCTAATCTATTCATGTTGTTCTTTTCGTAGAAAAATCTAACACGACGTGTTCGATGACGTTCGAAGGATGACACAGGTTCTGGCGCATTCTTCGAAATTTTTGTCAAAATATTTGTACGGGTTTTTTTTCTCCGGGAACAAATTCATGGCAACGGCTGCTTATTTATAATGTCGGGATTAGTAGTCACGAAGCTTCGCAATGGTACTATATAGTTCCGGCAGTTATCGTATCATAAACAGAATTTCTGAGACATTGAATTCTAAACGGCTAGAGCCTGGAATTGATTTACTATTATTAGTTACCATATGCAATTAGTAACCGATTCAAAATTTCTGTCACTCTCCTCTATGAGCGGCACTATACATGTTAATGTTTAGAATATTGCTGGTTCATCTAGTTTTATAATAAGTAACGAAAGCTGCATATGCATTAGGTGATTTTTTAAGATATATCTCGGCCTATCTTTGTAAGGCAATTTGTTGTTGATTTTTTTATCTTACGAGTGGGGAGTAATATTAAAATTTGGATAACATCCAGATTTAACGAAACCAAGGAATGCTTATTGAAGTTTGTGATTATAGAATTAGTAAGAAATCACGTGATACATTCATTGGAATTGAAGATGTGTAGGTGCTCAGTCTGCGCAACAATGTAACCATATTAGTCATTTTTAATTGTTGATCATTTATGAACTTAGTGATAATTCAACAATTTTTCATTTCAAAAGAGTAAACGAAAAGAAACGAATGGAAAATCATATTTTCTTTATGCACGCGCAAAAATGTAATCATATTAGTCATTTTTAATAATTGATCATTTATGAACTTAGTGATAATTCAACAATTTTTCATTTCAAAAGAGTAAACGAAAAGAAAAGAATGGAAAATCATATTTTCTTTATGCATGGAGATATGTTTTGTACATTTTGTAATCGGCTCTTACCTTGTAGCGATATGACGAATTGTGTGAATCTGATAATGTGTAAAATGTGATTATTTAAAAAGTGTATTTTTCATTTGTTTCCGTGTATTCGTTGAATTCCGTGAGTATCACGCTGAATCGGTGGTTCTTTTTGTCTCACGTACTTTTATTGATGTTATGTACACGGTACATTCCGCACGGTACATAGCTCACGTGTAAGTACCTGGATAAATATCTGCTAAATGTCTACACGCTTTGTCCGATGGTGATTCATTGTAGGTGTTAACTTAAATGTTTACATTTTAATCTGAATTTTAGATGCGAATAAAAACGTTTACGCTTTAAGGAAAGTTTTAAACGTCAAAGTAAGCCTTGACGTCGTACTCGACGAAATGAATTTAAATTTGCCCATTTAAAATGAGTTTGAAATTGCAGAGAGACCCAAACGAAACAAAACAATACATGACATTTGAACTTGGGTGTTAACTCTTTTGAGTTATTAGTTATGTTTAGTTAATCAGCGGCTTTGAGTCCTGTATGGTTGAAAACCGAGTACCTAATTTTTTTATCGACTCTCGAAGAAACAACTATTTCATGAGATTGACATTTTTTAACCGTACTTGCTAAAAAGTCATAGGGAATTTAAACTGTAAAACTAAGCTAACACTTCAGCCTGCAATTTAATGGATGCAGTTTAAATAATCTTTGACATTGGTTTTATATTAATTGTACAATTGTATAAAATTAATACAATTAACACTTAAACAGTGTAGCTACTGGAAAACCAATATACGTGTATGCATTTTATTCCACCCATGCAAACGTCATTCTGGGACTAAAAATCTGACTAAACAATCGCATATTGTGTTATATTACGTTGTACGACTGATTTATTTTGTGCGCCATTTTGGAAGCTGTTTATTCATTTTGCAAGATTACCGGATATAAATCACTTTCAAAACATGCATGAGTTTTCCAAATGTATAGTTTAAAGTTATTTAAATTTTTTCAACGGAAAGAGAGAGGAGAAGGGTGAAGATCCTTAAATTAGAAGTACTTGGTTTTTAAAAAAGGTACCTATGACTGATCTATGCCGTTCATATTACACAGGACAAATTTTTTCAATTTTTCTAAAAACTTGTGCATACATAGGTACGTAATTTTCAGAATTATTTTGAAAGTTTGAGGGAATGAAACACGCGGGAGACATTGGTTTTATATTAATTGTACAATTGTATAAAATTAATACAATTAACACTTAAACAGTGTAGCTACTGAAAAACCAATATACGTGTATGCATTTTATCCCACCCATGCAAACGTCATTGTGGGACGAAAAAGCTAACTAAACAATCGCATATTGTGTTACATTACGTCGTACGATTGATCTATTTTGTGCGCCACTTTGGAAGTTTGTTTATTCATTTTTCCACTTTACCGAACATAAATCACTTTCAAAACATGCATGAATTTTTCAAATGTATAGTTTAAAGTTATTTAAATTTTTTCAACGGAAAGAGAGAGGAGAAGGGTGAAGATCCTTNAGATATTGAGATTTAATAAAACTTTTGTTGGACGTTTTGTTCAGACATAATATCCTAATTTTGTAACATTTCCAAATAACATTTATAACATATATTGTGCGCCATTTTGGAAGCTGTTTATTCATTTTGCAAGATTACCGGATATAAATCGCTTTCAAAACATGCATGAATTTTCCAAATGTATAGTTTAAAGTTATTTAAATTTTTTCAACGGAAAGAGAGAGGAGAAGGGTGAAGATCCTTAAATTAGAAGCACTTGGTTTTTAAAAAAGGTACCTATGACTGATCTATGCCGTTTATATTACACAGGGCAAATTTTTTCAATTTTTCTAAAAACTTGTGCATACATAGGTACGTAATTTTCAGAATGATTTTGAAAGTTTGAGGGAATGAAACACGAGGGAGGAAGAATAACAGGTGAAGGTGGTAAGCGAAGTAAATCGGGGCTTACTTTTTGTTGCGTACAACAAATAATCTCCTTTTAATGTTTCATGACGTTTGACATTCTTCGATGGGAACTTCGGCATGTCATTCATGCCATTGCAGAGTGAAATCAATGATATGACTAATATTTCATCAATAGAGATAAAGTCTTTGAATTGTCATGACTATTAGTCGAAACAAGGGTTACGTATTTAAATACCGCTTAAGCAAATGCAATGACTTGCATATTTCTGGGGTTCATTTTCTGCGTTCATTAGGAAATTCGTCGCACCTGCTTCAGCTCTAGTAAATTGTCAGCGAGAAACATACATTTTCCCTAGTAGCACAGAATATTTTCTAAATATTTTTTGCAATCTTTGCTACATATCTCAAGCGACAATTTTTTTAAGATGCCTCGTAGATTTCATTTGAAGATATTTGAAATATTTGTTGAAAATCTCAATGACATATTTAGTTTCAATAATTCATAAACATATAGAGAAATATTTTTTAACATATTAACATAATAAAAATACATTTTTTACTTCACGACTATTATCGGACATTTCATTTGGTATGAAAAAACACGAGAAATTTTTCTAATATTTTCGTTCCGCTATTTCATTATGCGAGCAAAACGTGTGATTTTGATTTTAAATATTTTTAAAACATTTATAATGTATTCGGCAGATAATATTTAAAAAATACTTGTATTAAAATGAAACGAAATGTTTTGTATATCTGGTAGAAAAATATTATGAAAACGCATGGAGGTAATATGATATAAATATTATAGGGATAATATTCTAAAGTAAACGTATTGCAAATATTTCAAATGCCTGCTAAATATTTACATAGTGTACGATATTCGTTAAATATGTAGAAAATATAGTACAAATATTTTGCGCTACTAGGGTTATCTGTAAACATTTCATTGCATGCTTCAGTTTGATTTCGAAGTTGTAGGGTTTGAAACTCTTCTATTAGCCTAAGTGAGTGCAGAACCAATACTTTGGCAAAATCGGCATTCATTGGCGTGTTTTAACATTGAAAATATGTCGAACCTCTCCTGACCGCATTCGATTCACCCTGTGTATCTACAATTTCCTATAAATGAACTACTATGACATTCTCGATCTCTTCCAAGGTCACAAACAACCCAGGAAAACGTCAAGACTTCCTTTCCGTAATTAAAATTGAAATCCTTTGAATTTCATATTATCATTTCAACAGAACATAAAAAATTATATGTTAACATGTAATATCAAAATTAAATTTTCTTTCTTTAAGAATTAGGTATAAAGTAAATTGACTAATATCTCATATCTAACTATATACTTTTAATAATAATGTTACATTAAATAACATATAATTAGATCCTGACTCTTCGATAAAATATTATTTATTATTTGATTTTAATTAATCCTTATACAAATACATAGTCAAATTACTATGATAGTGCTAGAAGATCGCTGCCGTATTTAGTCCGTTTCGAAAAAGCAAGATGGCGTCTTGGCTGTTCCTCCTAGCGCGCCGCCTCCCACTAGAAGATACCTGTCGGGCGCAGGCGGAAAATCCTTGGTCGGGTGCGAGGGTGGTGGGTGGTCGACGGGCGCCGCGAAGTCCACCGCGGCATCGCCGCCCGCCGATCAGTCCGCCCGATGTTGGCCGACCGACAGGTCGCCAGAATCGGTTCGTGCGCGCGCCGGCTCTACCGACTGTCAGGTGCATCGGAAGCGTCTCAACCCCTCGCTCGACCTCCGCATTAGCGCTTTAGCTTTCGACGCGAATGCCGGTTTCGGTTTCCGCGTGGGTCCCGCGTTGTCTCCGGAGGTCGCGGGTGGAAAGCGTGGGGGCGCTGCGGTGACAAGGGAAAATCCCAGCGGCGGTGGAGACGAATGAGTGCATAAGATCGATACGGGCTGCGATAGATACCGCGCGCTCTGGGTAAGCCGTTTTTATCCCGAAACTTCTACTTTACGTTAGCGCCCCTAAACTCGAGATGACAGCGTAAGATGCATATCCTGCAGGTGCGATATCCTCGCACGCGACTGGGAGCGAGACCCTTTTCGATGGAATCGAAGCACCGTAAGTGCCACTTTTCAAGCTGAGGGGAGAAAGTTGAATGCATTAATTTCTTATTACAAATTTTAGAAGATTCGCGTCGCACTCGTGACATCGGCTACACTGTTAAAAAGAAAATATTCAGATTTAATAAAACTTTTGTTGGAAGTTTTGTTCAGACGTGGTATCCTAATTTTTTTGTAACATTTATAACATGTGTTATAAATTTAATATATAAGTGTGCTCATTTCTTTAGAAAATTTCACAAACTTCTAATATGACGTTACAAAAGTACACCATTTTTTTTAAGTTTATCGTAAACGTATAATAATTCAATTTGAGACATGACATTTATAATTTTATCATAATTTTATCTACCAAAAGTGCAAGAGTTTTATGAATATTTTTAAAGGGGTATATAGGGAAAAAATTGTTAATCGTTTAAGTTGCGTAAACCTGGTGAGGTTTAAATGCAAAGTCTCTCGTTAAATCGAAAGTTTTGTCGTTTAGAATTTCAGTAGTGGGAAGATATTGAGATTTAATAAAACTTTTGTTGGACGTTTTGTTCAGACATAATATCCTAATTTTGTAACATTTCCAAATAACATTTATAACATATATTATAAATTTAACATATAAGTGGGCTCAATTCTCTAGAAAATTTCACAAACTTCTAATATGACGTTACAAAATTTCAAATTTATTTTGAAGTTTATCGTAAACGTATAATAATTCACGTTTGAGACATGATATTTATAATTTTACCATAATCTTATCTACCAAAAGTGTATGTATTTTATGAATATTTTTAAAGGGATATATAAGGAAAAAATGGTTAATCGTTTAAGTTGCAAAAACTGGGTGAGGTATAACTGCAAATCTTGTTAATATATAATAAATGCAAGTCTCTCGTTAAATCGAGAGTTTTGTCGTTTAGAATTTCAGTAGTGGGTTTACAAAGTGGCATTTTCGTGAAATATTTTACCACGAGAGATTCTCGACAAGTTACGTGATTTTTTAGTCCGTGCCAGTTTTATTTACTTGGACGGTTTCATTGTTTTAAGAGTGACATGCAGATGTCGATTATAAAAATATAAAACGTATGCATTAAGAATACAAAAAAAGTTTGATTTCAAAAACACGAAATAGTGTTGAAAGGTTTAGTAAAACGTAAAATTCTTAGGCACGTTGTCAGTAGATTAACCCTTTGTTTGAGGCTAAGTTGTACATTCACGAGTATTGAATGGAAGTGCGAGCAGTAAGCGCACGTTTAGTGTACAAACAGTGGCTGGTCTTTTGAACTTGGACTCTTATGGTTTATGGTTATAGCGGAAAAATAAAAAGCGTGCATAACATGAAGGAAAGAAGCTTATTTATTTAAAGTTATTCCGCCATCGTTAAATGTGAACACGTTTTATCACATTGTTAGTGGCACATATCGGATACTGCATTTCGTTTCTTCGTTTCGTTGCTTTCATAATAGATTATGTGGAAACCCATTGACGTATTGAAATTTTCTTAATGGGCTTTCTTTTCTATCTTCGAGAAGCATTATGCGAGAGAGTGAAAAGCCGATAGTTTCCAATTACTATGTAAAACATAACATCGTTGTATCACACAGTACATGTGCAACGGTATTTACTTTTATATCATTCTTTAATCGTAGGGTAATCTAAATGCAATTTTTAAGGAATAAGTTTTCTATCTTCTACATAAAACATAACATCGTTGTATCACACAGTACATGTACAACGGTATTTACTTTGATATCATTCTTTAATCGTAGGGTAATCTAAATGCAATTTGTAAGGAATAAGTTTTCTATCTTCTACATAAAGCATAACATCGTTGTATCATACAGTACATGTGCAACGGTATTTACTTTTATATCATTCTTTAATCGTAGAGTAATTTAAATGCAATTTTTAAGGAATAAGTTTTCTATCTTCTACATAAAATATAACATCGTTGTATCACATAGTACATGTAAAACGGTATTTACTTTTATATCATTCTTTAATCGTAGGGTAATCTAAATGCAATTTTTAAGGAATAAGTTTTCTATCTTCTACATAAAACATAACATCGTTGTATCACATAGTACATGTACAACGGTATTTACTTTTATATCATTCTTTAATCGTAGGGTAATCTAAATGCAATTTGTAAGGAATAAGTTTTTTATCTTCTACATAAAGCATAACATCGTTGTATCACATAGTACATGCACAACGGTATTTACTTTGATATCATTCTTTAATCGTAGAGTAATTTAAATGCAATTTGTAAGGAATAAGTTTTCTATCTTCTACATAAAGCATAACATCGTTGTATCACACAGTACATGTACAACGGTATTTACTTTTATTTCATTCTTTAATCGTAGGGTAATCTAAATGCAACTTTTGAGAAATAAATTTTCTATCTTCTATATAAAACATAACATCGTTGTATCATACAGTACATGTGCAACGGTATTTACTTTTATATCATTCTTTAATCGTAGGGTAATTTAAATGCAACTTTTAAAGAATAAATTTTCTATCTTCTATACAATTTAAGTGTAATGAGCTGATTTGATGAAACAAATGCCGAAACAATCGTTTGAATTTCTCGGGATAAGGCCAATATTTGTATCATATATTTATGTCAGATGGTGCCATGCCAAGTTGTCGATAATTCGGATATATTTATCCCAATAAGAAATTTTTAAATTAACGTATCTGAACCTGTGAACTATTTTAACAGGTAAATTAATGTTTCTCATATGTGCAAATCTTTCGTGGAAATTAATTATATCGTCGGTATCATGAATGGGTAATAGTATTTTAGGTTATTCTCACAAAATTTCTAATGATGTAGTAAAAGATATATTCAAAGTATGCCGAGCCATATCTTACATTAATTCTTAAAGTACCTTTACAGAAATTAAAATATTATGAATAAAATTCGAGGAATGAAGACAAAATTAAAATAGTGTTAACAAAAAATGATCCAATTGGACATGATACTATATTTTTAATTTACATATTTATTAATATTTTCGGACGTGTATAATTATACCAAGTCAGCCCCGATTTGCCTTGTGTATTTTCTCGACTGATATTTATTCAGAAACGTTTATAGTGATTTTTGGAAACGTTCTCCAATACATATCTACCTGTACAAGTACCTGTTCATAACACTTAGTTCAAATATTGTATTTCCTGTTTAATGAAACAGTATATGCGTCCAGGAATAAAGTTAATTCGTTGACTACTTGTATACTATTCACTAAATATACGATATTGTATTGGGATTGTACCGACTATTACGGCTACTATCAAATTTCTGTAAATGAAAGAAACAATGAGATGCTATTTCCGAAATGTTCATCGAGTCGAATAGTAACGTCGTATCGTATATTAACGAAATTCGTAATTATTATTAAAGTCCTGAGTAATTGGCGAACAACTGCAGGATTCCATTCAATAGAACGATATATTTCGAGAGGAGTAGATCACTTTACCAAGCGAAAATGGAGTACGTAATTGACATTTTCATGAAAGCTGATAAATGATTAATCTTCTTTTTATATTTCAGGAGGGTGCATCATCGACCTGTATATCATTCGAGAGAAGAATTAAGGTAGAGAGTAGTTCGAAGCAGTGTTTCATTCAGAGTGAAGCGAACAGAGGAACTTGGAAGAAAGAAAAAAAAAAAAACAGTTTGGCGATAGAAAGAGGCTCCAGGTTCCAAGGGGTACTATACACTATACAGTTGGGTGGTTAAGATGTCAACGTCGCCACGCTACCAATTGGAGGAAGGAAGTAAAAGAGGAAAGATTAGCGCAGAGGTCAAGTCGATAACTGGGAATTACAGCTGGGAGTCGCAAACCAGAGGACTCTGCAGAGTTCAACTCGAGTAGGGTGCCCTTGAGTAGAAATCGAGAACCGGAAGTCATGTTGACCTGTTGGGTGTTGGTCGGCATCCTTGGGGCACTGGTGTTCCTCTACACGACCGTCGAGGTCCACTATTTCCTCAGGATGTTCCTTGCAGTTTTCCTGGCACGGTTCTGCAAAAAGCGCGTCCACATTCTGGACGAGACCTCGGTTTACGGTGAGTATTAAGGTGAAGTGAAACCCCCTTCAAATCAGTCGATTCGAATACAACACTTTTTTTTAAGGGTATTGGACCAAATGGTCCGAAACTTTGACACATCACTCCTGATCATCTAAGAATTGTCCTGACACATTCAAAATTTGGATATTTTAAAAAAATTTTTTAACTCAGCCCAAACCAGAACCAAAATGGCGTCGAGCTCTCATATTTCGATCAATATACAATTATCGAAGGCTCTGATATGAGAATCGAAAGGGTCAGGACAATTTTACGACAATTTGGAACACTCTGGTAATCGATAAACTCGCATTTGAACGGGATAAAGGCAAAAAAAGTGTTGTATACGCTTCTATGCTAAAACGATGGTAATACGAGGTCTCGGAGTGAAAATTTAATTGACCTGGAAATCACAGATGGCGCAGGGGGTCCCTCTGCAGTCAATTAGGGCCCCGGAAAGCACGAATCCAGAGGATTTCTGGAGTTTTACTTCGATTTCTTTATAATTATTGTACGAAAACGACAGGTGGAGTATGCCATTTGGCACAATACCCAATATAATTCGACCCAGCTGTCAATATAAAAACGAACGTCGACAATGTACGCATTTAGAAAAATCTTCTTTATCAACGTCGATCAAGTTCCTCGATGTGTTTCACTTCACCTTAAGAAACTCAGACCTAGTCATTATCTGCGATGTTCAGCCTGGCGTGTAAAATTGGACGATGAATGTCGTTTGTTGAACCTCTTGAATGAGTAAAGTCAATTTTAATAAGGCCATCGAGAGTGAACGATTTTTCTGCGTTTTTTAAGCTATGAACGAAACCGGTTGGTCCATTTAATACAGAGATGTGCATTTTTTAATATATGTTATTCGGGATGGAAAGCGATGTGTCGTTCGAGTCAGGGACAACAAGTCGGGCGAGAAAGCGAGGGACGGTTTTGGTGGGATTGTGACAAAAGTAAAGGCTCGTTGCGAGCGTTTACAGCTACGAATGCCTCGAATTCCTACGACCCACGTGGCTTGGAAGCTGGTGAAACCAGAAGAATCGATTGAAAGGATCGTCTTCGGTGTTATTTTGAAGACCATTAAGGTGAAGTGAAACACGTTGAGGAACTTGATCGACGTCGACGAAGAAGATTTTTCTAAATGCCCACGTTGCCAACGTTCGTTTTTATATTGACAGCTGTGTCGAATTATATTGGGTATTGTACCAAATGGCATACTCCACCTGTCGTTTTCGTACAATAATTATAAAGAAATCGAAGTAAAACTTCAGAAATCCTTTGGATTCGTGCTTTCCGAGGCCCTAATTGATTGCAGAGGGACCCCTGTGCCATCTGTGATTTCCAGGTCAATTAAATTTTCACTCCGAGACCTCGTATTCCCATCGTTTTAGCATAGAAGCGCATACAACACTTTTTTTCCCTTTATCCCGTTCAAATGAGAGTTTATCGATTACCAGAGTGTTCCAAATTGTCGTAAAATTGTCCTGACCCTTTCGATTCTCATATCAGAGCCTCCGATAATTGTATATTGATCGAAATATGAGAGCGCGACGCCATTTTGATTCTGGTCTGGGCAGAGTTAAAAAATTAAAAAAACAAATCCCAATTTTGAATGTGTCAGAACAATTCTTAGATGATCCATGTGTTAAAGTTGTGTTAATCTTATTGTTAAATAATGTGTCAAAGTTTCGGACAGTTTGTTCTAATACCCTTAAAAAAAAGTGTAGTATTCGAATCGACTGATTTGAAGGGGGTTTCACTTCACCTTAAGTACATTAGCTATGGCAACACCTTACATCGACACGAATGACATGACCATTGAACTTTTAAAGACCGGTCAATGACATCGAAGCTAAGTAGTTTCTGGACATCTGAGTTCAGTCACTGAAATGATACAGCAGTTTTTTACGTCGATAAATTATGCATCGTGGAGTCGGGGAATTTTAGAACTTGATATTTGCTAAAGATCGGATAACCATGTAGAGATATATTCCTCATTGAACATTTGGGAACATTGCGGTAGTTGTTGATGTCGGCGTTCTGGTTTCAGGATACATAAAATCAGAAATTTTCAAGTTTTTGTTTTTATATCTTTTAAAGTGAAATTTTGAAAAATAACTGAGTGGTGTTTATGCTTATTCGATGTGTAAATAATCGTTGTATGCAACGCGAAAGATGTTTCGGACAATACAAAACGATCTAAACAAAAGGACTTTAAAACTAATCTCACAAAAGTATCGAAACGTTCATTAAACATGTTTCCACGATTCAAGGACTAATCCTTCACCGGTAACTTTTTCTCGAATTTGAAAGGTTTTGAAAGTAGACAGCTAATTTTTAATTTAAATATATGTATTCAAATAAATATTTTCAAATATTTAGTTGAGTACAACATTTAAATATACGCATTCAACTAAATATCTTCAAATATTTGGTTGAGTACAACATTTAAATATATGCATTCAACTAAATATTTTCAAATATTTAGTTGAATACATTTTTAATCGAGTCAATTTGCATAATTCACTGACTATAGCATACTTCAATAAACAGATTCCTTTTTGCGTCGAGGGTAATACGATACGAAATTTTTACTTCTAATTTTTGGTAGGGTCTTTATGAAAGTCATAACTATTAATTAAAGTACAATATGCATCTTAGAAAAATAAATGAATAGAAATCAAGGATGTGACTTAAGTTCGACACTTTGCTGCATGCTATGTTCAGTTGTATGATAAGCACTGATAATTTGTTTGAATTTGAACTTGGATGCTTTCAATTGGTTAAGTAGGAAGGAGTAAATAGAGTTTAGAATCCTCATAATTAATGTCGGATATTGGGCGAACCTTGACCTATGGTACCGAAGTGTAACAGTTGACCAGGGCACGTGTCATGTCTCCGTGCCATGTATCGATTGACAAGAGGCTTAATACGTTTAACATAATTTCTTTACTATGTCAGCAAACCTTTTAAAACTACCCTCGTAATCTCCACTACAAGATACAGTAAACAATTAGAAAAAAGTTTGTGAAAATGCAGTTCCAAGCGTAGCAATTTCTCTACATGAGAAATAGATTGACACAAGTGTCTGTTAAAAATGATATGCGAAAACGTCCCGGGGATTTCTATCGAGACGGAGAATAAATAAATTAAGGTTCGCTGAAAATTGTTAACCGAATATTGAATAATACCTACAATTCATATTAATTAAATTTTCTGCTTACCTTTCAAAGTTCTTGATACGATATCGATAGATGCCGTCCTACCTAACTTTGCATGCGTTTCATTTTAATTAATTAATAAATAGACTTTATGGTGTACCGAATGTCTATGTTGGATGTACTCAGGTAACGCCTTTGCATCATTCAGCGAACGATTTCGTTATCGTGTTCCGATAAGGCTCTGAAATTCGATAGAAAGGGATTCCTTATATTGCTAGCGCTGAAGTTGGGCTTCGCCTTGGTGGCTTTTATGTTACGCAAGTTTAACGCTAATTAAATATCAGACATATATCGGAGTTTTTAGATTTTCCTTAATTTGAGGATTGCTAAATACTCTCTGCTAAGAGAACAATTGGGGATCTTTTTCTTCGGACATTATTCTCAAACTTCAAAACTTATATTTCTTCTTTAATCTTAGTTTCATTTACGCCAACGTATAAGTAATAATTTAAACGTTTTTATCGAAAGGAAATAATTTACTGGCTACTTCCGGAGCTCATTAGTGGAGTCATACATGGTTTTACGTATTATTCGTTATCCTTTTAAGAAATGTTTCGAAGTCATTTTGTACGAACCATTAACACGGGGCAAGCTTAATGTGACTTTCCTATTAAGGTTGCCTGACTAATCCACTTCCTACTCCGCAAAACGTACCGCAATCAAATGATTGTTTTCAAGCACCGAGGCCCTGAGCTCACATAAAGGAAATACTGTCCTTTTTGCAATTACTGAGAAACCCACTACATTCATTAAATAAAGTTGTTAACAGTGTGATGTTATTTTAACATCATAACTCTCAAAACAAAATCCTGGCAGTTAACCTTCCGCTCCTCTGGCGAAGTCGCAAATAAAAACACAAAATAAGCTCCGTCTCGTGTCCGCTCAAATCAACAGCAACATTTTTGCTTCGGAAAGGATTTAATATTTTCCAGGATTAATGATTAACATTGGAGGCCCTGGGACGATCACAATAGATAGCTCGTTGATTTACTCTGTTTTGTAGTTTCGTTTTATCAGAAAAAGGTAATCATTCTTGATAAAATTCTTGCCGTTTAAACTTTATTTTCATTTTATCAGAAAAAGGTAATCATTCTTGATAAAAATCTTACCGTTTAAACTTTACTTATTACCGGAGATTGAGAAAGGCAAAAGTAGGTAACACTGGTGTTCGATGACTAATTTCTACTATAGGGATAAGAACGCTTTTAATTGTTATTACGCTTCATTTAGTGAAATATTGAATTATTGATTTATGGGGTGTTGATTGTTGACACAGGTCTCTGTACTTCCACCGATGTCGACACCTTGCTATACCACATGAACAATGCGAGGTATCTTCGCGAGCTTGACTTCGCCAGGGTGGATTTCTACGAGAGGACAAATCTGTTTCGCGAGATTCTCGCCCAAGGGTCGGGTGTTGTTCAAGGAGCAGCGACGATTCGCTACAGGAGGTTTCTCAAGCCGATGTCGATTTTCAAAATAACATCGAAAGTAAGTGGAAATTATTCATAAATCTGGGGAGAGTGATTCGGACTGAAAGGAGTTTTCTTTTCCTCAATTTAATTCCAATTCATTTTCTGCTAGAATAAATGGAAATTGGTTGATTCACCAGAAGGTTGTATAATGCTTGGAGAAAAGTCGCTGTAGGGACTCCAAATCTAAATTTCTAACTGCTTGGGCAAGTCTTTTTTTTTTTATCATTCATCTGACCTACTGAGGTCATGGTTTCTTTCTTGGATTTCTAATCTACACGGGGCAAAATGATTTGGAAAGTGATGGAGTTAAATTTTTTTGCATTGATTTTACATTTTACCTTGTGACTTTAGCCGGGGTAACAATGTAAGTTGCAGGTAAATTAGAATAATTTCTATATTTATAGATGAATTTCTTGCTGTGTGGGAAGGGAAAATTTCTTTTTTTGGTGTTAAATTTTTTTGCATTGATTTTACATTTTACCTTGTGACTTTAGCCGGGGTAACAATGTAAGTTGCAGGTAAATTAGAATAATTTCTATATTTATAGATGAATTTCTTGCTGTGTGTGAAGGGAAAATTTCTTTTTTTCTGATTTTTTTTGGAGTTAAATTTTTTTGCATTGATTTTACATTTTACCTTGGGACTCTAGATGGATTAACAATGTAAGCTGTAGGTAAATTACAATAATTTCTATATTTATGGATGGATTTGTTGCTCTGTGGGAAGGGAAAATTTCTGTTTTTGTTAGGAAAATCGATTATCCCTCACTTAGAATGTCAAAGCTCCTTTTAATAGCTTTGTTAAATTGTTAGGTGCAGTAAATTAAGCATTCTTTTGTCGTATAATTGTCGTACGACACCGAATTGGTATTAAGGAAAACCATTAAATTGGTATTGAAGAAATACTTGAATTGATACTAAGATGCTCGTACTAAACGCATGAAAAATTAAATCAGATGTAATGCATGATAATTTAGGACTTACTTTTTGATTAGACAAATTGTATGAAATTATTCAAGTTACAATTGTACACTATTAGGGAATATATACGTAACAATAGAAGTGGAAATCGTGACACATTCATAATTATTTTATTCATTTAACCTTTTACTTTTGTCGATTTTTCCATGAATGACTCTTGGGCTCTCTTAGTCATTATATCATTATTGCGATATTTCATTATTCTAATGTGGCAATTAATTAACACTTTAGTAGTGCCACAAGAAACTGTGATTTAGACATATGCTTTTCCTTTGATTGTCCGAATGGATCGATATATTGCTAGATCCCTCGGAGCGATGCCAATCTTGATTCTTATCGAGCATTCACATTTACATATCGGAGAAAGTAATTGATGGGTCACTAGTGACGAAATTTCACGCGTTAAATATGCCTTCACCTGAAGGAGTATCATTTCCAGAGCAGTAAACACCGTAAACTATCACGAATGATATGCCGTTTTTTATCGTCCACTCAATTAGTCGACAATTGAATTGAATTTTATGTGCTTTCATCTCTTTTCCTTTTCTCGTCCAAGACTTATAAATAGTGGCTCGAAGGGTACAATTCATAATATTTAAATTGATAATTCCAATTGCTGAACAATTATTCAATTCATTAGAAGCAATATTGTTGTTTTATAGAATATTGTTTATTTAATGAAACAGCTCCCGAATCGAACTTTTACGTAATGGACATTTTTCCTAATTACGGATGAATGATATTGGTATATATTTTGAAATATCTACATTACACATAATTAGCCAAACGCAGTAATAGTGAGTTTTCAATTATTTTACCGTGTCAAATGACGATTTAAAAATTAGCCTGACCGTGGAAAATCCTTGGCTTTAGGAGGAATTCGCATATCTATTTGTCAGGAAAAAACGAATATTGTCGTTCTTCCCTGAAGATTATCATTATCCGTTTCCGCAGCAATAATCACTATAACCAAAAAAAAATTCTGTAGCATCCTGTTCAATACTGATCGCATAAAGATATCCAACGATAGTTTTAACGTCGTTGAAAATGTCTTTGGTAAATTTTTATCCTATAAAGCCAAAACTGGTAGAGCCCTTAATTGATATTATATTTTTTATTTTACGGTCAGTGACATAGGAACCGATCCTTTACAGGGAATGAGAGACAACGTAGTTGGCTCATTTTTGTTTTTCGTCCAAGTAGTCATTAGTAGCAATAAAGGCATTTCTCTTTCCTCAGTATCTGGTATTGAAAGTCTAAGCAAATTTAATCTTACTTAACCGGTTCGAAAAAAGTACTGGCTCATTAGAAGACCGTTCATTTCTTCGGAGAGTTCTAAAATGTAATTCATTCGAAAAGTGTTTTTTTTTAACGTTTTTTTTCTGGCAAATCGTTCAACCAACTTATCTTGACTAATGAAATGGACAAGGGTAGTTAAGATGCTGATTACGCTAGCGGTTTTTCATGCTCCGTGTAAAATATTTTTTGTTTTTTAATTAGCTTACGCAGTCCCATTCCAGAGAAGAACTTATTCTGGGCTAGAACCGAGGTTAACTGTGAAAGATATAAATTATTTATTTTTTCAATACTTTAATTTATTTAATGTATATATAGTTTCTAATTTCATAAAATAGGTACATGCTATTTATATGAAAAGTACAATAGACTCTTTACCGATTATCGCTACAAAATCTCTTATATGAATCAGTGACCCTCCACGGTTTCCGGATTATTAACCTGTTTCCATTTTCTATGTTAACAATAGTTAAACAAGGAGATCCCAGGTACTATACTGTTATCGATTCTCTATTTAGAAAAGCAAAAATGAGCAAATACAATTGACGATCGAATGAATCAAGAAGAAAAGTGTATGTAAGGTACCTAATCGGAATCCTTACTGAAGAAAATCAATTATAGTTCAAATATCTCTATTTATACTCCAGACATCGAGGCCATTTGAATCATTTCGCTAGTCGATTTACAATTACTCACCGTAATTCCGACTGCGTTTCATTACCATGAGTACTAAGCACGAACCTAAAGTCTTCCTGATTGTTCCGCCATTTTTTTTTTTCATTAGAAACACTAAGCAGAATCATTGCATTATATTATCATTGTTAATCAGATATAAATAGGATCAAAGAAATAGTGAAATTTCGAAGAGGTCAAAAGACCTTACTGTCAGCACTAGAAAAAAATATACGAATCCAAGGAAATTCATAATGTTATATTGTTAAATAGTTTTCCGGATGAAATAATTTTGCCATATATATATGCGGCGCTTAATGTCAAATTAAGACGTACCAATTGAAAAAGGTTTATGCCGCCACTGAGGGAACTATGGGATATATTGGTAATTTTTTCCATGTTTTTCAGATCATTTATTGGGACGATAAGTCCATTTTCATGGAGCATCGCTTTGTCACCCCCAGCGATGGCTTCGTCAGGGCAATTGCTATTTGCCGACAAAGAGTTTTGGGGTGTAATGCAGAGGCTGTGATGGGCGCCCTATTGGACAAAGGAGTCAAGCAAAACGGAAACGTGGAGGCTGGAGTGACACAGGTGAATCCGAAATTCATTCTGAATTTTCTTTACGGTTTTCACTGATTTCTACGACTACTTTTCACTTTTTTTGCTGTCTGCTTGAAGACCATTTTATGGTAATTTTATTGGAGGGGATTATGGGATACACGAAGGATGTAAGTGGTTCTTATGTTAGTCGACGTTAATGGACTTCGAACGATAATTCCAGGACTCTTTTTGTAAAACTATTAGTGTCAATTAAGACTTCCGTTCTTATTTATTCCTCCATTAGCACACGTGCAGCTGTACTTTTTCATTCGATATTTATTTTCGATATTTATTTATATTTATTGGTCTGGAAATATAGTCGGTTTCGCTTTAGTGTTATGGTGATCGCACAGATCGATGGATGCTGATGTATAAGATTGACATCAACTTAACATTTGACTAAATGCGATTACGCAAAGAGAAAGATCGTATTAAATGCATTAAGCTGATGTGTTTCTCTTCTTTTTTTTTTTCGTTTTAGAATAAGTACCTTTTTGCCCTCGAGTATTAAATTTCTTACAGATTGAATAATTCTTTCGGAGCGTAACGCAATCGTTTAAATGTAAATGAATTTCTAGTTGGGATTGGAACAGATGTTCGGTTGAAGGGGAAATAGTTGAAACCTCTAGTGACACGGGTCAAAGAAGAAAAATATGGATGATTTAAAGTGGGATAAATTGCAATTTTAATCTAGAAAGCATATTTGTAGAAATGCGTCCTGGCTTCATTGTGGAAGTTCGAACAAGTATGAGTGCAGTGTAATTGCTTTTGCAGTATGTGTGATTTTTAATTATCTGGGCACCGATTGTCGGGTAATAGAGAGTCCACCGTATTTGTATGTGCTTAGAATACAACTAAGTAGTGAAGGTTTACAATGATGTTGTTTTTTTCTTTTTAAGACTCCCCACGTGAGGCCTGAAATCCCACCGGAAGTGGCTCGATGGTTGGAAAGCAACGAAATTTCTTCGGCAACCCTGAGGCAGTTGCCAACTGTTGCTGCCAATTGCTGACAAAGAGACAACGCGTCAACCGTTGTAAACGGGGCCGCAGCAACACCGTCTTACGAAACCACGATGGTTTAACAACTTTTTTAGACTACTAGAATCTTCCGAATTCTTCGTCACCTGCGACAGGAAGCCTTCCGCAACCATGTAAAATTTAATATTTAATATGCCGGAAGCTTGTCGAAGGTTAAGGATTGCGATGGTTCGGATAGTAAGTGCGAGGACATTTTACAGAAATAAAGGAGATCGTAATCGCAGGAATTCGTGTCAAGCTTTAACAGTTGGACGTGAGTTTCTCTCGTAATTATTGTCATGGCAGCTGCAATGTCATGAAGATCTTCACGAAACGTTTTTAAAGGCTTATCATGATCGAGTCACGAACTTGATAATTGCGATTCCTTCCAGATGGTTTTGTATTACAAAACTGACATGACAAAAATTATTATCGAAATCATCCGAATCCCAGATAAGGAGATAGTACCATATCTTTTTTGCAATATGATAAGCAACATCGATGTGTTTTCTTTTTTTTTTCTTTTCGTTTATTATGCCGCGCAGACTGTTTCAATTCGTGATGGAAGTTAATTAACAGATCGAATTTTATGGCTCCTGTTGGAGGAATTCAATTTGTTGAATTCAATTTTTTTATATTAGAATGGAATACATTTTTAATAAAATTGGACGGAAATACGTAGGTATGCTTAAAAGAGCGGACCAACATTCTTTGCATATTTTTCTGCTTTAAACTATTTTAATCCGCTCCAATTTGTAATTGTGCACTGTGCGATGATAACTATTAATCGCATTTGGAAACAATGGATTTGTATATAAAATAAAATAATATTCAATGGAATAAAGTAGGATCTTTGCGTATCGTTGCGTATTAGTGAGATTCTCCTTATTTCACGAGACACAATTGAAAGATACGTAAGGTAAAAAACGTTATTCATGTGAAAATGATTTCCAAATTGTTATATCTCTTTCATATTTATTTGGGCATATTTCTTATATTATCAATGTATATAGAATATTTAATTTAGATTGCTTAAAATGTTGATAACCGTATCTTTACCGCATCAAGTATATAAGTGTTGCAATACATCTTTCTATTGCAACGTATTTGTAAATTATTACTTTTCGAAGCTTTAACACTTATGTGTGCTTCTGGAATCTTTAATGTAAACAAGACAAGTGATATGTGCCATCGAGTGGGTGTTAGTTAACAAATTAAGCGATGAAAAATTCAGACAGTTATATGTTGAATGTTTCTTTTCTTCCTTCGCATAATTTTCGCCTTTATGTAGTCTACATGTACATCGATTTACACGATTATTTGTTAGAAATAATAAATTGATTCTGGTTCTTCTAAGTACGTGACATAAAAATAAATTAGTTACAGAGTCACTGAATAGTCCATTTGATACCGATCGAATTATTTAATAGGTACTTACTAAAGTATTGGAATCGATATTGGAAAAATAGTAACTTACTAAAATATTGGAATCATATATAATTTATCTAGTGACGTAGATGATGGCCTAGTTTATGCCAATGATATCACGAGTTTTAGATCGAGTCAATGGCAGAAGCACCATGCGATTCATATAATCTACACATGCAAGTGTAGATGTAGATCTGCACAAGTGTATTTTGCGCATCTCATTTTTCCGACAAATTTGAGACATGTGCCCATAATTATGAAAGTGGTTTAAGTCAAAATTAAAAAAAAAATGAGTTTATCAGTTATTTCACGCCATATTATTTCAAACGAAATTAATTCAATGTAACGAAACAAAAAGTATATGACTTATACCACTTTCATAATTATGGGCACACATGTACATACGTATTGGCAAGTATTCAGTCGGGACTTATTGCGAACACCGTACTATGTAATAAAACGGTGTAAATTATATCCACACGACGAAATCTTCGCTGTTTATTGCGTTCGAGTTGAAATAGCGTAGATTTTAGCTCGAGTATTAATCAGCCAAAGAGGTAGAGCTATCTAGCTGTGCAACTAAAATTAAGTTGAGAAAGATGGTTCCCTAATAATATTCGTGTCACGATATTAGTTATAAGTCGCGTTTACTTAAGGTGTTATGAAAGGATCACTCTAAGTACTTAAAAATGTCGATAATATTTATAAAACTTTCCTTCAAACTGGGTACAGCGAATACTTTGAAACATCAGCACGTGATTATGGAGGTCCTAAGGAAGAACGTGATGTTCACATTTTATTTAAATAAAAAAATGCGTCCGTTCTAGTCTGGGATAAATAAAAAAAATTATTTGTTGAGAAATTAAATTTCATCGGCATGACGTTCATCCTTAGAGCCTGCATAATCACGTGGTGAAGTTTTATAAATGTTTCGACATTTTGATATATATATACACACACATATATATATATAACCCTTTCATAACACCTTATATAGAAAATAATCCTTTTATAACACCTTAAGATGACGTTTAAGCAACGTGCTTGCCAAAGTGCTTCGAACAACATATTCAGTGACTGAACTTCAAATTGTTAACGCCTTTACATTTACAAAAACTTCGACCACATATACGGTGCCGACAATCAGCGTAAATATGCTATGTTTAGTTAATAACAATAGGTTATCAGGGAAAGCATTTGGAAATTTTTAAAACACCAACGTATTGTTCAATTGACTCCAAAGTTGGGTATCGCTTATGAGTAACAAATGTAACTCATTCGAAGACATTTTGAATTGTTATTCCTGAAATATATTTAAAACATGTGTCCACGATACCTTCTAAGAGGTATGCATGTAGAAATTCCATATATTACCTAGTAAGTATATATTCGTGATTAAGAGAAACATTTCTTCGAATAAGAGTTACTTGTTATTTATGAACTCTTCCCAATTTAGTTTTGTACGTTTTGCGGGTGGAAAGTAAATTTTAATAATATGCTGATTGCCACCTGATGTACGAATCGATTCGTACATTCTTTAACGGTTTAACGTTAAGTTATTAAGACATTTTTATAAAGTGTGCGGCCGGGTTTTTGTATTGTGGATTTCGGTCTGGTTAGTTTATACAATTATAGCGCGGGGGCGCACTTGGCGGGAGAATTTGAATTTTTCGGTACCGAAGTTAGCGTGTAGAACTCTTTTAATTTTTGATTCATCATCCACACGTATTCGTCAGATGCGCTTAAATACGTCCGCACGAACGAGTGCACAAGTGTACGTATTCAACTATAGATTATAATATTGTTCTATGGGATACCATGTTGCAAGAGTCGTTAATATTATTACTTCCAGATGAATAAATCTCGTTTCAAGATCGAACACTGTCTCGTTAATTTTATGAAACAGTAATCCTGTAGAAAATTCAATAAAAATGAAGACCGAAGTGTCGCACAATTTAATCAAAGATTATTCACAAGTATCTAATTGCAACCCCCTTTTATTCGATTGGTTTAACTTTATTTTATTACAATATTTAAANAATCGTTTGCAAAATGTACAAAAGTATATTGTGCGCAGTGAACTCATCTTCATACGGCTTATTCGAGAAAAGAATTGAGCACCCCTTTGGAGATGAACTCGAGGAGTGGGAAAGCAACTTTGGAATTATCGGGAGGGGGTATCGTACGGTAGTGTTGAGTCCGTTAGGACCGACGAAATGACCGCACTCATTCACCGGCCGACCTCGAGGGAGCATCGGTTGCCCGGTAGGTTTGAGGTTAGGTTAGGTGGACGGTGAGCAGCTGACACTATGGTGTGCGTTTACGGAGTGGCGACTGTGGCAGTCCTTTACGTCCTCTTCGACGTCAACTATTTCCTGAGAATTGCCTTCACCATTGCTTGGGGCAGGCTGTTTCAGAAGAGAAAGAAGATCTTCGACGAGACAGTGATTTACGGTGGGTTGAGAACGAAAATATAAGTGCGTATCTCATTATCTTAATGTAGAGTCTGGCATGCTGGGATAGCACAGAAGGAGCAATTAGAGAATAAAAGTTACTTGGGACGCGTGTTTGTAGGTAAATAGGCAAGAATTGTTGTTCATTTATTGCCAGAATTGAAGAACATGGAAAAAGGAATTTGTCGACGCGATGGATGGCAGTTGAGGTTCTCATTTTTATTCTCGTTATGGATGTGCCTAGTAGCTGGGTGGCAAATTCATTGGAAAGTAATTTTTTTTCTTAATTGTGCCCATAATTATGAAAGTGGTCTAAGTCAAAATTGAAAAAAAAAAAATGAGTTTATCAGTTATTTCACGCCACATTATTTCAAACTAAATTAATTCAATGTAATTTCGAAACAAAAAATATATGACTTAGACCACTTTCATAATTATGGGCACAATTGAAGGTAATAGAAAATAATTAATTCGCGAGAATTTAGAGATTAAAGTTCCTCTTTTTCAATGACGTTTATTCGATTCAGCTACATTACCGGTTTAAAATTCCACTGAGTCATCGATTTACGTCGGTTCTTTAATTCATTGCACCTCGAGGTACAATGAATGCAAATACGTATCTATTGTATTTTCGAGAATTTACAAATAGGTAGGAAGTCATCAACATTTTAGCATAGGTATAATATAATATACAATTATGTATCCATTTAAACATATTTTGGATTACTAGAATGCAATGATTTTTATTCTCTCTTTTGTCGTATCACTCTTTATACAGAAAAAAAAAAACATGTTGAAATAATATTCAAAATAAAAGTAATTTCAAACGGTGTGGTGTTACTGAACAATTTTGACACTGATTATTTTCTGGACTTTGTTTTTCGTATTTTTAAAAATAATAGATAAATTATAAAATAATTGGAGGTATCCAGTAGTATAATACATTTTTCATTGTCCCTATCAAATTGTTGTTCAAACACTTCTGCCTTGTTTTTAGCAGAAGTATCATTTTTAATTCAATTTCTTCCGAATAAATTCTTTATGGATTAGTTTTTAATTCATCATTTGTTAATCATTTTTGTAAGAATGTTCTCATTACTAGTTGTTTATACAGACTACTGCTGGTTAATAATTGTAAACATTACAACTGAGTTTGTAGCGCTGAATCAGTTTAGAAAGCTTACTAATTTTTTTTAGACCTATTTTTTATATATCGATCTCTATTACGTGGTATAATTAATTTATTCATTGAAGAGCAACATGATTATGTTCCAATTTCTTTTGTAATTATTCTTAAACGGACCGTTTGTTTTAATTTTAATTTTAATACCTTGATCGGCTCGGTATGTTCAGTCATCATGCGATGTCAAACATATTGAGGTGTCATCTGTTTTAGCATTTTCATAACAGGTCTGTCTACTTTACTTGATTACCTGTTGCAAATACATGAATATGGTAATACAATGAATACAGTATCGAGTTCGTTAGAGCTTGACCTGTTTAAGAGGTCAGAAATTTCCACTGATTCTACAATAGAAGCGCATAAAATTCGAATACTGTTTAGATAAAATTTTTAATAATGTTTAGCTTATGCAATGAACAGTATTAACCTAATTCGTGAGAAAACGGTCTAAGAGTATTAATCGTTTTAAATGAATCACTCAACGTATGTATATTTATTAAATTCATGTTTTTTTTTCATTCAGGTGTGCGACATGATCTGCAGTCAAGTACTCATTACGCATCATTATCGCGTTTTGTTTGATATAGCTTATGCAATGAACAGTATTAAACTAATTTGTGAAAAAACGGTCTAAAAGTATTAATCGTTTTAAATGAATCACTGAACATATGTATATTTATTAAATTAATTTTTTTCCATTCTGGTGTGCGACATGATCTACAGTCAAGTACTCATTACGCATCATTATCGTGTTTTGTTTGACATAGCTTATGCAATGAACAGTATTAAATTAATTCATGAGAAAACGGTCTAAAAGTATTAATTGTTTTAAATAAATGACTCAACGTATGTATATTTATTAAATTCATGTTTTTTTTTCATTCAGGTGTGCGACATGATCTGCAGTCAAGTACTCATTACGTATCATTATCGCATTTTGTTTGATATAGCTTATGCAATGAACAGTATTAACCTAATTCGTGAAAAAACGGTCTAAAAGTATTAATCGTTTTAAATGAATCACTCAACATATGTATATATATTAAATTCATGTTTTTTCCATTCTGGTGTGCGACATGACCTGCAGTCAAGTACTCATCACGTATCATTATCGCGTTTTAGTTGATATACTCGATACAATTTTTATCTGTCTTAATGTTAAAACAATTTTCATATCACTTTCAGGTATATGCACGACCCAGGATGTAGACATTTTCTTGAAGCATATGAATAATGCAAGATACTTGCGCGAGTTGGACTTTGCACGCTTCCACTATTATGACAGGACAGGTATTTATGGGGCTATAAGTAAAAAGGGCGGAGGTGCCGTTCAAGGAGCTTCTTCTACTCGTTACAGACGTCCAATTCCGATATTCACTCCGTACAAAGTTGTAACTAAAGTAAGTTAACAATTACATCTCTATGATATAATCTTCGCTAGGCATGATAAATGATTAGAGTTGTACACTTTATTTCAACCGAAATGAAAATAAGACATGTCTTGTTAAATATTATCCGCAAGCGCTGACGAGAGTGGATCGTGCTCCTCGCGTGTTGTGTCAAATATCCGAGGAGTGCGTTTCTACTTCTCTTTGTTAGTGTCATTTTTGCGTTCACAGTGTGTGGTTATGCTCGTGAGGAACGTGACTTTTATTTGATTCGATCATATTTTTCCGCATCTTTAGCATAAATCGAAGAAAATTGTCCAATACTAAAATGGTTAATTTATAAACCATTATGCGTGAACGTTAATGCGTGAAGTCGGTTAAAAAGTAGGGACACTAGCATATTAATTGTATCAGAGAATGGTGATACTATGGTAACTTCCCAGTATTTTATAACAATTATCTTATTTTTATTTCAGATGATTTACTGGGATGATAAGAATTTCTATTTGGAGCATCAGTTCATCAGCATCACGGATGGCTTTGTGCGAGCTGTTGTACTTAGCAAACAAAGCGTGACAAATTTGAAGGTACCAGTACCTGAGATTATAGCTTCGGTGGAGCCTCAAGCACAGAGACCCGAACTTTCAAAAGAGTTAAGACATTGGCTAGAGTCAATGGAAGAATCTTCTCAAAGGCTGAAGAAATCGAGCTGAATGAAAATCATTTCGACGTCTGTATACCGATCTCGCCTTCCTTGGCAGTGTTTACTATACATGTTTTTTTTTAATCCTTTGTTGTACACAGTATGCAATATTCCTTTAGATACTTGTAAGTTACTGTTATACGTTTTAACAGTTTGCGATTGGATAAAAAAGATTTGTATAGTGCTAAAATGGGATATGTCCTGAAGAAACTGAAGAAGTTGACCGTAATTTGAATTTACTTTTGATAACGTTGTCATTGTAGCTCCTCTTAACATTGTTGTAAGTCTATTGTTTCAGAGGAAAGAAACAGACTATAACAAAGGGTTAAAATCTCAGATTGTTGTTAAGTTATGCTCAGGATCGTACTATCGTTAGCTTTTCTACATACTTTGTTGTTATTTGATAACTTATACTATTAGTCGTTCTTCTTGCCTTGTAAGGTACAAATTACGTACATTTATTAAGCACAGGTGTCTATGTGTAAACAGATGGGAACTTATATTTCATTTATAAATGAAAAATTCGAATTAATTCGAGTAAAAATGTCACATACGTCTTATAGTATTTATTCTCCAGTTATTAAGATAGCCTTAATATCGGAACTAGAGTTTGGCGCAGAATTTTTGTAATTGCTTCATGACTTGTGATCATCTAAGAATTGTCCTGACACATTCAAAATTTGGATTTGGGGAAAACATTTTTTTTACTTCCCCCAGATCCGAACCAAACTGGCGTCCAGCTTTCATATTTCGATAAATATACAATTATTGAAGGCTCTGATACGAAAAACGATAGGGTCAGAACAATTTTACGACAATTTAGAACACTCTGGTAATCGATAAGCTCGCATTTGAACGGGATAAGGGCAGAAAAAGTGTTGTATGCGCTTCTATGCTAAAACGATGGGAATATAAGTCTCGGAGTGATAATTTAATTTACCTGGAAATCACAGATGGCGCAGGGGGTCCCTCTGCAGTTAATTAGGGCCCCAGAAAGCATGAATCCAGAGGATTTCTGGAGTTTTACTTCGATTTTTATATAATTATTGTACGAAAACGAGCGCTTCTATGCTAAAACGATGGGAATATAAGTCTCGGATTGAAAATTTAATTGACCTGGAAATCACAGATGGCGCAGGGGGTCCCTCTGCAGTTAATTAGGGCCCCGGAAAGCATGAATGAGGATTTCTGCAGTTTTACTTCGATTTCTATATAATTATTATACGAAAACGATAGGTGGAGCATGCCATTTGGTACAATACCCAATATAATTCGACCCAGCTGTCAATATAAAAACAAACGTCGGCAACGTAGGCATTTAGAAAAATCTTTATCGACGTCGATCAAGTTCCTCGACGTGTTTCACTTCATCTTAAGACGGAACCGTAAACTAGGCTTCTGCTACTCTCTACCGAGAGTGAAATAGAGTTCGAAAATTCTCGGTAACATTAAATTGGAGAAGGTAACTGTGAAACATACCGTAAGTTACCGGGAACATTAAGAATTTAAGAAAACGTTAATTTTGTTATTTATACTTTAGGTTTCTTCGTTTAAATAACTTTTTTTCTCGCAATCAATTTCAAAGTTCAACCTAAAGAGTAATAATTACTATTAGAAAATATTGATTATAGGGTCGTATTTACCTCCAGCTGAAAATATTCACGTATGTACAACTTCATGGAAAATTCCATGCGATTTGTTTCAAACGAACTGATATTTCATTCTGCGACGAAGCGAATGGGAGGTTTTGATTGGCTACGGAGAACGTACAACGGAAATTCCCCTCTACGATGTTTCTCTATAGCTAATCCAAACCTCTCGTTCGCTCTGTTGAAAAAATCAAATTCTCATAATTTCTCGATAAAAAAGGCTTTGGAGAAATGACCGATAAATTACCGGGAATTTCTCTTCGTTTCTGACGTAACTTACTGGATTTAGAACTCTAGAGTGAAATAAAACTAACCGTAGGAAGGTTACCACCCGTTCCTTTCTCTCTTGGTTCGTAGTTCCTAGTTATTCCGACAGATGGCGCGACCTGTCAGGGAGCGCGCGTGGAGAACGGATGTCCAGATTGCCGTCATAGCAGTTGATTCGCGGACTCGAAGCGCGCCGCGATTCAGTCGCGATCGTAAACTCCTCTTTCAATGAACATCTCGTGATCAGACGAGTGGCGGCCTTGCCGTGGTGTGTCCTGGTGCTTCAGAAATCCCCCGGTAAGTCGAGTAACTTTACTTTTTAACCTGTCCAGTTTCCGCTCTTAAAGATATAGTCATTCGAAGAAGGAAATCCATCAGAGGGCCTAGTCAAAATGTTCAATTTTCCCCTGCCGTTCGAATACCGCAACGCGGGCCTAAAACCGGCACGCTGTTATCTGGTAATATTGTTATTTAACCGGCTGCGATATCGTATCATCATAAGCGTGAGACTCGTTTCTGCTCGAAGTGCCACGATAATCGTCAGTCCTTTTTGTCGCCTTCAACGCGTTAAGTGCTTCAGGCGACAGGCGCGGCGCGATCGAAGGGGTCGCACTCTGACAGGATTTAAAATCGTGGCATTTAAACACGCACTCGTCTAATTGGACAAATCCTGGGACAAAACTTGACGGGGATTAATCTTTTTCTCCCATGAGAGAAGAGATGAAGAGAAAATATCACGGGATCCCTCATGGTAATTAATACTATTTCCAATCATTTTTATACATTCCTCGAGCGTATAGTGAGATATTATACTATTTACATCTGTACTCGTGTGTACGTATCGACTCATTTTAAAACAAATAATATTATACCGCGTGGGAATTATTACTGAAGTATTGAAAGATATTTCCGTATTGGTACTCTTATTATTTGGTAGGTCTTATTAATTCATAGTAATGCATTAAATTTAAATATAATAAGATAGTATATCGTGAGAATATGGAAATTCTTCGGGAAACTCGAAAGATAATTTACTGGTTTTGAGGGTTTATTATTGGATAGATTTTTAGTAGGCTTTCAATTGCTATTGTGAGTATAGAAATGATAAGAAATATGTTCGTACTGGATAAACGATTGGTAAAGTTTCTTGCTTCTGTGAATGAAAGGCGCAAGTGTGCGCTCAATTTAATATGTAACTCTCCGGTATGGTACGTCGAGAAATGAAGTCTGGACGTGCTTATGGAATTTTTTATTCCAAGACATATTTCCTAGGGCAAACTCGAATATTGTATATTGAATATGGGAATTTATTCGCTGGAATCGTGCCGTTCTGTCGTATGTCCAGCTTGCATTTAACGTTCGTGCTGGCATTGCATCTCGCCAATGCACATGGATAAAATTACGCGGTTACATCACAAAGATACCCGCAAGCCGTCATTCACGACTGCCCCTCGTCATTTTTCTGCTATCCAGCATGAAAACGAAACAATTAGTGGCTCTGTTCCGGCGCGAAGAAGAAAAAGGAACGGTATAAACATGTAAACACGGAGGAGGGCGTAATTGCGAGAGATTTGCACGAATCGTCCTATGCGTCAACGACGAAACTGCAATTAACGAAGTACAAGAAGATTTTAAGACGCAGGCCAAAAATTCTTCTGTAAAAAAAATTTAATATCATTGATAGTGCTGTGAAAAATATACGAATGTATATATTTTATTGACTTAGGTACTTTTTAAAAGACTATGTCTCGACCTCTTGAGAAGGTTTTATATCTTAATGTTTATAATGTTTTTATATGATGATAATGTTTAATGGCAGTACATAAGGTATGGGCCATGAGCGTTACAGCTGAGGTACAGGCATTCAAAGTAATTACTATTGCTTTCAAAATGTAGCATTGAAATGTGGTATCTATATCAAGTTGCGTTTAACATTTGTATCCATAAATTTGCATTGATACTGAAATTGTATCTATCACGTGAATACCCGATTCCTGCCGAAGAAAACATATTTTCTATCATAATGTGCTCTTATCTCCCTTATTGCTGGGAATCTTGTCAACGATGACGGAATGATTTATTTATCACGGAAGGCAGTTATTTTCGGTCATAACACGTTCCGACTAAAATCATTGTCTCTTATTGTGTTATGTTACAATTTAACAGGGATCGCAGCATTGTACTTCTTAACGTTAACATATTTCCATCATAATGTTCATTCAAAACATATTTCTATGATAATGTTCATTCGAAACATATTTCTATCATAATGTTCGTTCGAAACATATTTCTATCATAATGTTCATTCGAAACATATTTCTATCATAATGTTCATTCGAAACATATTTCTATCATAATGTTTGTTCGAAACATATTTCTATCATAATGTTCATTCGAAACATATTTCTATCATAATATTCGTTCGAAACATATTTCTATCATAATGTGCTCTTATCTTCTTTATTGCTGGTAATCGTATCAACAATGACGGAATGATTTATTTATCATGGAAGACAGTAATTTTCGGTCATAACACGTTACGACTAAAATCATTGTTTATTATTGCGTTATGTCACAATTTAGCAGGGATCGCAGCATTATGCTTCTTAACGTTAACGCACACAAGAATTTGTAAAGATATCTGTAACGCTTGTACATAGGAGTTAAGTGTAGAATCAACGAGTTACTTAACACTTGTGCGGTGTACTCGAATTGCTTTTGACGCTTGTGTGACATTTGCAGGCTGATAATACTGACGTAACTACGGTACCTAGTGACCTGGTTACGGGTAAGACTATTCACTCAGTACAATCTGTACAGGTGTACATTTAACTGTGATGTCGGCTTCAACGCGCGAAAGGAATTAGTTTCCAAATTAGCCTATATCTCACAGCTCTGACGACCTTCGATTCTAATTTGCTGAAAAAAATCCTTTTAAAATTAATAAAAATCTCAGTACAATCTGTACAGGTGTACATTTAACTGTGATATCGGCTTCAACGCGCGAAAGGAATTAGTTTCCAAATTAGCCTATATCTCACAGCTCTGACGATCTTCGATTCTAATGTGCTGAAAAAAATCCTTTTAAAATTAATAAAAATCTCAGTACAATCTGTACAGGTGTACATTTAACTGTGATGTCGTCTTCAACGCGCGAAAGGAATTAGTTTCCAAATTAGCCTATATCACACAGCTCTGACGACCTTCGATTCTAATTTGCTGAAAAAATTCTTTTAAAATTAATTAAAATCTCAGGACTTTTATGACATTGTTAGTCATGTTAATTGCAGTACCTAGCGATCCGACTATCGTTACAGCAATGATTGTTTGCCATACAATATGGACGGTACATTCAGCTACGAGGAGTGTTTTAATTAATGAAGATGATCCTTGTAAAAATTCAATTTTAGATCAAACAATGAACGGTATTATTATTGTAGCACTAATGGTAAAATCGTGTGATAGATATTTGCAAAATTTAATTTGTCCGTATGGAAATTGTATGTAAACTTTGACGTAGACGTTACAGTTAAATGAGAGTACAAACGTATGTCTACGAGCAGAACAAATTTCGATTTGAGAGGCGAGAGTGGTATTTGTTTTGTTACTTTCGGCCATTTATTTTTCAAAATGAACATATACAAGGCTCAATGAAACCTTATATACTTTTGACGAGGCGAACTAGATACGGCATTTCATATAATTGCGGCAATTTTACACTTGAAGCGGACCGAGTCTGTTAAAACGGGCGGTCGTTAACACTTGCAATTAACAAAGTGGGACACGATTGAGCGTCGGCTTCGGTTAACTACATTTACTCAAGGAACCTGGTTTAGTTCAAGCAATTGAATTTCTTATCTGTGAAGTCAACGAAGAAGGAACACTGATTTATTGTCTTCTCATATTGTTCCTACCTCTCGTTTGCCCTTATTGTTCATCTGTAACAAACCAGGAAATTAAACCAGTTATCTCGAAGTTAGAAATAAGAGAAGAGAATACGGCTAAACAATTTTTATTTATTTTATATGAATTGATGTTAAAGGTACCACCAATACGTACATCTTTTCACAGTCCTCAAATTGGTATTTCACTTGGGAATATCTATATACGTTGGCTTATCACGTGTACTTTTATCACGAATTCTTGCGTAGTCAATATCCATGTAATTAGGCTAAACAACTTTTATTTATTTTATATGAATTGATGTTAATGGTACCACCAATACGTGCATCTTTTCACAGTCCTCAAATTGGTATTTCACTTGGGAATATCTATATACGTTGGATTATCACGTATGCTCTTATCACGAATTATTACGTAGTCAATATCCATGCAATTAGGCTAAACAACTTTTATTTATTTTATATGTATTGATGTTAATGGCACCACCATCTTTTCACAGTCCTCAAATTGGTATTTAACTTGGGAATATCTATATACGTTGGCTTATCACGTGTACTTTTATCACGAATTATTGCGTAGTCAACATCCATGTAATTAGGCTAAACAACTTTTATTTATTTTACATATATTGATATTAATGGTACCACCAATACGTACATCTTTTCACAGTCCTCAAATTGGTATTTAACTTGGGAATATCTATATACGTTGGCTTATCACGTGTGCTCTTATCACGAATTATTACGTAGTCAATATCCATGTAATTAGGCTAAACAACTTTTATTTATTTTATATGTATTGATGTTAATGGCACCACCATCTTTTCACAGTCCTCAAATTGGTATTTAACTTGGGAATATCTATATACGTTGGCTTATCACGTGTACTTTTATCATGAATTATTGCGTAGTCAATACCCATGTAATTAACTCGATCTGGTGTGTCCATGATTATGAATAACAATCGGGCTTCGCATAGGAAATAACGAACGTGGTGTAATAAGAAATTCATCCTTAATTAGCTTAATTAAAAATTGGTCCTCACGCGATTCATTCGTTTTCAATCGATTCATTCACCTGCTCGATGGCAGAAGATCTCACGAGGGGAAATCAATTGTCTAGAGACAGGATAGGAGAGGGTAAAAGGACGGGTTCGAATTCCGAGGAGGTCTCGGTTTCCTTGCTGGCCTTCTTCCCGTTTAATGGTTCCTTGACCATTAAGTCGTCGAAAGATTCCACCAGAAGATCGTTCCTAGGAAAAAGGCGGGCAAGGAGATAGAATGATAGGCCAAGCCTTGCAAATTATTACGGGCATTTTTCACGAAACCGAGGCAAATGACATTTCTCTCGAGAAATACGTTTCGTATCATCTGACTGATGGAACAACAAAATACTGGACACGTGCGATCGTGGGAACGGACTGGGAAAGTTAAAACGAGGCAATTTTTTTGCAAAAGGTTGGACACACGCGATTCATTCAAAGAGTTAGTTAATATAAAAATAATAAACTAGGAGTTCAAGGAGGAACTGGCATTTGCACTTTTAACAAAGGACGTTATTTCTGATTAAGTCTCGTTAATCCTACAAGTCCTACAAATTTCTCGTTGTGGCTGGAAATTATTACTTTTTCTTTTGCAACAAATTTGCTATGCTACAAATATGCTTTGCAACAAATATGCATTCTTCACTATCTTCATACAATGTCCGTAGATTAATCTCACGAAATGATTCTCTAGCTCCTGTTCAATTTTCCATTTCCACTTTCATAAATTTTCATAAATATCGATTATGGCATAACTGACATATGACTCGAGTATGCGATGATTACATTTGCTACAACTACTTTTGA